AGCACCTCCAACACCTCCAGCTCTAGCACCTCCAGCACCAGCAGTTCCAGCACCTCCAGCACCAGCAGCTCTAGTACCTCCAGCACCAGCAACTCCAGTACCTCCAGCACCTTCAGCTCTAGCACATCCAGCACCAGTAGCTCCAGCACCTCCAGCACCAGTAGCTCCAGCACCTCCAGCACCAGTAGCTCCAGCACCTCCAGTACCTCCAGCTCGAGCACCTCCAGCACCAGTAGCTCCAGCACCTCCAGCACCAGCAGCTCCAGCACCTCCAGCACCTCCATCTCTAGCACCTCCAGGACCAGTAGCTCCAGCACCTCCAGCAGGAGCACCCATGACTCCACCACCACTAGGACTCGCAGCACCCCCAGTGTTAGCACCCCCAGAACCGGCACCCCCAGAACCAGCACCCCCAGACTCAGCACCCCTAGAGTCCGCACCCCCAGTGTCACCACCCCCAACAGCACCAGAGTCCACATCGACAGGCTGCGGAGGCGGCGAAGACGGCCGAGGCGGAAAACCAGGAGGGGTCTCCAAGCGCGGGGAGCGGCGAGTCGTCGCCGTGTCGTCAGCTGCGGGGTCACCCCCCTCAGCTGGGCTAGTGTACTGTAAGATTCAGACAAACAAGGCTATGACGAGGCTAGCGTGAGTTGCATCGTCGTTTCCCCTTCCGCAGGAGGAAAGTCTGCTTGAATACCCCGATAACTCCTCACCGTCGATTTAGATTGTGGATCGCTCTCATCAACGCTTGTTCGTAACCAGTTTGTTCATTCGGCTAGCCTGGATTCGTTCGGATTGGTTTTTTGCTTCTCGAATTCTGGGTGCATGAATGATTGATTTTTCAGACAATAACTTTGCGATTGGGTTCGTTCTTACGTGGTTTGGGGATTTGCGCCTCAAAACCTGCCTGGATGAACGATTTGTCAGTCAATAATTTTGCGACTGGGTGTTTTCTTATTCGATTTAGTTATTTCCCCCTTTAATCCGCCTGGGGTACGGAAAAGGGTACGTTCAGTGTTCTTAACCCAATCATTTAGGAGGTGGGAGGGAGAGTGTGGGGGAATAGGGTCTAGGGTGGGGGTCATTGCTCCTGCTCACTCTATTCATGTGAGAACTGTTAGCCAAGCGTACTCCTTGTAGTGCAAGTGGATATTTGGCGACCAGGTGCAGACCTCATGAACGTGTTTAGGGCCCATGAGAGAGTTGTGTACTCAAATAAGCTGTACACGTACTTTTAAAAGCGATGGACACACCATCAATCCCCACACTCTTAGTCCAGTGTAAATCGCGTTCGCAAACCCGCTCACATGCTCGCCAAAAAAGCGGCACAGGATTCTTGCTGGCTACTGAGTTCACGCTCCTTGCTAGGGCCTAACCAAATTATTCGCAGCCAAGCCCCCCGCATTTCCCGGCAGTTCCCGCGTATGGGTTGGCTGGCCTGTCATCAACGATGCACCAGAAATCTATAAAGCGTAGGCGGTTTAGTTGGAAGCACCATCTTCCAACGTTTCACAATCTAGTGTTTCCGAGTGGTATAGGCTAGCAGCCTTTTGCATCCGCGAGTTCCTGGCCGTTAAATATATATTTAGTTTCTGCTACTCAGCTTACACCAACATGGGTCGCGTCGTTATGCTCGCCGTTGATGCGGTCGTCGTCGTCGTCGTTTCGCTCTGCTCGTCGTATCCAATCGCTGCCGCATCTTCCACTGATGGGGATCCCATCACGGGAGGCGGAGGCGGGCGGCCCTCCGCGGGAAGCGCAGATGGGGGTCCCATCACGGGAGGCGGAGGCAGGCGGCCCGTCTCGGGAGGCGGAGATGGGGGTCCGAAGACGGGAGGCGGAGATGGGGGTCCGAAGACGGGAGGCGGAGATGGGGGTCCGAAGACGGGAGGCGGAGATGGGGGTCCGAAGACGGGAGGCGGAGATGGGGGTCCGAAGACGGGAGGCGGAGATGGGGGTCCGAAGTCGGGAGGCAGAGATGGGGGTCCGAAGACGGGAGGCGGAGATGGGGGTCCGAAGTCGGGAGGCAGAGATGGGGGTCCGAAGACGGGAGGCGGAGATGGGGGGCGCCCCACGGGAGGCTGGTCCGTTGTGAAGCGTGCATCTACGGATAAACACGTGCTGAAGCTGGCCAGGTTCGCGGTCAAGCAACACAACAGTAACAAGGTATGATGAAGTGTGGAACGACCAAGTGCATTTTTTTTGTTTCGCGTGTGTTAGAGTCCTTCGTCCCTTTCGCGATCGCGTGCGCATTGCTCTCGTGTGGTCGAGGGGAACGGTCCATAACATTCTTGTAGAATTCTGTGTCGAATCTATGTCTTTCCCCTTCTTTCTCACTCTCTCCCTCCCTCCCTCTCTCTCCCTCTCTCTCTCTCTCCCTCTCTCCCTCTCTCCCTCCCACACAAGAACAAGGACAAGGAGCTCGTGTTTCTGTCCGTCACAGCTGCACGGTTCCAAGCGGTGGCTGGCCGCAAGTGGAGAATCGTCCTGCGTGTCGTGAAACGTTCGAGTCCCAGCGACGTGCGAGCGCCTACTGCTACAAAATACGAGGCGGAGATTTACGAGAGGTCATGGGAAGGCGTTACCAAGCTGCTCTCTTTCAAGAAGGTGACTTCCTCTGCACAGACCAAAGCGGAGCAGAATGCTCCGCTTTGGAAGAGGCGTTAATTACAAGTTACAAGGCTCACCCCGGCTGTGAATACGTTATTCACATTGAACGTCATGGATGCAATTATGCAGGATGTGGATTATGCAAGGCTTTCAGGGCATGTTTGGCTGTGTGAAGTGTTTGGTATGTTGTGTAACAAGTAGTTGTGAAGGAGCATTGTTTGCATTACAAGTGATGGGGAGGGCGTTTCAAAATTGTAGCTAGAACTTAGTAGCCATAGCTAGGGTTGAAGGTACTAGCATGATTGTCGAGATGGTTGAACAAAAGAGAAAGGTGATTCACTAATGAGCAAGATACAAGATATAGTGGAAGGGACAAGGGAATGAGGTGCACCACCAATGTAACACTACACTAACTACTGCTACAAGCAATTTATATAAGAATTATATTTCAACACACCCCCTAAACTGCTTGCAGCAGGAAGCTAATGCAGGGACACCCCCTGAAGGGGTACACCAAGCGCAGCAAAAGGAGAGGGCAAGTGAGGAGGAGGAGGGACAATGAGAGGAGAGGAGGTAGGAGGCGGCAGCTGAAGCTGCGGGCACACGGGCGACTGGAGCAACTGGCACACAGGCTACCGGAGCAAACGGCATCCGGACTACTGGAGTAACTGGCTCCGCGGCTAGACGAGCGGCTGGAGCAACTGACCCTCGGGCGACTGGAGCAACGGGCTCACGGGCTACCGGAGCAAACAGCATCCGGACTACTGGAGTTGCTGGCTTCATGGCGGCTACCTCCTTTCAACCTCCCCCCATTGTCCCACACCCCCTTTTCACACCCCCTTCTGCATCCCTAGCGCCACTCCCTCGGCTCCCCCACACCCTCCCCCCCTCAGCGGCAGCTGCAGCAGTGGGAGAGAGAGGAGGAGCAGCAGATTACTCACACCCGCCACCCCCATACCCGCCACCCCCATACCCTCCCCCCCACGGCTGCACGCGCAGCAGGGAGAGGAAGGAGAAGGGGGGGGGGGGGGGGGGGGCGGGGGGGGGGGGGCGGTGAAGAAGCTACCCCGCGGCTACAGAGGGGCGGCGCGCGGGTGCACGGGGCGGCGCGCGGGTGCCACGGGGCGGCGTGTAGGTGCACCGGGGCGGCGCGCGGGTGCACGGGGCGGCGCGCGGGTGCAGCAGGGCGGCGCACGGGTGCCACGGGGCGGTGCGCGGGTGCCACGAGGCGGCGCACGGGTGTAAGCAAACCGTCGCGCGCCCGGGGCGCGCAGCGGGCAGAAAACCGCCGCGCGCCCGGGGCGCGTGGTGGGCAGAAAACGTCGCGCGCCCGGGGCGCGCGACAGGCAGGAAAATAGTCACGCGCCCGGGGCGCGCGACTGAAAGAATAGCAGCGGAAGCGAACGGTGGGCCCATTGAGAAAGGTCCTAGGAAAATTAACCACTCTGATAGCATGTCAAAATAGTAGCTAGAACTTAGTAGCAATATCTAGGGTTGAAGGTACTAGCATGATTGTCGAGATGGTTGAACAAAGGAGAAAGATGATTCACTAATGAGCAAGATACAAGATATAGTGGAAGGGACAAGGGAATGAGGTGCACCACCAATGTAACACTACACTAACTACTGCTACAAGCAGTTTATATAAGAAATATATTTCAACAGGGCGGCGTGCAGGGAGGAAGAGATAGTACAACAGCCAGGGCCTTCACTTGTATGATGAGTCTATATAGTCACAGCCCCATTGTTCATCATGTGCTCCTCACCCTCACTCATAACTCAAAACACCAATGACTAGCAAATCAAGAGCACCTAAGTGCGCTCTTTGATTATTATAAGCCATCAGCTACCTAAAACACACAATATTAATATCAAAACCTACCTGTAAAGCCCAGCAAAGAGTATGCGGGACATCAAGCAGCAAGCAGCACACAGCGCCAACGGGGTCCATCCTAGCTAGATGGTGCGGGTGTTGTACGAGCCGCAGGCAGAGCATTTGTGGTAGAGCCAATGGAAAGGTGCGTTTCCCTTGGCCTCGCAGTCATTGCAGAGAATGGCCTGAGGGAACACGGAGGAATGCGGAGGAGAGGGGGCAGGGATACCACTGCGTTCATTCCGTGGTATTGCTGTTCTGATGCTATATGCACCAAGTCGTGCCGCTAGCAATGATGATGCCCATTCGTGTGTCCATTCAATGAGTGGTCACAAGACAAGGAAGCAAGACCAACAAGACAGTTGAGTTCAGATGATATGATCATTCAACAAAGAACATGTGGGCCCACCTGTTGCCGGTTGCGGTACTCCCAGAGGAGCTCCTCTGCTGCTAGTAGAGCGTCCAGGTGGCTTTTGAGTCGACTCAGAAGTCACTAAGAAAGAGCATGACGGCTCACCTGTTGCCGGTTGCGGTACTCCTCTGGAAGCTGCTCTGCTGCTAGTAGAGCATCCAACATTCCAAAGTACACCTGATGAACGTAGCAGAGGGGGAAGGACGAGACAGAGTGACAAGGTGCGAAGTCAGCAGCATGTAGTGACAGTTGTGGGCGCAGGGACAATCATGTGCGAATAAAACAACCAAGACACAACTGTACGCTCAGATGCTTACAGTTACTGTTTCACAACCTTATCACAACAGAAGAAACACAACCAAAACAGATGCACTGCATGTGGTTCGATGCTCAGTCCTACGAGCAGCATTTCCAAAAAAGGGACCCAGGTGGCTGCCCTACACGTTGGAAGCATGCGGGGTGCAAAACGTGACTTCGGAGCACGGTGCAAAATTTTGCCAGATTTTCATGTTTTCACCTAACACAACTTTGCCGAAATTTCGGAATACAACCAAAATTTTCAGACCAAAATTTTTGCTGCCTGAAAATCTCCACCTTGCTTCTAAGGCACCTCAAAAACACACAACAGGGATCCAGTTTACATACCCGCATGTCCCGCACAGATTTGCAGCAGATGGGGCAAGTGACGTACTCACTCACACGTGTACGTTTAGAAACACACCGAGTGCCTACTCTTGCGGCACCTCAACAATCGAAACAGGAATCTGATGGGCCTACCCGCATGTCCCCGACCGATTTGCAGCAGATGGGGCAGGTGTAGTGCTCGCATGTGTACTCCGTCGCCTGGAAGCACGCAGAGTGCATGAAGTGCCTACATCTCAAGCACATCAAGAATTGAGCAGAGATATCGAGCTAGCGTACCCGCATGTCTCCGACGGACTTGCAGCAGATGGGGCAGGTGTAGTGCTCGCAGGTGTATGCCTGGAAGCACGCAGAGTGCATGAAGTGGCCGCAGGGGAGCGCCTTGACGGGCGCGGAGGAGGTGAAGAGGAAGTCATGGCAGATGGGGCAGTTGGACTCGAGGCCCTTCTCCCGGCACGTGTGCTGCGCAAGTGTCACGGACATGCACGCGTTGCACGTCATGCAGTGGAAATAGTCGATTCCCAGGCCCCGCCCCACCCGGCACAGGTTGCAGAACGGACAGTGGTAGATGTCCCTGTGGTGGCGGTGGGAAGAGGGTTGTGAGGATACACATACGAGTTGATGCACGAAAACCGAGCATCATTCCAGTTGCTTCAGGCATGGTGATCACCCTAACTTTCATCAAACACGCTGCGGTGTGAACTGCAAGGCATCAGCAGTGAGGAAGGGGCAAGCATGGGAATGAATGCAGGCACGAATGCTAATGAAAGACAACGTTTGCAAGCCCTGGCCTCCCATTGTCCTCATCGCATCCTTCCCAGGTCTCACCTGGCGTCGTCAAAGAGCTTGCAGATGCTGCAGTAGTGCTTGGCCATGGAGTAACCATTGCAGGAGGGAGTGGCGCAGTGCTGCCCCACTGGCTGCACCTTCAGACACTTCATGCACATCATCTCCTTCACCGCATGCCTGGTGGGTTAAGGTAGGAAGGGGTGGAAGCGGAGGGCAAAGCAGGAATCAGGTAGAGTCGGCATGAACAGAGAAAAGGCCCAGGAGAAGAGCCCATACTTGCCCATCAAGTGTTGATAATTCGATTCTCAAGGCACCAACCGAGAAACTAGCTTGCAACCTTGTCATCTTCTGTAATGTCATGTTCTGTTCCTACATGTTTACAGCTTGCCGGCCAGCTTGTCCTGTTCTGAACGCACCTGTCCATGGCATGGTCGGCGAGCTTTGTCCTGTTCTGAACGCACCTGTCCATGGCATGGTCGGCGACTTTGTCCTGTTCTGCACGCACCTGTCCATGGCATGGTCGGCGACCTTGTCGTGGCAGAAGCGGCAGGAGACGAGCTTGTTGCAGCAGACAGCACGCACTTTGCAGTTGCGGCGGTAGTGCTGGCAGCCGTAGATGCCCTTCTCCTCGTCGTGGTACGACGCACACAGCACCTCCTCCTCTGGAGCGTCGCGGGACGACTTGTGCCGCTGCTGCTGCGCCACGATCCACCGGCTGCAGAGATGATAGATGCACATGAGCACGACCGGTGCGGGCATAGATGATAGATGCACCATGCACATGAGCACAACCCGGTACGGGCCTTTCAGTTCCTTTCTGATTGCGTTGTGCCAGTACAGCAACTCGTCAATGGGATGCCTGTTTTTGACTGTGGTAGATTTCTGGAGAGTGCCCTTCGGAGGAGCCATTTTAGACCCCGAGAGCTTGGGCTTCACCAATCCTGTCCATCTTTCGTAAATTTTCGGAAACACGCCATGCATCCGGCTCATCCAGCCAGAAACCACCTGAAAAGAAGGAAACAACACGAGAGGACAGCTCAAAATGACACATTGCTGGGTGAAAACGACGGCTGAATGCTGAATTTGACACCCACTCACCTCCGAGGTCGTGCAATCGCGGGGAAACACGTATACACCTGCTGTGCAGTGGCGATGGAGTTGCCAGGTAGTGGCGAGTCCGGTTGGATTACACTGTAGGGACTCTGTTGGATCCGTCGGAGCGTTGGATGAGTGGGTGTGTAGTTGGAGATTGGTGGGAGTAGCGGGTCAGTACAGAGAGTAGCCACAGTGCATCCCGAAATACATAGTTCTCATTCCCCCTGTCCAAACCACCCCCCCCAAAAAACAAATTCAGGAGTCCTGCAAGAGCTCCTCTTGCGGGACGATCTTATGCATGTGCTCCACCATTTGCTCCTGCTCCTTTTCCGTAAGATAAGAAGCCATCCACGGGAGGCAATCCTCCATGAGCTTTATCGGCATGCTGCATAGAAACTGCCAGACTAGATTCGCCTGCTCCACCGCGTCGAAATGCTCTACAAGTAACGGAAACACCTGCATGACAAAAAAGTGACCGTTAAATAAGTGAGCTGCCTGCGAAAACGGTCGCACGATAACTCGAGTGACGGGACGACAGATGGAAGGACGGAAGCCATTACTACGGCACCGACTAACCTGCTCTCCTTCTTTCGACAAATGCTGCACGAGCACAGTGAGCAAGGCCTCAGTGCTGCAGATAAGCTGGCTGAATAGACTTCCGTGGTCTCGTCGCGTCTTTAGTTGGATATGAGGTCGGAGAGCTGGTCGAAAAGGTCGCTCTCCACTTTATGCTCGAGCGTTTACGCATGCGCGACGTTCTTAACCCGGGAATCCAGCGCCGGAAACACCACCTGAAGCAGAAATTCGAACGTGTCAGAAAGCTGACGGAAATTCTCAAATCCTACATGATAACGTTTCAGTATAGCAGTCAAAAGTGCAGCGTACCTCGTCTTCCGCCGTGCTATGGTACTATACCAAGGCTTCTTCGCAAACTGACACATATTAATTTTCGCCTATTAACGACAATTTTGCTTGCGAAGTAACCAAGCCCTCGTCAAACAGTGGCACGAAAGGACAGCGCGTGGGCGAAAAACGACAGGTGCTTTGCGATGCTGGTTGGGCGAGGGGCTGCGTGTTACTCACCGCCATGCTTGACTTTTCCCGATATGTCGTACGGATTCCTCGCCGTACCTGACAGCGTTTTTTCACACAATCCCAACGTTTCACGGATGAACGGTGTCTCGATGCGTTTCGGGTCAAATATCGATTGAAGCAAGTTCAGTTACAAGCAAAAAGCAGGACCTGATTTGAAGATATTCTGAAAACGAACGCCACCTGACCCGCCCTGAGTTTTCTCCAAACCTGGGTGCATGAATGATTGGTCAGGCAATAACTTTGCGACTGGTTCTTTCTGACGTGGCTTCAGGTTTTGCGCCTCGAACCCTGTATGGATTAACTATTTGTCAGTCAATAATTCTGCGACCAGGTTTTTTGCCCGCTCACATGGTCGCCGAAAAGCGGCACGGGGTTCTTGCTGGCTAAGGTGTTGACGCTCCTTCCAAACTGATTTTCTCGCAGCCAAGCCCGCCGCAGTTCCCGCATATAGGTTGGCTTGCCTGTCATCAAGAAATGCACCAGCAATCTATAAAGCATCGGCAGTTTAGTTGGAAGCATCATCTTCCAACGTTTCACAATCTAGTGTTTCCGAGTGGTATAGGCTAGCAGCCTTTTGCATCCGCGAGTTCCTGGCCGTTCAATATATATCTATCTTCTGATACTCAGCTTACACCAACATGGGTCGCGTCGTTATGCTCGCCGTTGCTGCGGTCGTCGTCTTCGTCGTTTCGCTCTGCTCGTCGTATCCAGTCGCTGCCGCATCTTCCACTGATGGGGGTCCCATCACGGGAGGCGGAGGCGGGCGGCCCTCCGCGGGAAGCGCAGATGGGGGTCCCATCACGGGAGGCTGGTCCGTTGTGAAGCGTGCATCTACGGATAAAAACGTGCTGAAGCTGGCCAGGTTCGCCGTCAAGCAACACAACAGGAACAAGGTACGACCAAGTGAATTCTTTTCGTTTCTCGTGTGTTCCTTTGTCCCTCCCGCGATCGTACTCGCATCGTTCTCGTGCGGTCGAGGGGAACAGGTTGACACACACTCCAATCTGCTTTCTTGCCACTCATCCATTTTCCGTCCTCCCTCCCCTATGTTCCCACCACCACCATGTCTGTCCTTCCACCATCCATGCGCACCTTCCACCATCCATGCGCACCTTCCACCATCCATGCGCACCTTCCACCATCCATGCGCACCTTCCACCATCCATGCGCACCTTCCACCATCCATGCGCACCTTCCACCATCCATGCGCACCTTCCACCATCCATGCGCACCTTCCACCATCCATGCGCACCTTCCACCATCCATGCGCACCTTCCACCATCCATGCGCACCTTCCACCATCCATGCGCACCTTCCACCATCCATGCGCACCTTCCACCATCCATGCGCACCTTCCACCATCCATGCGCACCTTCCACCATCCATGCGCACCTTCCACCATCCATGCGCACCTTCCACCATCCATGCGCACCTTCCACCATCCATGCGCACCTTCCACCATCCATGCGCACCTTCCACCATCCATGCGCACCTTCCACCATCCATGCGCACCTTCCACCATCCATGCGCACCTTCCACCATCCATGCGCACCTTCCACCATCCATGCGCACCTTCCACCATCCATGCGCACCTTCCACCATCCATGCGCACCTTCCACCATCCATGCGCACCTTCCACCATCCATGCGCACCTTCCACCATCCATGCGCACCTTCCACCATCCATGCGCACCTTCCACCATCCATGCGCACCTTCCACCATCCATGCGCACCTTCCACCATCCATGCGCACCTTCCACCATCCATGCGCACCTTCCACCATCCATGCGCACCTTCCACCATCCATGCGCACCTTCCACCATCCATGCGCACCTTCCACCATCCATGCGCACCTTCCACCATCCATGCGCACCTTCCACCATCCATGCGCACCTTCCACCATCCATGCGCACCTTCCACCATCCATGCGCACCTTCCACCATCCATGCGCACCTTCCACCATCCATGCGCACCTTCCACCATCCATGCGCACCTTCCACCATCCATGCGCACCTTCCACCATCCATGCGCACCTTCCACCATCCATGCGCACCTTCCACCATCCATGCGCACCTTCCACCATCCATGCGCACCTTCCACCATCCATGCGCACCTTCCACCATCCATGCGCACCTTCCACCATCCATGCGCACCTTCCACCAGAACACGAAGCTCCAGCTTGTGTCAGGTTGTATCCCTGTCTGGTGGCAAGAAGTTGGTGGCAAGAATTTTGCGCACGCGATTGGTTAAAACAAATGCTTGACCAATCGCATTGGCCGGGCGTCTGTTTTGGACCAATCGCGTGCGGAAACTTCTTGCCACCAACTTCTTGCCACCAGCCAGGGATACGACCTCAGTCACAGCTGCATGGTCCCAGGTGGTGGCTGGCCGCAAGTGGAGAATCGTCCTGCGTGTCATGAGCCGCTCGGCGCTGGAGAATCGCGGCGCTGGGCGTCGCGCCAACCTGCGAGCGCCTACTGCTACCAAATACGAGGCGGAGATTTACGAGAGGCCACGGGAAGGCCGTATCCAGCTGCTCTCTTTTAAGAAGGTGACTTCCTCTGCACAGAATGCCAACCCAGCGGTGCAGAATGCCAACCCAGCAGTGCAGAATGCCAAGCCAGCGGTGCAGAATGCCAACCCAGCAGTGCAGAATGCCAAGCCAGCGGTGCAGAATGCCAACCCAGCGGTGCATAATGCCAAGCCAGCGGTGCAGAATGCCAACCCAGCGGTGCAGAATGCCAACCCAGCGGTGCAGAATGCCAACCCAGCGGTGCAGAATGCCAACCCAGCGGTGCAGAATGCTCCGCTTTGGAAGAGGCGTTAATTACAAGTTACAAGGCTCACCCCTGCTGTGAATACGTTATTCACATTGAACGTCATGAACGAGCTTATGCAGGATGTGGATTATGCAAGGGTTTCAGAGCATGGTTAGCTGTGTGATGTGTTTGGCTGTGTGCTGTGTTTGGTATGTTGTGTAACAAGTAGTTGTGAAGGAGAATTATTTGCATTACAAGTGACAGATAGGGTGTTGGCGAGGGGAGAGAGGGGTGTGACGGTGATGGGGAGGGTGGCGTGCATGGGAGGAAGGGAGATGAGTCCATGTAGTCACAGCTCCATTGTTCCTGAACTCGTCACCTTATAACTCATAACAGCACCGATTAGCAAACCAAGAGCACCCAATAGGTGCTCTTGAATTGTAACAAGCCATCAGCTTCCTAGAACACGCGAAATCAATATCGAACACGGCCCGGACTCTGGTTGCAGGAGTGAATCATGCGGGACATCAAGAAGCAAGCAGCACACAGCGTCAACGAGGTCCATCCTAGCTAGATGGTGCGGGTGTTGTACGAGCCGCAGGCAGAGCATTTGTGGTATAGCCAATGGAAAGGTGCGTTTCCCTTGGCCTCGCAGTCATTGCAGAGAATGGCCTGAGGGAGCACGGAGGAATGCGGAGGAGAGGGGGCAGGAATACCACTTCTATCATGCCGTGGCATTGCTGTTCTGACGCAATATGCACCATGTTGTGCCACTAGCATTGATGGTGCCCATTCGTGTGTCCATTCAGTGAGTGATCGCAAAGACAAGAAAGCAAGACCAACGAGGACGGTTGAATTCAGATGATCTGATCAGTCAAGAAAGAGCATGTGGGCCCACCTGTTGCCGGTTGCGGTACTCCTCTGGAAGCTGCTCTGCTGCTAGTAGAGCATCCAACATTCCAAAGTACACCTGATGAACGTAGCAGAGGGGGGAGGAAGAGACAGAGTGACAAGGTGTCAGCAGCATGTAGCGACGACTGTGGGCGCAGGGACAATTGTGTGCGAATAAAACAACGTAGACACAACTGTTCGTTCAGATGCTCACAGTTACTGCTTCACAACCTCATCACAACAGAAAAAACACAACCAAAACAGATGCACTGCATGCTCAGTCCTACGAGCAACATTTCCAAAAAAGGGACCCAGGTGGCTGCCCTACACGTTGGAAGCATGCGGGGTGCAAAAAGTGCCTTCGGAGCACGGTGCAAAATTTTGCAAAATTTCTCATATTTTCACCGAAATTTAGGCAGGTTTGCCTCACACAACTTCGCCTAAAATTCAAAATACAACCCAAATTTTCGGACCGGTTTTTTGCTGCCTGAAAATCTCCACCTTGCTTCTAAGGCACCTGAAAAACACACAACAGGGATCCAGTTTACATACCTGTATGTCCCCCACAGACTTACAGCAGATGGGGCAGGTGAAGTGCTCGAACATTACATTTGGAAACACACCGAGCGCCTACTTTTGCAGCACCTCAACAATCAAAACAGGAATCCGATGGGCCTACCCGCATGTCTCCGACCGATTTGCAGCAGATGGGGCAGGTTTAGTGCTCGCAGGTGTATGCCTGGAAGCATGCCGAGTGCATGAAGTGGCTACATCTCAGACATATCAAGAACTGAGCAGAGATATCGAGCTAACATACCCGCATGTCTCCGACAGATTTGCAGCAGATGGGGCAGGTGTAGTGCTCGCAGGTGTATGCCTGGAAGCACGCGGAATGCATGAAGTGGCCGCAGGGGAGCGCCTTGACGGGTGCGGAGGAGGTGAAGAGGAAGTCGTGGCAGATGGGGCAGTTGGACTCGAGGCCCTTCTCCCGGCACGTGTGCTGCGCGAGTGTCACGGACATGCACGCGTTGCACGTCATGCAGTGGAAGTAGTCGATTCCCAGGCCCCGCCCCACCCGGCACAGGTTGCAGAACGGGCAGTGGTAGATGTCCCTGGGGTCGGGCATGAGGGTAGGGAGGTGTGAGGGGGATGCACAACACTTGGGCGACAGCCAATGCCTAAGTGGCATTGGTGCACGCATCGGTGCCTGGTGTGTCAAACGCACTGCACTGTGAACCGTGAGGAATGAGTAGTGAAGAAGGGACAAGCATAGGAGTGAACAATACTAGTGAAAAAACGACTTTTGCAGGCCCTGGCCTCCAATTGTCCTCATGCTCCCACCGAGGTCTCACCTGGCGTCGTCAAAGAGCTTGCAGATGCTGCAGTAGTGCTTGGCCATGGAGTAGCCGTTGCAGGAGGGCGTGGCACAGTACTGCCCCACTGGCTGCACCTTAAGACACTTCATGCACATCATCTCCCGCACTGCATGCCTGGCGGGTAAGGGTAGAGTCGAAGCAGAAGGGGGAGGGCAAAGCAGGATTGAGGTTGAACGCGCATAAACAGATAAAGGCCCAAGAGGAAGGCCCATATTTGATCATGGAGTGTTGATGGATCTAGTTCTGAAGTATCTACGTAGAAACTAGTACAACACACCCTTGTTGTACCTGTCCAAGTGTGAATGGCAAACTTGCCTTGTCCACAGTGTGGGCGGCGAGCTGATCTTGTTCTATACCCATGTTTCCACAGCGTGGGCGGGGAGCTTGTCCTGAACTTAACCCACTTATCCACAGCGTGGGCGGGGAGCTTTGTCCTGTTCTGCTGCACGCACCTGTCCATGGCATGGTCGGCGACTTTGTCCTGTTCTGAGCACACCTGTCCATGGCATGGTCGGCGACTTTGTCCTGTTCTGAGCGCACCTGTCCATGGCATGGTCGGCGACTTTGTCCTGTTCTGCACGCACCTGTCCATGGCATGGTCGGCGACTTTGTCCTGTTCTGAGCGCACCTGTCCATGGCATGGTCGGCGACCTTGTCGTGGCAGAAGCGGCAGGAGACGAGCTTGTTGCAGCAGACAGCACGCACTTTGCAGTTGCGGCGGTAGTGCTGGCAGCCGTAGATGCCCTTCTCCTCGTCGTGGTACGACGCACACAGCACCTCCTCCTCTGGAGCGTCGCGGGACGACTTGTGCCGCTGCTGCTGCGCCACGATCCACCGGCTGCATAGATGATAGATGCACCATGCACATGAGCACAGCCCGCCCGGTACGGGCATGGAAAGGAACATGCTTGGATTGTCAATTTGTGACATTTGGCTGATGATGCATGGACCAGGCAGTAGAGACTCACTGAAACTCGAGGGGGCCCATTCCAGCCCAAATACCACGCAGCCATTCGCAGGCTGCAGGAAGCAGGCAGCAGCACAGCACGGGCGGACGAAAGGACGGGCGGACGAAAGGACGAACGGACGGACCTGGTCATGAGGTTCTGCATGAGGTACGCCTTCCTCCTGGGGTCCAGCGAGGAGTCGCTGGAGACGCGGCGGATGGCGGCCTCCAGCTCCTTCTGGTTCATGCGGAATATGTTGTGCCACCCCGGCCTAAACGTCCTCTTGTCCTTCTCCACCTCCTTGCCCTGCACCCCACTCCCTCCACCCCCACTCCCTCCACCCCCACTCTCACCACCTCCCCCACCACCACTTGCATCGTTCCCGCTGTGCACATCACCACATTCTCCTGCCACACAACACCCCTCTCCACCCGTACCCTCCCTGTCAGATGCCGTCCCTTCCGCATGACCATGTCTACACCCAGCACCATCACAACCACCAGCACCAGCACCAGCAGCACCAGCGGCACCAGCATCTGCAGCACCATCCGCACAGGATGCGTCAACACGAGTGGCTGCTACTGCATCTCCCTGCTCTGCTGCATCTGCCCCTGCTGCTTGCCGTGACCCATCACTCTCTAGATACTCCGCCACCATCTGCAACGCGTCAGAGGAGAGGCTGTCAGCCAGATCGTCCCTGGCGTGGCCTTGGTGCCCAGGGGAGGGCGGCAGGGGGTTGGACGTGCCAGCAGGGGACTTCCACCAGGCGCTCAGCCATTGGTCGAACATGGTGTTGCGGGATGCCTTGCGCCACGTGTCCACCATTCCTGCCTGCTCCTCGTCTGAAATCGCTGCTGTGATCCACGTCAGCATGGCCTGAGAGGGAAAAGGAAACATGAATAAGTGCATGCACTCATTACTGTGTAAACCCTCCTTTCCTGCTGTCTTCCCTTGCCACACACCCCTTCACCACGTCCAAAAACGCTCACACAGACAACCCATCACGCAGTCTCACGCCTCAACATCCCCGCCCTGAGCCCCGCCCCACCACACTCCATCGAGCCCCTCAAGCCCCATCAGCTCCATCGAGCCCCACCAAGTCCCAAAAGGGGCCCCACAATACCTGCACCGTATCACCATACGCCGTATCACCATACCTGCAGCACCTCCGCGCCTGTGGTGCCAATGATGCGCCCCACAATCGCGTCCTGCTCCTCCATGCTAAAATGAATCCCAAACAGCGGCCACAGCTCCAGCTCCTCGCGGGAGATGTGCTGGTCCAGGCACAGCCGCACCGACAGACTCATCCGATGCACCCGCTCCGCCAGCTCCCTCCTCCTCTCCTCCAGCTCCTTCACCTGCTTCCTCGCCTCCTCCCGCTCCGCCTCCCCTCCGCTCTCCTCGGCTTTCGTCGCCACCCCCATGGCTTTATTAATCGCCGAAATCACCCCTGAAAGCTGGTTTAATACGCCTGCAATCGCGTCGAAAAGCTCCTCTTCCTGCTTGTGGTCAATCGTGTATGAGTGGCTCACGTTGTGCAGCGCCTCCTTCGCCTCCAGCGCCGGAAACACAATCTCGTCCTCGGCGTTACTGTGCGCGCGGTACAGCCCCCACAGGAAGTGAAAACGACCGCTGAAATCCCGGGCGGCGTCGTCGTCACACGTGGCAAGCCGTGCTGACTCAGCAGAGAGGTACTCCAGGTCCTTCCTAAGCGCCTGGTGGAAGTGGAAAATCGCGTCAATGGGCCGCTGGCTGGATGAGCTACCCCTATCATTTGAGAAAATGCCGGGACCCAGGACTCCTCCCGTGAGAAACCCCCCTCTGGAGGCAGATGAGCGAGTGAGAGCGCGGCCTGCTGCACTTGAGAAGCTGAGCGCTTTGGAACCGAGAGACCCAGGCTCGGAGGCAGAGAGCTGCATAGGAGGGGGAGGCTCGGGTTTGATCAGGATTGCTGGCAGGCTCTGGAAAGAGCCGCTGAGGAGCCTGGGTCGCTTGGAGGGAGGGGTGGAGACGCTGTCCTTGGGGCTGGCTGCTGTGCGCTGGGATCCCACTTCCAATGAGGCTGCATCCGCTGATAAGCTCGAGTGTATTGAGTGGTCTCCTGATTTTGCTGTTGTAAACGGTCTTGGAATGTCAAAAACGCTGGAATCTAAGGCTTGGGGTGGTGTGGTGGTGTCGTCAGATTGGGGTGGGTGCTTACTGGCCCAGGATGTGAACAGGGAGACCAGAGGAACATCCATCTCCGGAGCTGCAAAGAAAGTAAAAAGATGAAAAATCAGGGGAAGTAACAAAAACGGTGTGACTTTGTATGTGAGACTTCTAGGATGAGCTTAGGCGGGATCCTCCTTCCCAAAAAAAAAGCTTACCCGCGAGCTTCATGTTCTCGACAATCTCCGAGGCCTCCTCCTTTGTGACGAACGTCATGACCCACGGGAGCACACGCTCTAGCAGCCGCAGAGGCATCACCAGCAGGCACCGGTAGACGAGCTGCCGCTGCTCATCCAGACTGCAGTGCTGCCGCAGCAGAGGGAAAACCTGCACAGCAATAATAATCATTATATATTAAACAAAGAAACCAATCAACAAACGTTAAATGCCAACACCCTGCATATTTTCTTTGATGTAATTGGTCGCTCTCGTATTGGAAAAAAAAAAACAAAATTGGCATTTGCAAGCTCACATCATCCTCTTCAGCTTGCAAGTGCTGGTCCAGTGACTCCACAATGGTCAGTGCTTGCTTCTTCAGCTCTGAAAGCAGAGGCTCGGCGGCGCTGGGACTGTGCTCCATCACATGCCGGACCTCGTCTAGCAGATGCCCTACTGCAGCAAAGAGCTTCTCTTCGTTTGCATGGGCCTGTACATAGCGTGTTGGAAGGTCTACACGTTTTGAAAGAGCAGGAAAGACCACCTGGTCCTCTGCTGTGCTGCAGAGATTAAACATAGTGGGCCACAACACAGTGAACCACAAGGATTACGTCAGCCAGACAGTAATGACCTGAATGTGGGAAGAAGACGAAAAGGTCAGGCAACGAATGCCAACTGTCGAAGGAAATGCCTGCAAAAGCATACCTGTGAAACACACAAATATCTGAGAGGAATCGGTATCTTCTGATGAGACTGTCAAAGGTGTCAAGCTCCAAGCCTTTCACTTCTCGGTGAAAAGCTTCCAGTTCCTTTCTGATTGCGTTGTGCCAGTACAACAACTCGTCAATGGGATGCCTGTTTTTGACAGCGGTAGACTTCTGAGGTGTGGTCTTTGGACGAGGTATTTTAGTCCCTGAGAGCTTGGGCTTCACCAATCCTGTCCATCTCGCGTGAATCTTCGGAAACACGCCATGCATTCGGCTCATCCAGCCAGAAACCACCTGAAAGGAAGGAAACAACACGAGAGGACAGCTCAAAATAGCACATTGCTGGGTGAATATGATGGCTTGAATGCTGAATTCGACTCCCACTCACCTCCTGCAAGAGCTCCTCTTGCGGGACAATCTTATGCATGTGCTCCACCATTTGCTCCTGCTCCTTTTCCGTAAGATACGAAGCCATCCAAGGGAGGCAATCCTCCATGAGCTTTATCGGCATGCTGCACAGAAACTGCCAGACTAGATTCGCCTGCTCCACCGCGTCGAAATGCTCTACCAGCAGCGGAAACACCTGAATGACAAAAAAGTGACCGTTAATTATGTGAGCTGCCTACGAAAACAGTCGCACAATAACTGGAGAGACGGGACGACAAATGGAAGGACGGCAGCCATTACTACAACACCGACTAACCTGCTCTTCTTCTTTCGACAAATGCTGCACGAGCACTGTGAGCAAGGCCTCAGTGCAGCAGATAAGCTGGCTGAATAGACTGCGTTCCGTGGTCTCATCGCGTCTTAAGTTGGATACAAGGTCGGAGAGCTGGTCGAAAAGGTCGCTCTCCACTTTATGCTCGAGCGTGTACGCGTGAGCAACGTTCTTAACACGGGAATCGAGCGCTGGGAATACCACCTGAAGCAGTGATTCGAACGTGTCAGAAAGCTGTCAGAATTTCTCAAAGCTACATGATAACGTGTCAGTATAGCAGTCAAAAGTGCAGCGTACCTCGTCTTCCGCCGTGCTATGGTACTTATAGACATTTCTAAGGAATTCATAGCGTTCCAGCAACAGCTGCGTGTCCTTTCCGCCGCGTTCTAAGGCCAACGCGGTGGTGTGAAGCTTGTCCAACTCGGCCTTAATCGCTTTGTGAAAGAACAAAAGGTGCGAGATGGGAGAAGACGCCAGCGTACGGACTAACGGCAGCGACGGCACGAGACCGCCAGGAACATTCTCCACCTGGACGGGACCGACAGACGCCATCAGCGAACGCAAAATGACCTCCCACTCCACAATTTCTACAAAGCAACTTCAATCTCAGCACCTCGCAACAAGGCCCTTTGGATAGGCAGCGAGTGACGAAGGAAACCGCACTGACCCTACCGCACCGTACCGTCTTTCATGCGAATGTGTGGATATGGAACAGAAAGCAAGGCCACATGGTGACCACATGTGTGTGTGAGTGAAGGTCGGCCCAGCTTTTCTTCAGCCAACCCCAAAGAGCCTTTTCCACCGAACAAGCCTTGATTTCTCCTGATCTCGTGGTCAGCACGCATGTAGGGTTTGGCTGCACAGAAAAGCAGTTTCCAGCGTCAGCATTGAGAGTGGTGCTCGCTATTTGCACGCCCGTCTCGGGCAACGAATCTGGCGTACATCCCTAGGAACGGGCAGGGCTTACGTGGCAACGCAGTGACGTGGGGGCGGTTTCCCTGCTTCACAGTGAAGATTGCTGCGGGGTGTTGGCAAGGCACCACAATTGTCGTGATGAATGTGCGTGTAACGATATCGGGGGGGGTTCTCCGTTGCAATGCACTGGTTCCCTCCAACATTTGATTACTTCCCTGAACCCACTCTCTCTTGCTTTCAAATTCCAGACCAAACCACCTTTCAGATTCCAATCCACCTCCTCCACGTTTCAACCCTTCGTCCAACACCAGTAGTTCCCCCAATTGAAATCGACCAGATTCACGATAAGATCACCGTCCGTCTCGCTGACATTCCAGCACAACACCATCTTTTTGCAGGTCATGTCGAGAAGTCCGAAAAGGAGCGTTCATGATTATACCTCTCGAGTCCCTCCAGGTGGGTGCTTTGACATTACCAGACTATCATGTGTTCTATGTCGTGTTGACGACTAGTCTCTTGCAGTGACCGAGCTGCTCCAACCACTTGTGGAGGAGCATTGTCCCTCCCTATCTTACGTCTTCGGCAACCATAATGGCATGTTTGAAGCTTTGAACAAAAGTTCCCCTCAGCATTCGCTTGCTCGTTTTTCCGCACCGTCGTCCGACCTCCGGCCACCTTTTAGATCGGTTTATCAGAATGGCCTGTTTAACCAGGGTTTGTCTGGCACGAATAAATACCAGATGAAATCACCCAGCATCTTAAGCCGTCAGCCTAGCGCTCCTTCGCCGAGCCAGGGCATGACCAAGGCAGAACCAGGTTCTTCTGCAACACGGCCGCCGCGTAACAGTACTTTTAACAACAGGAGCAGCATATACAGCGAGCAGGAATACGAGATTGCGAAGAACCTTGGAAGGCATTTGCTTTCCCGACCTTCTGTTAGAGCTTCTGGATCTGGGCGAAATTCGGTTACCAGCATTGATGAAGACCGCTCGCGGCAATCCACTGCCAGTCATGCTTCTGTGACGGTGTCAGATTTGGAATTGCTGCTACAAGAGGGATCCGATGGAGCTGGAAGAAGCAGCACCTCCGAATGCTAGAAGAAGAGGTCAATACAATGACAGCGTTTGCTTAGTTGCTCTCTGATTACATTGGACAATTTGGTGGAGAAACGGCTAGAGCAAAGCTCCTTGACATGACAAAACATGGCAATAATGAACAGAGACCGTGATTGTAGCCCCTGGCACCAGCTGGTGGTGATTGTCTTTTTGCACTTTACGATTGCAAGTTACTAGAATCAATAGCGTCAATTGCTTCAGCAAGTACATATGTTGTCAACCTTCAACACTCTCAATCTGTCATCAACTCACAGAGTGCGACATTATCTGCCCATTCAGTACTTGGTCAAATCCTTGATCCCCCCAAGCCATGCGCCACAGCAGTCAAGTCATAACTAGTCTTCTTAGCAGGCGCTTCCTCTATAAACACGCTCACAGCCCCCTTACACTCCTGTTCAACCACCCCCCTTAGCGTCACAGCTTCATGCATGCCTCTACTACCGCTCACAAGCCTGCTGCTGGGACTACCAGGTGTGGCCTCGGGGGGAGGAGGGGAGGGGTGCAGTACAAGCGAGGAGAGCAAGGGACACATGCGGAGGATTCGTCGGAGCTCAGCAGGTGAGGGGAGGTTGTAGGAGAAGGAAAGGGAGGAGAGGGCCGAGAAGAGGACCGCATCGCCGTCTGCTGTTGTTTTGGCTCGCTCGAAAATTCCTCTGCGGGATTAAGGGGTTTGGATGTAATTGGGGAGGAGTGTGAGAGGGGAGGAACTTGGAATAGGGAAAGAAGTCTGTGATGTAGCAGGATGTGATGAGATGCCACACCACATGATGCAACAGCATGAGACTCCATGACACGACACAGGCACACAATTACATGACACAACATGATATGGCACAGATGAGGACAACAGAAGAATGGAATCACGTGTCATGTCTTCAAACAGTGATCGTCTTCGAGAATAACGGATGCAGAGATGGTGAGGATGGAAATGCTGACCACATTCGTGTAACCCAGTTGCTAGCTCTAGTGCGTCTCACCTGTGGTAGCCATGCAGGGAAAGAGAGTGCAGGTGGGCGCAGGAGGCGAGGGCAAAGACTCCATTCTCTGTGATGTGGTTACCGTTGATGGCCAAGGATTGGAGGTGCGGCCACTTGCGGTTCACCTGATGGGGTCATGTGGTGGATGGTGGATGGTGGATGGTGGCAGATGGTATGCATGGTGGTGGGTGGCATCACATGGCATGACATGCATGGAGAAAATGACCAGGACACATACAAACAGTTACCCTCACACATAAACAATCGAATCAAACGACGCCACGGCAGGATCAAACGACCTGCCACTGGAGGCCGTATTCTAGGCTGTGGACGGAATTGGCTGATACAAGGTGGAACATACATTGATCTACACTGACACCTCGTTACAAGCATCCACCACATGCCCACCTGCCACAGCAGGTTGTCTCCCAGGCTGTGGATGGGGATGGCGGAGCGCACGTAGCAATGGAAGGTGTGCACCTGGGTGCAGGCTCGCAAGAAGGCCGCCACCTGGGGGGGTTGTGAGCAGGGAAGGCGGAAAAAAGAGGGCCATGCGTGGGTGAGGTGAGGGGAGCATAGGAGCGCACGTAGCAGTGGAAGGTGTGCACGTGGGTGCAGGCTCGCAAGAAGGCCGCCACCTGGGGGGGTTGTTTGTGAATGGGCGGAGGGGGAATAAGTGGGGGGGATGCATGGGTGAGGGGAACATATAGGAGCGCACGTAGCAGTGGAAGGTGTGCACGTGGGTGCAGGCTCGCAAGAAGGCCGCCACCTGGGGGTGAACGGGCAGAGGGGGGAAATTGTGGGAGGGGAAAATGGGGGCATGCATGGGGAGGGGGGGCGTGGTGGGGAAGGGAACATCGCAGTGCATGTAGCAGTGGAAGCTGTGGACGTGCGGGCAGGCTCGCAGGAAGGCCGCCACCTGGCGGGATTGTGAATGGGCGGACGGGGAAAAGGGGGGCGTGCGTGCATGGGTGCGGGGAACATATAAGAGCGCACGTAGCAGTGGAAGCTGTGAATCTGTGGGCAGGCTCGCAAGAATTGATGCCACCTGATGGGGTAGCGAGCGAGCAGAGACAGGGGAAGGGGGATGCGAGAGTAATCAGATAACTGGATGCACTCTTGTCAACTTATGGTCGGAATGCCCCATGGCTCCCTACCTCAAGTCAACTCAAGTCAACTCAAGTCAACGCAAGTCAATGCAAAAGTCAACTCAAGTCAACGCAAGTCAATGCAAAAGTCAACTCAAGTCAACGCAAGTCAATGCAAAAGTCAACTCAAGTCAACGCAAAAGTGGACTCACAGCAGTCTCAGTGACGAGGTAGTCAGCAGCTACCAGCGTGAACTCCTCCAGAGTGGGGCACAGCCGCCCCACCGTCCCCAGCAGCCGGTCTGTGAAGGGCACCTGATGGGGTGTGGTGCGGTGTGGGGGAGTGCAGCGCGGTGCAGAGGGGTGCAGAGCGGTGAAGTGAAGGATTCCGGGTAGTCAGCGACAAACCATGGGAGCAGAGGCACAGCAGCGCCGTCAATCGGCGGAGTGCGCAGAAAAACTGGAAAAAGAAGCCGCGCAGAAGAGAAAAATAAATAGTCGACGTAAAGATGAAGCAGCGCACGAGGGCACGAGCACACCTGGTGTGGAGAGCAGGGGATGCTGTGACACGCAAGCCCGCCGCACCTTGCTTGCCCACCCTCCCTTATACCACCCTCCACTTCCCATACCCACCCTCCCCAGCTCGCACCTGCCCCAGCCCGCACCTGCCCCAGCTCGCACCTGCCCAAGCTCGCACCTGCCCAAGCTCGCACCTGCCCCAGCTCGCACCTGCCCAAGCTCGCACCTGCCCCAGCACGCACCTGCCACTCGAATTGAAGGCTGAGGCGCTTGAGCCCTCCCTTGGTTCCTTCCAGCAGCAGCTCCAGCCCGTGGTGCAGCCAGGGGTTGGGGCGCTCCTGAGGGGTGGGGATGGGTGGGGTAGACGCGGTGTGAGGGGCAAGGGCGGGGAGGGAGGGGACCGCCCATGCGTGCGGGCCTTCCAGCAGCAGCTCCAGCCCGTGCTGCAGCCAGGGGTTGGGTCGCTCCTGACGTGGGGAGGGGAGGGATGGGCGGCCGTGGATTGAGAGGCATGGAATGAGAGGCAAGTGTGGGGAGGCGGTCGCCCATGCGTGCGGGCCTTCCAGCAGCAGCTCCAGCCCGTGATGCAGCCAGAGGTTGGGGCGCTCCTGCGGAGGGAAAGGGGTGATGGGGAGGAAATGGGGAAGGGAGAGATGGAGGAGGAACAGGTAGCAGCAGCGACTGCAGCAGCGGAGCGACCGCAGCTGATGATGATGATGATAATGACACCCACGGCCGACGATTACAGCTTGCAGATGAATTTACGTACGCGATACAAGACGCATCCCTACACGCTATAATCGATTTCCGTTACTCGGTATACCAGAATGTGCAGATGAGTGATGTTAATCTCCTCCGTTTCTCCGCACCGCGACGCGATCTGCTCCAACCCCGCGCCGTACAGATTCCCGCCGGACTCGCCGTCCGCGCGCACGCGGCGCCAAAGCGACGGCGCGCGACACGCGGCGCGCCATTTGCGGCCGAGCGTCGATAGACGGCAGAGATCCAACGGCTCGAGGCGCGCGCGAGTGAGAATGTCTACGAGGATGTTGTGATCGAGCGAATCCATGCGTTGTTGCTCTTAGCGCGACAAGAGCTATAGCGCGTACGACATCTGGAGGTTCGAGTGAATTAGGGAAGGCAGAGCGGAGAGGCGAGAGAAGCGGATCAAATCACAACCAGCAACGCTATTTTGCACTTGTGGTGGGGACAGTGATTTGGAAGGTGTGCCGATGGGAAGGTACAGATTCCCACCATGCTGCACCGCACTGTCACTTACTGCATCGTAGAAAACGTCGTAACTCTAGAAGTTGGAACCCCAGTAATACTTGAGGATTCGTACGCGCTGCGATACTTTTTGACAAGTCTCAGACTGAGACTAGAAAGTGTTACGGTAAAATAAGGCCGAGTAAAAACATACTTCATACAAAAACATGCCCAGCATGCACACCAGACATGCTTTAATACACTACAGTACATGTGTCCGACCATATGAGTTTCCCTACTATTTTTCAAAACGAGTAATTTGAGTTCCTTGGCTCGATGTGATTGCTCGAGACCCTTCTATAAAAACGAATCTCATCTCTTCCGTGCCTGTGGCGACACCTTTCCTTCGCCATTGCCGCCGCTCTCCTCCTCACCCGCACTGGTCCCGCCCCCGTCCGTGCTGTCACCAAACGAATACACCGCAGCAGAAGCACCGTCCGTGCCGCCCGCTGCCGACACTTCCTGATCAACAAACACTTGCCTGTGTGCCGCCCCCTTTGGCCTCCACTCCTCACCCTCTGACTCAGACCCACTACTGCTGCTGCCGCTGCTGTTACCACTGTTACCGCGGTCAGCAGCGCCTCGTGTTACAGCGGCAGAGGGTGGAGGGAATGACGGCCGGCGGGGAAGCGTGGGGAGGCCTTGCTCCGCCGTGGGCGATCGCGGCACCGAGGAGGTGAGTGAGGAGGAGGGAGAGGAGGCGCGAGAGGAGTGAGAAGAGTGAGAGGAGTGAGAGGAGGAGGAGGGAGGGGAGGAGGAAGGGAGGGCGGTGGCGGAAGGGGGCATGCCGAAGAGCTGCAGTCGCAGCACGTCATGCAGCTGATCTAACAGCTGCTTCTTCACAGCGTCAAATGCCATCTCCACACGTTGCAGCTGCAGCAGGGAGCACGAGAGGGGAAGGGGGAGGGATGGAAACGAGAGGCAGTACCATGCCTGGTTAAAAGCACGTCATGCAGCTGATCCAGCAGCTGCTTCTTCACAGCGTCAAATGCCATTTCCACACGTTGCAACTGCACAAGGGAGGGAGGGTGGGTGGGGGGGTTGAACGGGAACAGGAGAGATGAAGAACGGGAGAACCAAGTGCAGTTGCAGCACGGCGTGGAGCTGACCTAGCAGCTAGCTGCTTTTTCACAGCGTCAAACGCCATCTCCAGACGTTGCAGCTGCACAAGGGAGGTAGGTAGGGCTAAACGGGAAGAGGGGAATGGGAAAGGGAAAACTCAACTCAATCGCAGCACGACGTGCGGCTGACCTAGTAGCTGCCTTCTTCACAGCGTCAAACGCCATCTCCAGGCATTGCAGCTGCAGCAAGATGCATGAGGGGGGAAGATGGGATTGAGTGGGGATACCATCCGTGGTTCAAGTAAATTATGCAGCTGCCACGTCACAGCATCAAAGGCCGACTCCAGATGCGAGGGGGGAATACAAGACGGTTGAAAAGGGAAGAGGAGAGATGGGAGTGGGTGAACTATGCTCTGTCGCACCACGTCGTGCCACTTTGTCAGTTGATGCACTTGTGTTGAACAGATATGTGCGATACAAGCAACACCCTACCTGCTCGGTGGCGTTGGTGTTGTACATGAAGAGCCCATAGTAGAGGTCGAAGCTGTCCCCTGCCGTGTTCTCTACCTGCATGCGGTGCGCACGTGAAACGGCACACGTGAAACGGCACACGGGAAAGGGCACACGCGGCCTTTGAGAGACGGCAGAAGCAGTGGGCATGAGTCCGTAGTAGAGGTCAACGCTGTCCCCTGCCGTGTTCTCCACCTGCATGCGGTGCGTACGGTAAAGGGCACACGTGGAGGCTTGTGAAACGCAGCAGGCACGAGGCAGGAAGCAAGGGAGCAAGAGGGAGGGAGGGCAAGAGAGTGCAAGCTTCGCCATGCCATGCAGCGTCAAGATCCGTGCTGCATGGTGGTGTGTAGCGTGGATTGCCACGTGATAAAAGTGATGTTTTGAGACGTCTCAAAGCTTCGCCATGCAGCGTCAAGATCCGTGCTGCATGGTGTGTAGTGTGGATTGCGCATACCGGCATGTTGAGCATGTGGCCAGGGTGTGAGTGTAGCAGGGTGTGAGTGTAGCAGGGTGTGAGTGTAGCAGGGTGTGACTGTAGCAGGGTGTGAGTCTAGCAGGGTGAGAGTGTAGCAGGGTGTGACTGTAGCAGGGTGTGACTGTAGCAGGGTGTGAGTGTAGCAGGGTGTGAGAGTAGCAGGTTGTGAGTGTACCAAGTTGAGAAGTGTCTCGTATCCCTTGGTGTTGATGGGTGTGCTCTCCAGGCCTAGCTTGCCCAACACTCTGCATGCAATGGCGGTGGTGTTGTACAAGGTGTGATTGTAGCAGGGTGTGTGTGACTGTAATCATACCAGGTTGAGAAGCGTCTCGTATCCCTTGGTGTTGATGGGTGTGCTCTCAAGGCCTAGCTTGCCCAACACCCTGCATCCAATGGTGGTGTAACACATGCACACACCCATGCACCCATGCACCCATGCACCCATACAGGTTCCATAAGATTTATGCATATTGACACATGCATTCAAGCATCCATGCGTATCAACACAAGGGAGGGGAAAGGGGGAGAAAGGGAGGGGGAGAACGTTAGAGTAAAATGGTATGAGTTTCACTGTTCTTGTTATCCTTGATATTACTATCAGAATCGCTGCTATCAATATGATTACCTGTATTACTAATAAAAATAGTACTACTATCACCATTAATCGCTTATTGCTATTACAACTATGAAAGCGGGGTGTGACTTCTGAACTGCCAAGGGCTAATAAAGAGCAACAAAAGAAAATGGTGTGAGACGTGGGTAATAGAAGGGTTTGGTTTGAAGAGGAGGCAGCATTTCACAGCACGGGGCGGGCCTCACCTGCCGACAGTGTGGGTGACGAACTGTGTCCCTGCCGCATACTTGTCATGCTCCTCACACGTCATTTGAGACGTCTCAAAAGGTGAGTTTGGAGTCTACGCAAAAGTCATACTTACCATGCTCCTCACATGTCATTTGAGACATCTCAAAAGGGGGACACAAGGGTTCGAAGAGGCAGTAAGGGGCCCGGGGTTGCACCTGCCGACAGTGTGGGTGACAAACTGTGTGCCTGCTGCATACTTGTCATGCTCCTCACACGTCATCTCCACCATGCGACACCCCTGAGTCATGCACACATGGGGAGATGAGGAGATGATGCGATGGGATGGATGGGATGGGGTGGGATGGAATGGGATGGGATGGGATGGGATGGGATGGGGTGGGGTGGGATGGGATGGGATGGGATGGGATGGGATGGGATGGGATGGGATGGGATGGGATGGGATGGGATGGGATGGGATGGGATGGGATGGGATGGGATGTGAAGGGTGGATGGGATGGGATGGGATGGGATGGGATGGGATGGGATGGGATGGGATGGGATGGGATGGGATGGGATGGGATGGGATGGGATGGGATGGGATGGGATGGGATGGGATGGGATGGGATGGGATGGGATGGGATGGGATGGGATGGGATGGGATGGGATGGGATGGGATGGGATGGGATGGGATGGGATGGGATGGGATGGGATGGGATGGGATGGGATGGGATGGGATGGGATGGGATGGGATGGGATGGGATGGGATGGGATGGGATGGGATGGGATGGGATGGGATGGGATGGGATGGGATGGGATGGGATGGGATGGGATGGATGGGATGGGATGGGATGGGATGGGATGGGATGGGATGGGATGGGATGGGATGGGATGGGATGGGATGGGATGGGATGGGATGGGATGGGATGGGATGGGATGGGATGGGATGGGATGGGATGGGATGGGATGGGATGGGATGGATGGGATGGGATGGATGGGATGGGATGGGATGGGATGGGATGGGATGGGATGGGATGGGATGGGATGGGATGGGATGGGATGGGATGGGATGGGATGGGATGGGATGGGATTGGGATGGGATGGGATGGGATGGGATGGTAGGGATGGGATGGGATGGGATGGGATGGGATGGGATGGGATGGGATGGGATGGGATGGGATGGGATGGGATGGGATGGGATGGGAGTGAGGATTGGGATGGGATGGGATGGGATGGATGGGATGGATGGGATGGGATGGGATGGGATGGGAATGGGATGGGATGGGATGGGATGGGATGGGATGGGATGGGACTGGGATGGGATGGGATGGGATGGGATGGGATGGGATGGGATGGGTTGGGATGGGATGGGAATGGGATGGATGGATGGGTTGGGATGGGATGGGATGGGATGGGATGGGATGGGATGGGATGGGATGGGATGGGATGGGATGGATGGATGGGATGGGATGGGTGGGATGGGATGGGATGGATGGATGGGATGGGATTGGGATGGGATGGGATGGGATGGGATGGGATGGATGGGATGGGATGGATGGGATGGGATGGGATGGGATGGGATGGGATGGTGATGGGATGGGATGGGATGGGATTGGGATGGGATGGGATGGGATGGGATGGGATGGGTGGGATGGGATGGGATGGGATGGATGGGATGGGATGGGATGGGATGGGATGGGATGGGATGGGATGGGATGGGATGGGATGGGATGGGATGGGATGGGATGGGATGGGATGGGATGGGATGGGATGGGATGGGATGGGGTGGGATGGGATGGGATGGGATGGGATGGGATGGGATGGGATGGGATGGGATGGGATGGGATGGATGGGATGGGATGGGATGGGATGGGATGGGATGGGATGGGATGGGATGGGATGGGATGGGATGGGATGGGATGGGATGGGATGGGATGGGAATGGGTTGGGATGGGATGGGATGGGATGGGATGGGATGGGATGGGATGGGATGGGATGGGATGGGATGGGATGGGATGGGATGGGATGGGATGGGATGGGATGGGATGGGATGGGTTGGGATGGGATGGGATGGGATGGGATGGGATGGGATGGGATGGGATGGGATGGGATGGGATGGGATGGGATGGGATGGGATGGGATGGGATGGGATGGGATGGGATGGGATGGGATGGGATGGGATGGGATGGGATGGGATGGGATGGGATGGGATGGGATGGGATGGGATGGGATGGGATGGGATGGGATGGGATGGGATGGGATGGGATGGGATGGGATGGGATGGGATGGGATGGGATGGGATGGGATGGGATGGGATGGGATGGGATGGGATGGGATGGGTATGGGATGGGATGGGATGGGATGGGATGGGATGGGTTGGGATGGGATGGGATGGGATGGGATGGGATGGGTTGGGATGGGATGGGATGGGATGGGATGGGATGGGATGGGATGGGATGGGATGGGATGGGATGGGATGGGATGGGATGGGATGGGATGGGATGGGATGGGATGGGATGGGATGGGATGGGATGGGATGGATGGGATGGGATGGGATGGGATGGGATGGGGATGGGATGGGATGGGATGGGATGGGATGGGATGGGATGGGATGGGATGGGATGGGATGGGATGGGATGGGATGGGATGGGATGGGGTGGGGTGGGATGGGATGGGATGGGATGGGATGGGATGGGATGGGATGGGATGGGATGGGATGGGATGGGATGGGATGGGATGGGATGGGATGGGATGGGATGGGATGGGATGGGATGGGATGGGGTGGGGTGGGATGGGATGGGATGGGATGGGATGGGATGGGATGGGATGGGATGGGATGGGATGGGATGGGATGGGATGGGATGGGATGGGATGGGATGGGATGGGATGGGATGGGATGGGATGTGAAGGGTTGGGATGGGATGGGATGGGATGGGATGGGATGGGATGGGATGGGATGGGATGGGATGGGATGGGATGGGATGGGATGGGATGGGATGGGATGGGATGGGTTGGGATGGGATGGGATGGGATGGGATGGGATGGGATGGGATGGGATGGGATGGGATGGGATGGGATGGGATGGGATGGGATGGGATGGGATGGGATGGGATGGGATGGGATGGGATGGGATGGGATGGGATGGGATGGGATGGGATGGGATGGGATGGGATGGGATGGGATGGGTTGGGATGGGATGGGATGGGATGGGATGGGATGGGTTGGGATGGGATGGGATGGGATGGGATGGGATGGGATGGGATGGGATGGGATGGGATGGGATGGGATGGGATGGGATGGGATGGGATGGGATGGGATGGGATGGGATGGGATGGGATGGGATGGGATGGGATGGGATGGGTTGGGATGGGATGGGATGGGATGGGATGGGATGGGTTGGGATGGGATGGGATGGGATGGGATAAGAAATGGAAAATCTGCATAAATCAGACACTCTTCCTTCTCCTTCTCGCCCACAGCTTTCTGCACTGGTCATTCACTTGCCTCCATCCCACTCCCTCACCACCACCTCCCCACCTCCTCTACTCCCCCCACCTCCTCACCTCCCCGTGGAAGATCTGCAGGAATCGGTCGGCCTTCTCCGCCCTCTCCCCCGGGGTGATGCGCACGCGGTCAAACACAAACGACAGCCCCTCCCACGAGCCCTTGCCGCTCTCCGGGCCGAACATGGGATGCGTGCAGAGGATGTCAAACTCGGGGGGGAGCACCTGGTAATGGAGAGAGGAGAGTAGAGAAGGGAGGAGTAGAACGTGTGCACGGGAGGAGATGATGGGAGGAGATGATGGGAGGAGATGATGGGAGGAGATGATGGGAGGAGATGATGGGAGGAGATGATGGGAGGAAATGATGGGAGGAGATGATGGGAGGAAGAGGGCCCCTTGCCGCTCTCGGGATCGAACATGGCGTGCGTGGGGGAGCACCTGGTGTGTCGGTCGGTGGGGAGGGGGATGGAGAAGGAAGATCAGAACGTGTTCAGTGCTTGGGAGGAGAGGAGGGGGAGCCACTTCTGCTCTCAGGACCGAACATGGGGTGCGTGCAGAGAATGTCAAACTCGAAAGGGAGGAAAATCAGAGTCAATGGATGGACCGTGACAGAGAAGATCTTCATTCTATCGCATTACACTGCACTGCATCGCATCGCATCGCATTGCATTGCACGAGCAGCAGCCAATCAGCGCACCTACCTGCAGCAGCAGCATCTTGGGGAAGACCTTGACCGACAGCACGTCCACAAAGCGTGTTTGCGCTCGCTTGATACACTGGTGCGTGCAATGTATACCCACTGCCATGCCATGAGGGCAGTCGGTCGGCCGTCACCCACCTGCAGTCAGTCGGCCGTCACCCACCTGCAGTCGGTCGGCCGTCACCCACCTGCAGTCGGTCGGCCGTCACCCACCTGCAGTCGGTCGGCCGTCACCCACCTGCAGTCGGTCGGCCGTCACCCACCTGCAGTCGGTCGGCCGTCACCCACCTGCAGCAGCAGCATCTTGTGGAAGACCTTGACTGACAGCACGTCCACTAAGAGCGTGTTGTGCTGGAAACACAGGATCAGTGCACAATTGCTGCATTGCACGGCACCGCATTGCATTGCATTGCATTGCATTGCATTGCATGTCAGTCAACACACCTGCAGCAGCAGCATCTTGGGGAAGACCTTGACGGAGAGCACGTCCACGAAGAGCGTGTTCCTCTTGAGGCGCTGCAGTGGCAGCGAGCGCAGGAGACCGTCGCTACTGATGATGGACGTGCAGAGGAGAACAACATCAGGGTGCTCCTCACAGAAATCGTCCATGCCACTGGGGGGTATTGGGATGGATGGGAAACAGTTCGAAAGGGGTGGGGAGAGATTGCAGTGGCAGTGAGCGCAGCAGCGAGTTGCTGGAGATGATGGACGTGCAGAGGAGGACGACATCCGGGTGCTCTTCACAGAAATCGTCCATGTCACTGGGGGGAAGGGGAGGGAAAGGAAGGGAGGAGGCGGAGGCAGTGAGCGCAACAGCGCGTCGCTTGAGATGATGGACGTGCACAGGAGCACAGGAGCACCACGGTGGGCAGATCCACCTCAGTACCAAAACGGCAGCTTTTCTCAATTCCAACGCGCTCAGGCAGGCACTCACGCGAAGAAGCGCACGCCCATCTCCTTGGCGACCTGGCTTCTGAGTTGACTTGCATTTCACCACCCTTGGACTTCACCCAGCACCGCACGCATCATTCGTTGCTACCCTACCGGTGCTAATAGCTTTCCTTCCCACTCACGTGAAGAAGCGCACGCCCATCTGCTTCGCGACCTGCGAGTAGTCGGACCGCGACCACGCTGTCAGGCGGTGCCCGTGGCGCGCGAAGCGCCGCGCCAAGAACTGCCCGAAATTGCCGAACCCCAGAATGCCGATGTTCAGCCTGCCCTTCTCTTCCAGCTGCCGCTTCTGATTGGCGGAGAGGCCAGAGGGAAGGGAGACAGGATGACAAAAAAATATTTGGTGGGGGGAGGTTGGGGGAGTGGAGAACGCGTTAGCGAGACGAGAGGGGGAAAAGAACGGGAGAGAAAAAGGAGCAGGGGGCTAAGAGTGAAGAAAGACAAATCGTTTGAGCGTGACTCGTTTGAGAGTTTTTTTGTCTAATGCTCGCTATTGTCACTCGTCAGCGCGTCGGTACATTCACCTGTCGATGCTCGTAATCGAACGGCTGTGCTGCGTCGAGCGCGCGGATCGGCACCACTCCGCCTTTATTCGCATCGCGCCGCGAGCCGCGGCGTGATCTCATTGGCTGGCCTCTGATCGGGTGAGCGACGCTAAGCGACGAAAGGCCGCAAATAAACGACGCTGCATTCTCCAGGTGCGAATGTCGCAAATGTCGCGAAAGTCGCGAATGGACCGGGCTTGCAATGGTGAGATCGCCTATTAGCGCGTTCGACGGCGCACCTACCACACGGAGCGCCATCATCAAAGTCTGGATAATGCCTGATCAAACGGGATTCACGGGGTTGTGACGCGATCCGCCGTGGATTTCAAACGATAGAGCGACAGGAAAGGAGCTTCTTTTGATTTTCTCCAAAAAAACGTAATCCGGCACGAAGTTCAAACCATAGAATGGCAGAAAAGCAAGGAATGAGGGGGAAACCTGACGCTCAGCGGGAGGAAGGAATGGGGGAGACAGACAGCGGCTGGCGTGTTTCACGCTAAAAGCCCTCCACCGCCAAGCTGAACAAATGAGGAAAGATTTGGAACCTGGGGAATGTCGTGGCTGGTACGAAATACCTGAAAATACACGACTGTACTGTGTAACAGCCCAGATAAAAAAGGAGGGCGCACTAGAGTTCGATTGCGAAACTCCCTTCTCTTCGCACACAAACTACGGTTACAGCGTGCGTACGCAACAGATTAGGCGGGGGCTGGCACACTTGCACCTTCGTGAATCTGACTTGCACCGAACCAAACCGTCACGTTCCCCCGCGAGCCTTAACTTCCCGCCAAAACCAGTCCCGTCAAAGGTTAGGAGAGCACAAGCCTTTACGAGGACAGCAAGGTTGTTTTATCACTGTCAACGCCTCACGCGATTCGGGCTCTTATAACGAGTTATCTGAGAGGCCCGCAACCATCGCCCTCCTCTTCGACATAACTCCCTGTGGACGGCGGCTTACCCCCATCGATATCATCAGTCATGGCGACGACTAGTCGCGTCCTACCGATGCAAAGCGCATCCCCGCTACTGTCGAGATCAACGCTCGGCCGACAACGAGCGACGGCGTCCGTTGCGCCGTGTAATGCGGGCAGCGAGTCGGGCGTGCGACAACGCATTCAGGTGCCGCTGCTTCGCTGTGCAACCTCGCTTTCTGTTATTTCCCGTCTAGAAATAAGTGCGGTATTGTGATTGCGTCAGCTCGATCGCGTCAGACTGATCGCGGTCAGCTTTGTGTCGCCAGCGCACCAAGTCGCGGTATCACTATCGTATTCTGCTGCTAGTATCGCGCCTCGCTGCTAGTATCCCCCTTCGCTGCTTTTCTCTTAAGGCCAGCTCTTCTTTCGTGTCCTCCCTCTCCTCCCCTCTCCCACCTTCCCACCCCCCCTCTCCCCCCTTCACGTTCCCCCCTCTTCCCGTCAGTCTGGCCTTGCGCGGATAAGCGGCGTGCGAATCACCCCCGTGCGGACACCCGCGCGCGGAAGAGCAGCGCCATCCGCGGAGGGGGCGCGCAAGCGCGGGGGGCTATTGGTGGTGCGCGCCGTGGGGGATCACCAGCTAGCGCCGCTGCCGTACCAGCTGGTACGCGCTCCCCCCTCTTAAACCCTCCGCGCGCCGGCGGAGCGGGTGCTTGTGGTAGATGCGCCGCCCCTGATGCTTGCCCCTGCCCTGGGTTTGGGTTTAAAGATGGCGCATGGCAACGCCTTAAACCTCAAACCTTGCACATCCCCGTAATCTTTTATCATCTCTACTCTTCCCTCGGGGACCCCTCCCCCTTCCCCAACCCAACCCCCTCCTCCCAACCCGTTAAACCCCTGTTGTTTCCTCTCCTTCCACCCTTACCCCTTTCGCTTTCCCCCCTTCCCTCCTCCGCCCTTCCACTCCTCCTCCCACAGGATGCCTTAGAGCCGCACATCTCGCGGTCGGCGCTGGAAGCCCATTGGTCGGGGCACCACGGGCGCCAGCTGGCGGCGCTGAACCGCCAGCTGGACGCTGACCTGGCGCTGAAGCGGCTGCCATTAGAGGAGCTGGTGAAGGTGGCTTATAACGGGGGCAACCCCCTCCCCTGCTTCAACCTCGCTGCTGAGGTGGGTGAATAAGAGGGGAGGGAACTGAGATGTGCTTATAACACGGGGTAGTGTTCTAAAGGCGCGTAAGATGGGGTTACGAGCATGAAAGAGCTTGTGACAACAAGTATTTAGGGCGTATCTCACTTCGGGTCATAAGGCCGCTTTGAGTCATCACTGTACACTTTGGGTCATGGGAGGACCAATGATATTCCAGTAGTGTAGCTAAAATGCGCCTTATTGGTCGTCCAAGAATCTCGGATGACCCAAACAGTGCCCATGACCCGAACTGAGATACGCCCTTAGTGGGGTCAGTAGAATCTCCTAATTTTTTCGTCCTCACTCCTCACGTCTCCCCACTACAGGCATGGAACGAGTTTTTCTTCTCAGGACTGCAGCCGGCAGACGAGGCAGAAGGCCGGGAAGCGGGCAACCGACCAGATGGGGAGGTGCTGTGGCTGGTCCTTCGTCCTTCATTCCCCGCCAACTCTCCCTGGCCCTCTCTTCTCTCCTTTCCCCTCCCTCTTCTGTCAGGCGTGGAATCACGAGTTCTTCTTCTCGGGCTTGCAGCCGGCAGATGAAACATCCGGCAGGGAGGAGGGCAACCGGCCGAAGGGGGAGGTGCGGCGGCTGATCTCCGTCCTTCACTCCCCGCCAACTCACCCTGACCTCTCTCCTCTCCTCTTCCTTCCCTCTCTGTTTAGGCGTGGAATCACGAGTTCTTCTTCTCGGGCTTGCAGCCGGCAGATGAGACAGCGGGCAGGGAGGAGGGCAATAGTGCGGAGCGGAAAGTGTTCTGTTCTGACTGACTCCCACCAACTCCTCCTCTCTCACTCCTCCCCCTCCAACCCCTGCAGGCGTGGAATCACGAGTTCTTCTTCTCGGGATTGCAGCCGGCAGACGAGGCGGCAGGCAGGGAGGAAGACAACCGGCCAGAGGGGGAGGTGCTGCGGCTGGTGGAGCGGGACTTTGGGTCGGTTGAGGGGTTTCAGAGGGAGTTCAGACAGGCGTGTGCCTTGTCGTTCGGCTCGGGATACGTGTGGCTCTCAGGTGATCTGACGGAGCTGATTAATCTAAATTTCGGTGATTAATCTAAATCTGATCCTTAATTTCGGTGTCTCGATCGTATTTTCAATCTTTATTGTACTCTCAACCTCAATCTTAGCAGCATGGTTTGCCACACTGCGTGGTGTCATCATTCCTTCTGCTGCCTCATACTCAATGCTGCTGTTTTCACAACTCCATCTTAATCTTTTTTGTAGACCTCTTTGTTTTTCTTCTACTGTTCCTCCTCACCCTTCTCCTGTTTCCCCTCCCCCTGCTCTCTTTTCTTCTCCCCTCCTCTTGGTCCCCCCCCCCCCCCCACCTCTTTAAACCCTGCCCCTCCCCTTGTTTCTCCTCCCCCTCCTCTTGTTTCTCCTCCCCCTCCTCTTGTTTCCGCTCCCCGCCTCTCATATGTGTCCGTCCATCAGCCAAGGTGGACACGGTTGTTCCAGAGGAGTGGCTTGCAGACATGCGAGGTAAGCTCAGATGCTATGTCAATGGATGGTGGGATGAGCTGGTCGGAGTGGTCACATGCTTGGTTCCGTTTTTGCATGGATGCCGTTTTTGTTCTAATGACGTCTTTCGTCGGCTGGGGTTTATTTTTTAGTCGACTCAGAAATAGACTCATCATCACACCCGTTTTTGTTCTAACGACGTCTTTCGCGCCACTTGCATTTTAACCTGACGTGTGAACAGCTGTGAAGATGCAGTGGCTGTGTTGAGCTCTTGAGCAATCCTAAGAAACGAAGCCGTGGAGATTCAGGCTAAAGCTGTATCACAATGTTTTCAGCCTCCCCCCTCCCCCCCATTGTTCTCTCTGTGTTCTGAATTCCTCCCCCAGTGCCCAACACGTACCGCCTGCAGGTGGCACACCTGCGAGTGGAGAGGACAGTCAACGCCTTCAACCCCCTTGTCTTCGACCGCATTGTGAGTCGTTCAGTCACTCCCCTCATTCGGAACGGTTTTTTAGGCGCCCCTCAAAAGTCATCTGCGAGTGGAGAGGACAGTCAACGCCTTCAACCCGCTTGTCTTTGACCGCATCGTGAGTCGTAGCTGGAGTTTGTTTTCCATATTTTTCGCCATCTGTTTTCCGTGAATCGATTCACCTTGCGTCTGTTTTAGATGCCTCAAGGATGCAAGGCAAATTGATGAATACAACCTGGCCGTCTTTGACCGCGTTGCGAACAGTACCCTGCCCTGTTTTGTTCTGCCCCCTTAGGCCAGTTGCTTGCTGTGAAACTTCTGTGATCCTCCTAAGGGAACTTGCAACTTCTGTGCTTGTAACATCATGCCTGCGATTCTATTCATACCACCTCTAATCCATACCACCAGTGGAGATCACCTCTACACGCTACCTCACTTTCTTCCCCCACTCCTCCCACCCTTCCTCCTTCCCCCCCCACCCCCCCCTCTCTGTCCTGCTCTCTTCTTCCTTTTTCCATGCACCTTTCCTTGCTCCTACTACTCTCCCCCTCACCATCTCCTGCATGGCCCACGCTTGCAGCCCTTGGCGGTGCTCGACTTGTGGGAGGTACGCTGCCTTGGGCTGGGAGCAATTCGTGCTGCTTGAGTGTGCCTCGTGGTTTGGTGTGGCTTGGTGTGGCGTGGTTATTTACTGCGTAGGGTGATGCCCGGTTCTAGCGGATGCTGTCCGGTGCCTTCATCAAAATCTGCTGTGTTTCAAGATCTGTCAAATTTGTTGCCTATTGCTGATGGGTCGAGATTGATTGTGATTCGGGATGAGATTGATTGTGATTCGGGATGATGGTTGCCTCGTGATGGTGGTTCATCGTGTCAAACGGGTGGGAGATTTCCTAGCAGTGGGTAGGGGTATATTATTTTCTCGTTACACATGGCGTGTTCTCTTTCCTTCATCATCGCCTCTTCCACTTTTCCTTCCCTCTTCTCTCAACATTCTTTGCTCACTCACTCCCCTCTTTTCCCCCGCCATTCCTCTGCCCCTCTTGCCGTCTCCTCCCAGCATGCCTACCTTGCAGACCATCCCAATAACAGGTCAGCTTATGTGGAGGCTTTCTTGCAGCACCTGATGTCATGGGATGCAGTGGCAGCACGAGTGGACCGGGCCAAGTCGCTCACCAACTTCTGGGAAATGCCCGCTCCTCCTGACGCCTTCATCCGCCCAGGATTCGTTGCTGACCGTCCGATCCCGCTCGATGCTCTCAAGAGCATCAAATGACCGCTAGATGTGGCACGCGTTAGTGTCGATGGCATGCAGATTCGCATTGAAGAACATTGCTTCAAGTGTGAATAAAGTGAGTGATGTCCTGGCTCGTAAAGAACCCATAAATGTTGTATCATCTGGCCAGCGCAGTGTTGATAAGTGATCGTTCCAACTTGTCGTAAAGAAATTGTGCGCCCGTTATCTAGAAGATGCCATTATGTTGGGGAAATCACAATAGAAGTTAGAACTGGTGTTTTAGTGTTTTCTTTATTGTTCTTTTGCATTTCTGCTTCAACCACATTGGTTGGTAACGAAGCTGTCGCGCCAAATCATCGACGAAATTGCTTCCCCGTCAGACATATCGCCGCCGAGCTGCTGCTGTGGAGTGGATTCATTCATAAGTTACGGTGCAGAGCGGTCTCACGCGTACCTGTCGCGTTTCTGTGCGTTGCATTCAAGCTTCATGGGTTTGACATTCAACTTGAGAATCTCGTGGCAGGTAACATCTGCAAAGCAGAATCTGCAACGCGGTATCACTGGAGACTCAACACCGTGCCTCATCAAAGCCTGGCCATTCGGCAAGGCTCTACTTCCTACACTCTTTCGTTCTTTCTCCGTTGCGCTCTCCGCCATTATCGAATAATGGCGGAGCAGCAGAACCAGCAGCAGCAGCACATGTCGCAGCAGCAGTCGCAGCAGTCGCAGATGTCGCAGCCGTCGCAGCAGCAAATGCAGGAACAGCTTCAGGCGGCGTTAGATCGTCTCCTATTGGCCAACGACCCCGCGGCTGGGCAATGGCTCGGCGCGTTTCAGCAGTCGCAGGAGGCCTGGCAGGTCACGCATTCTATCCTCGCTAGTGCTGCCTCGTTACTAGCATCCTCCTCCGCGCAGACGCCACAGGGAATGTCGCCGTCTGCCAATGCGTTGATCCTATTCGCCGCACAGACGCTACGGTCGAAGATTCAGCTACAGCTGTCAGCTCTTGATTCGTCAGCGCGAGCCGCACTGTTATCTGCCCTCTTCTCTCTCTTCCAATCATTCTGCTGCGTCCCCAACCAGCATCAGGTAACCAGCAATAGGTATCGAGCATCAGGTAACCAGCAATAGGTATCGAGCATCAGGTAACCAGCAATAGGTATCGAGCATCAGGTAACCAGCAATAGGTATCGAGCATCAGGCATCAGGTAACCAGCATGAGGTAAGGAGCATCAGGTAAGGAGCATGAGGTGACCAGCATCAGGTAACCAGGATGCGGTAACCAGAATGTGGTAACCAGCAATAGGAAACTAGCATCAGGCAACAGGTAACCAGCATCAGGTAACCAGCATGAGGTAACCAGCATGAGGTAACCAGCATGAGGTTAACAAGAGCAGGTACCCAACAGATAGTAAGCACTGGGTAACCACATGATTGAGCCTCAGGTACGTCACCACATCTTGAGCACTCGCCCCTCCCTTTTTCCCGCTCTACCTTTCCTCCCGGCGCCTTTTCCTCCCTCCCCCTTCCCCCGGATCCCCAGGTTCTCCTTCAAATCTGCGCGTCCATCTCAGCGCTTCTCCTCCAATCGCCAGGCACAGCTGCTGACCTGGAGGCCAGGCTGGCAGCTGCCATGTCAGCAGCGGAGGGGAGTGGGGGAGGGGGAGGCGGAGGGGGAGGGGGCGGGGGTGGGGAAAGCGTGTGGGGGGTGATGGGGGGAGTGGTGGAGCTACTGGGGGCGGTGGGGGACGAGTGCACGGACGAGCAGCGGTGGTCCGTGGGGGTGGTGACTCTGCAACGCAAGCACGTGTTCGCCATGGAGGTGGGAGAGGAGGGAGAGGAGGGAGGGTGGGGAGGAAGGGTAAGGGGTGCTGTTGGAAGGCAGGGGAGACTGTGGGGAGGGAGAGAGGGGTGAATGAGGGGAATGAACAAAGGAAGCACATGTTCTGTGTAGCCTGCTGTTTCTCACCTTGGGTTGCTGTTGCCCACCTGCCTGCCTGCCTTCCTGCCTACCTGCCTACATGCCTGCCTCCACTGCTCCCTGTGTAGTTCCTGGCTCCTTCTGTCCTTCCCATGAGTCCTCAACATTCACCGAACCTGCTTGTCTCAACCCCTCCCTCTCTTCTCCGCGGGCTAGACAACGTCTCAAAACCAGTCCCACCTCTTCATTCTTCCCCATCCCCACATGCTCTGTACTTGCCCGCTTCCCCGCCTTCCCCCCCCCATATCGTGCAGCTCCTTTCCCACAGCAAATTCTTGGCCACGTTGCTACAGAAAGCTTCGTCTATGTCACTCTCAGCACTCTCACAGTCCCAAGCAGCACCAGGAGCAGTAGCATCAGCAGTGGACCGTTCTGTCGGCCTCAGCCTGCTGCAGAAGACGCTCAGATGCCTCTTCGCATGGGTACGTACGTGCGTGCGTACCAGTGCACTAGTATCGCTGCCCTTTGCACTGAAAGCTTTACTATTCTCATGAGACATGCGATGTGTCGTAGCTCAGTGATTCCCAGGCAATGCTGTGCCAATGATGCAGCCAACATCCATGCCTACCCTTCCCACAAGCCCCCCTCACCTCCCTCCCCTTCCCTCTCTCCCTCCCCTTCTTCGTTTCGGTTCCTCCCCATCGTCCTTCTTGATAAGAGAGAGCCCCCAAGACGTTTCAAAAACTCTCAGTTCGTATTTTTGTCTATCTTAATAAGATAGTATTCATCACCTCCCTCCCTCCCCTTCTTCGTTTTGGTTCCTCCCTATCGTCCTTCTTGCCCGCTTCCGTTGTCGTCTCCCGAAACGCTTGTTCGCTTGTGCAGGTGCGGATTGGTTTCCTCACGGACCTGTTAGCATCTGACACGTGGCAGTCACATGTGCTTCCATTGGTGGAGCTGGCTGCTGATTCCCTCCAGGTATGTGATTTCTCGGCACGTGCAAGAAGAGCGAGGGGAGGAAGGAAGGGAGGGAAGGAGGGGAAAAGATGGGTGGCAGGGAGCGGGAAGGATGGGAATGAGAGGTGGAGAGACAGGAAGGATGATGAGGGAAGAGAGGGAGAAAGGAAGGACGGACATACGGTGCAAGATGGTAGACTTGTGATGTCCTCTGTTCTTCCCTCCACTTTTGCATGTGTGCCTGTTCCCCGCTTTTCAATCTCAAACTCCTTCCTATCTCTTCCCCCCAAACCCTCTTCCATCCCTATTGCATGCAAACATCTCATGCCATGCATCATCCCATGCCATGCATCATCCCATGCCATGCATCATCCCATGCCATGCATCATCCCATGCCATGCATCATCCCATGCCATGCATCATCCCATGCCATGCATCATCCCATGCCATGCAACACGCCATCCCATAACACGAAACGCATCAGGAGCCGAGTCTGTGCGAGGTGGCAGCAGAAGTGGTGGGCGAGATGGCCAGCCGGCACGAGGTGAGGCACGGGGTGAGGCATGGCATGGGGTGTTACGAGGGTATCACATGAGGAGGGAATAGGGTGAGGGTACGTGTGAAGCTAGTTTTGACACATTTCTTACCGTGGAGCTGGTTCTGATACTCTTACACGTGGAGCTGCATTACCACAGAGACAGGCCGACCAACGCAATGTTCCCTCTCACTGAATGTTTTTTTAGAATTCTCAAAAAACAAACGCAATGTTCCCTCTCACTGAATTGAACCACTCTCCTGAGCACAACAATTAGCAGTCCTTTGTCACATCCCAAAACTCATTCCAAGCTCGCCCCCCTCCTTGTCCCCTCCTTTGCTGACACTTTCCTTGTTTGCTCCCTCCTCACCCACTCCCTCCTCTCCCACCCCCACCAGTCCCTACTCCCAACCATCACCCCGCGCCTCCTCTCCTCCTTCTCCCAAGCCTCCGCCACCCACCCGGACGCCTTCCCTCCCCTCGCCTCGCCTCCCTCCAACGCTACTGCTGCTGCTCTGCCTGCATCGCCACTCTCCAGTGCTGCTGGCAAGAGCAGTATGGATGAGGAGGAGCGAGAGAGGCTGGTGGCTGCTTTCGCGTCGGCTATAGCCGATGTTGGCTTGGCGGTGAGTGGATATGTTTTGAGGAGCCCCAAACCCACTCTCCAGTGCTGCTGGCAAGAGCAGGATGGATGAGGAGGAGCGGAAGAGGCTCGTGGCTGCTTTCGCATCCGCCATAGCAGATGTTGGCCTGGCGGTGAGTAGCTTTTTGAGTCGACGACTCAAATCAAAATCGGCTCATTATTGAGAAGTCATTTGCAGTGGGAGAGGTTGCTTTCGCGTCCGCCATAGCCGACGTTGACCTGGCGGTGAGCACATTTGGGGCATGCGGGAGGGGAGGGGGGCGTTTGGGAGCGGGGGCGGGGCTTGTGGAATGGTTTGTTGCCAGTGCTGGTGTTAGTGCTGGCTTTGGGCAGGGACGGGACTGGATTTTTGCTGTTTTTGCATCCGCTGCTGTTGCAGATTTTGATGTGGAAGCGAGTGTTTGAAAAAACAAGTTGGAACATGTTAGCAAGGGAGGGTTTGACCGTCCCTTGGCTCAATCACCCGTGATGCACGAGAGGGATGCCTGGGGAAGGAGAATGATCCAGGCGTGTTATTTTCTCCAGATTTTCTCTTCTTTTCCCCAAAGTTAAAACAAAATATCTAGTCATTAACCATGCAGTCTTCGTTAGAGACACCAGGCTCGAGTGGCATGTGATGGTCACATTGTATTCATTTGCATCGCACGCTAACCATCACTCCATGCATGCGCCATCACGCCTCTACATGCACCATGTCTGCATACATGCATCGCATGCCACAGGGCCCTTCTCACGTACTTCTCTCGCCTCACCTGCGTGACCCCTTCGCCACCGCAGCCTTAAGGTTTGCTCCCTCCCGCTGCCTTGCTCGTCTGAACGCCATGAGCCGGCCTTGAGGCACACTCCACCCTGCTGCCCTGCCCTGCCCTCACACGTTGCCTCAGACCACTGCTGCCTCGACCTAGCCTCCCTGCTGCTGCTTTCATTGATCCCTGTCCCTCCCGTTACTGAGCATGATTTATAGCCTCTCTGCGCTCGTTGTCTGCGCTCGTTGTCTGCGCTCGTTGTCTGCGCTCGTTGTCTGCGCTCGTTGTCTGCGCTCGTTGTCTGCGCTCGTTGTCTGCGCTCGTTGTCTGCGCTCGTTACTGAGCAAGCTGGAATTGTCTGCAGCTTGCTGGAGCTTGCTTGTTGATGGTCGGGCCTGGTGCATGTTTCTCCCAAATATGCGACCATCTACTGTCCCATTGCCCTCACATGTCGTTTTAGACCACTGTTGCGTTGAACTAGCCTCTCTGCTGCTTCTTTCATTGATCCCTGTCCCTCTCGTGCCTGAGCATGCCTTCCTCTCTGCGCTATTGTTGTCTGCAGCTTGCTGAACCTTGCTCGTTGATGGTCTGGCCTGGTGCATGTTTCTTTACTGTCGCACACACTCTTAGCCGCACACTGTTAGCCACACACTCTTAGCCACACACTCTTAGCCACACACTCTTAGCCACACACTCTTAGCCACACACTCTTAGCCACACACTCTTAGCCACACACTCTTAGCCTCACACTCTTAGCCACACACTCTTAGCCACACACTCTTAGCCTCACACTCTTAGCCACACACTCTTAGCCTCACACTCTTAGCCTCACACTCTTAGCCACACACTCTTAGCCTCACACTCTTAGCCACACACTCTTAGCCTCACACTCTTAGCCTCACACTCTTAGCCTCACACTCTTAGCCTCACTCTCTTAGCCTCACACTCTTAGCCACACACTCTTAGCCGCACAATCTTCAACCCTGCAGGTTCTTAATCCGCTCCTTGTCATACTCGTATTCCCTAGATACCACGCTCGTGAACCCCATCAGAATTCTGCATCTCCACTCGCTTTCTTCCCCACTCCATCCCTCCAACCCGCCTTCTCAGATGTGCGTCTGTCCGCTCTTCCGATCATCGAATCGCCATCTCTCTTCTGCCGCTCTGGTGAGCACGCTGCGCCGCTCTGCCTGTCTCATCCTCTGCCTGGTCTGGTTCACCATCCCTGGCGGCTCACCTCCTGACCTTCTTGATTCTCTCGAGTTGTAACTCTCCTGCTCGCATCAACCTCACCTCACCTAAGTTGGAAAAAACGCTAATGTACTTTTGCGTTTTGCGTTTATACGCTACGAAAAAACAAACGCAGCGTTTTTGGTGTAGAAACGCTCGAAAAGTGTTGGGCAGCCCAAAAAAAAAAATCAAACTTTGAGTTTCCGTTCGCAACGTGGCGACGCGAGGGTTGGGTTTCGAACAGCACGAAAGTGGCTTGAAAATTGAATTTCCAAGCCGAGTCGCACCCACCACAATTGTTCACCACTTCACACACCACCACACCCCGTCAACTCCCACTTCCCTTTCCAACTTAATATTCACCAATCTTGCCTTCAACCCACCCTCCCTTCAACATAAATGTAGCTCATTTCCTCTCGTCATTCATTCAGTTTCTTTCCTCTAGCTCCATTTCCAGCATGGCTCCCCATCGTTCTGCAACACCAAGTTCTACCCCGACTGCAGAGCCTTGTAGTACTTCTGCTGAGGCTACGAGCTCTTCATTGGTCTGCATGGACAGTAACCACGCTGTTTACAAGCACTTCTTAGTGCCCCCCGGCGACGATGTCGACCACGCCACCAAGGTTTGCAAATACTGCAAGTTCAAGTTCGCGGGCGGAATGTACCGCGCTGCGCAGCACATCACCAGCTGGGCCAAGATGAGGCGCCGTGAGGTGCATCTGTGCTCCAAATCTCCCAAGGAGGCCAAGGACGGCGTGAAGGCGATTTACGAGAAGAAGAACAAGGCGCGGGAGAATAAGCGCACCGCGGAGGTTTCGGCAATCTCGGCGGTCAATGGCGAGAAGAAGTCTCGCATGACAGACTTCTACGGCGACGACGCCGCCTGCGCGAAGATGTCCGCCGACGAGGCGGTGTGTCTTCTCTTCGCCGGTCTGCGCCTGCCGGAACATCACGCCGACCATCCCCTCTGGCGCAATGCAGTCGCGTGCATTGCGCGGGCGGGAGCTGGATACACCCCGCCGAAGCGTCGCGTCGTCGGTGGTGCCGGTCTCCAGAAGTGCCGCGAGCGCATTGAAGTGGCGCTTGCTCCAGTCGCGGCGAGCTGGCGTCGTGATGGCGTTACGATAGCGAGCGATATGATGACGGACGGCAGCGGCCGTCCTCAGGCGAACGTACTTCTCATCAATGACAGTGGGGCCGTCTTCGTCGAGTCCGTGGACACGAAAATGGAGCAGAAGACGGGCGGTTGCCGACCTTCTTCGCCCGATCATCAAGAAGGTCGGGGCCGACAACATCGTGGCCTTTTGCATGGATGGCGGCTCCAACTACGCCGCCGCGTGCCGTGCCCTCATCGCGGAATACCCGCACATCGAGCAGGTTCCATGTGCGACCCATGTCCTCGACCTTATGATGGAGGACATTGGGAAGATGTCGTGGGCGAGGGAGATTGTTTCCCGGGCGGCGGAGATCATCAATTTTGTGCGGAACCATCACTTCACGCGCGGTTACCTGCGCAGCCCTCAAGTCAACGGCGGGAAGGGGAAGCAGGTCTTGAAGCCCGCGGGGACGCGCTTCGGCACGCAGTTCATCGCGGTCTCCCGCCTGTGTGAAGTGCGCCTCTCCCTCCTGCAGATGGTTCTGAGTGAGGAGTGGCGTGGCTGGGCAACTGGCGCAAGGAAAGTGAGCGCGGAAGCCTTCCGCGTGCAAGTGATGGATGAGCCGTGGTGGAAGCTCGCGGAGTTCTTCACGGCCGTCATGAAGGTCCCCTTCGTCATGATGCGCGCGACGGATGCAACGGCCAAGGGCATGATGGGCCGCATCTATGACAACATGCTCGAGCTCACCGAGAACCTGCAGGATCTCCTCGACGAGCAGGCGGACGGGTTCCTGACGAGGGGGGAGGTGGGGGACATCACGCGCATCGTGAAGAAGCGGTGGGATGAGACTCTCGCGTGCCCCATGCACGTCGTTGGCAGGATCCTGAATCCTGTCAACCAGGAAGAAGGGATCTTCAGGAGCGACATTGAGTGCACGCGCGTCCTGAAGACCTACATCACGACCCAGTACGACCACCTCACCATCACTCGGAAGGACGGCGTGGAGCGCCGAGCTTCCGTGGTGCTGCAGGAGGGGCTTTCCGCGTTCATGACCCTGCAGGGAAGCTTTGGCCTGCCGCAGGCCATTGCTGAACGTGCGGCAGTGAAGGAGGGGACGCAGAGCGCCGTTGAGTGGTGGAATTGGAACGGCACTGACTTTCCCGAGCTCGCGACGCTTGCTTGTCGTGTGCTCTCGCAGCCAGTTTCAGCGGCTGCATGCGAGAGAAACTGGGCTGTGTGGGACGCAGTCCACACGGCAAGGCGCAACCGCCTAGGCTCCCAGAAGTGCAGGGACCTAGTCTATGTTGCGCACAACTGGCAAGTCACGGGGAACATGGAGGACCCTCCCACTCCTGAAGGCTACACAGTGGAGGAGGAGGGTGAGGATGCGGAGGAGGGGGAGGATGCTATTCTTGAGGACGAGTATGCTTAGGTGAAGGGCGGTTGGATGGTGGGAATGAGGGGCAGTAGTACCATAGAGGGTGTAGGATGTTAGGTGGAAGGTGGGGTGGGGGGATGTTGAAGGAAGTTGCATGACTGAAATCTGGAAATTAATAAATAAGGGATGGGTTTTGCTGGTGCTTTGCACCTCCCCCCATCCCCACCTCTTAAAGCTCAAGGCCCAAATTGTTCAACCTTACTAAGGTTGACCGCTGGGCTATGGGGGAGGCACTCACAAAACTGGGCGGTGGTGTTGAGCGAGGGGTGTTACACTTTCGCCCAACCCTTCGCTACACTTTCAAGGGGTAGGGGCTTCGTCTTTGGTTTCGGAAGTCCCAAGTTGCAACGTGCTGGTTCACAAGTTTCCTATTAGCAAACCATCAAGATTACTAATCATGACCTGCGCCATCCGCAATTTGGGACTTGAGCTTTAACCTCAAATTTCCCCCTGCCCAAAACTTTTTTTACCCTGCCCGGCCATGCGTTTGCAGAGCGTATATAACACAACCCAACAAGCGTATGGCGTTTAAACGCCAAACGCGTTTTTTCCAACTTAGCACCTCACCTCACCTCATCCACTCCCCTCCTCCTCCCCACTTCCTCCATCCCTGTCACTCCCAGGTCAGGCCTGAGTGAGTTCGTGCCCACCCGTGGTAACGTATCAGTCGACCGAAAAGTATCCTCGTGAATTCATTTCTGAGGTGCCTCAAACATCTCTCTTTCCATCCCTGTCACTCCCAGGTCAGGCCTGAGTGAGTTCGTGTCCTCCCGTCTCAACCCCTCATTGCCCTCATCACCGGCGCTATCACCCCAGGACGCAGCATCAGCGCACGCCATTCTCCTCGCCGCCCTGCCCCAGGGTCTCTCGCATGCCAAGGTGAGTCATGGTAGAGGAATGGCAAGGGGTGTGTGGCAGGGGGGGCGCATGGCAGCAGCAGCACCCATCCTCGCCCTCATCACCGGCGCTATCACCCCAGGACGCAGCAGCAGCGCACGCCATTCTCCTCGCCGCCCTGCCTCTCTGCCTCTCGCATGCCAAGGTGGGTCATGACAGGGGAATGTCAAAGGGCAGGCGGCAATATTGAAAAACCGAGGGCATGTAGCAGTGCCTCTCCCACGCCAGCGCGGTTTATCCCATCCCTTTCAGTACCTGTTCCGTTCACACCCTTTTGCTCCACCCATCCCTGCCCTGCCTGCCAACCAGGGAGGGACCCACCGCGAGCAAGAGCTGCAGCAGGAGAGCCCATTCCGGGCTGAACATCCATACCTTGAGCACGCTTTTGAGAGCTCATTATGATAGCTTGAGATACGGTATCTCACACGCGCCTCTAACCGTGCTCTTTTTCGTTGCTCTCGTGCCTGCACGCATGCAGCTCAGCACGGCCAGAGTAGGCGGGGGAATGGCAAGCGAGCAGCAGGAGGAGGAGGAAGAGGAGGAGGATGAGGCAGAGGCAGCAGCAGAGGACTACCGGGAGCAGCTGGAGGAGACGTTGGTGGACGTGATGAGAGCAGTGGGGGCGGCGAACTACCTTTCATGTGTGAGTGTTGCTTGGTCTGACTCCTCAGTCCTTATGCGCTCTGAGAGGAGTCAAAGAGCCCTTTAAGAAGCAGCAGAGGACTATAGGGAGCAGCTGGAGGAGACGTTGGTGGACGTCATGAGAGCAGCGGGGGCGGCGAACTGCCTCTCCTGTGTAAGTATTGCTTGGTCTCACTTGATACATTCCGTGTCTCCTCTGATTTTTCAAAGGGAGTTTGAACACTAAGACGCGGCGGAGGCCTACTGGGAGTGGAGCAGCTGGAAGAGACGTTGGCGGATGTGATGAGAGCGAAGAGCTCGTGATTTGAGTCGACTCAAAACTGGACAGTAAGACGCGGCGGAGGCCTACAGGGAGTGGAGCAGCTGGAAGAGACGTTGGCAGATGTGATGAGAGCGAATGGCTGGAGCTCCAGTGCTGAGTGCTGCTAGATTCCTCTCCTGTCCTGTGTGAGTATGGCTGGGTATGATTCGTGTGGGAGATGCAGTTTGATTGGTCTGGCGGATGTGATTGGATTTGTGCATGCAGTTCGATTTGATCCGTGTGTGTGTGAACTGTGTCCATTCTGCCATCCCTGCTGTCTGCCCTGCCTGCAGGCCGTACCGGTCCTGCTAGCCTCTCCCAACCCTCAACCGCACCAACTGCTTGCCGACCCTCCAGGGCTGGAGCTCCAGCTCTTCGCCTCCCAGGCTGTGAGTGGCACATGCTGACCAATGTAGTAGCAGTGAGTGAGTGAGTGAGTGAGTGAGTGAGTGAGTGAGGGAGTGGCAGGTTGAACTGTGCGTGCGTGTGTGGCAGATTGCAACCCGTGTTGCTCCATGCACTGTGCCATCATCTCAAGCCAAGGTACCATTGCGTTCATGTTAGGTTTTGATGCCTCTCAAATTGCCTCTTGATCCATACAAAGTGTGTGACCTGCACATGCTATTTCCGTGAATGCCGTGTTGCAGGTTGGCCAGGTGGCGGATTCTGATAGGCCAGAAGACGTGGCATGGGCTTGTCAGGTGCTCACACCAGTGGCTGCCGTTGCAGCTGCTGTTGCCACAGCTCCCCAGCCTTCCATTCCTCCCCGGATACAGCCATGGGTGAGTGGGTGGCGCTACAACCATGGGTGAGTGAGTAATAAAAACAACGATAGGCGAGTGGTGCCACAGGAATAAGTAAGTGGTTCAAAGGTCAGCCGTTTCCGCTGCCGGCAGTACCACTGCCACCCGTTGCTGCTGCCCTTGCATCATCTCCCCAGCCGTCGATGCATCCATGCCACTGTTATGGGTACACGGGATGGGACGCACATAGAGCCATGGCCCCATCGCATCCCCGAATTGCATTCCCCCATCACATGTCCCATGCCATCTTCCTAACTCATGCTCCCATCCATCACATGCCCCCATATTATCGGTCCATACCATCGCCCCATCATCCTGTCAAACAGGTGCACCGGGCAGTGGCAGCCAATGTGTCGGCATACCTCTCCTTCCTCCCTCGCGTACCGGCCATCATCCCTGCCTTGCTGTACGTCCTTTCCCTTCCCTTAACCATCCTATCCCATCCCCTCCTAACGCTTCCCTTCCCCGCCTTTCCTCGGCTTCCACTCCCTTCACCCCTTCCATTCTCTACAGCTCTGCCTCTTGTCCTTTACCATGCACAACCCGCAAGTGGTCGGTCCTTGAATAAGCAGGGGGATACAGTACAGCACACTATGGTTGGTTCGTTCGTACAGCATACACACATAACAGTAAGGACTACTCAGTAAGGACACCCATAACTCCCCCGTTCCTCCCCCAGCCCAACTCTCTCACAGAAGTTTCTGCTCCCCGCATCGCAGCAAGCAGGCCCAGCAGCAGCCACACCAATGCCTGACTTTTTCAGTCCACTAAAACCCTCGTTTTCCCCCACCTCCCCCCCTGCCTGCCAGTCAATCGCTCTCTCAGGGCCTGCTGCCTCCCACATCGCAGCACGCAGGCACGGCAGGGGCCACACCCATGCCTGGTAGCTGAGTGAACTCATACCTCCCCCCCCAACTCCCCCGTCCTCCCCTTTCCCCCCTGCCTGCCAGTCAATCGCTCTCTCAGGGCCTGCTGCCTCCCACATCGCAGCACGCAGGCACGGCAGGGGCCACACCCACACCTGCCAGGGGCAGCAGGAGGAGCGGCAGCAGCGGCAGCAGATCGAGCGAGCAGGCCACGTCTGCGTGTGCTGCTGCCCTCTGCGCCCTGTGTGAAGCACACAATTCCGATGGCTCACCACCTGCTGCTGCATCAGCGTCGCCGAATGAAGGCTTGGCGGCACAGCTGGTGGCTGTGGGGGAGGTGAGGGTGCAATGGTGGGCAAGGTGCGGTGGTGGCTGTGTGCGAGGTGAAAGGTATTTCAGCACCACAAATCTGTTGGGTGCAAATTGTAATTTGCACGTCAACCTGTCGCCTATTCGTCGAGCAAGGTGAAACTTGAGGGATTTTGTTTTAAGGTAATTTGTGGTGTGTGTGATGCGCATTTGTGTGCTGGTCATTTGTGTGTTTACGGTTTGTGAATCGCCTTAGCGGTTCATAAGTTATGTGCGTTTTTTTGTTATGTTGCATTCATGAATGTCCATGACTGTTCGTGTGCGTTTCGTGTGTGCATGCGAGGAGTTTTGAGTTTTCATGTGTCGTGTTGTTTCATGAATGTGCGCGGATTTCGAGTGTTCGTGTTTGTTCATGGAACTTCGCGGGTTGTTCATGAGTGTTCGTAAGGTGTTCGTGTACGTTCATGAGTGATCATGTACGATCATGTTCGTTCATGACTGCTTGTATTTTCTGTCATGATTTTTCATGTGTGTTCATGAGGGGAAAGCGAGTGTTTTCGCTTTTGAGATATTTCGTGTGGTCAAGGTAAGAATGGGCGCGAGAATCTGGACCGCGCGTGTAGCCCAGATCTCGCGTGTGGCCACACAAGGGTCGCGCGTGTGCTTTGGCACTGTTGCGCGCGTGGCAAGGCCTATGATCGCATGGGACAGCGCACGTTCGCGTGCTGTACAGCATAACCGAAATATCGGTCGTGCATGATTGCGCACCTGAGGGGGTGCCGCGGGATCCTTAGGGGTGCTCGGGATTTGACTCGAAATTTCAGTTGAATAACTGAAATTCGAGTCTTGTCTTTTGTGACGTGGCACAAGGACATTTCGCCAGAAGCTGCGCATTTAAAGGTAACAGTTTTCCTACAGGTACGAAACGGTGAAAAAACCGTTTTACAGCTGTACAGTTTCGAGAAAACGGTAATCCCACACGAGGGAACATGATTCTACATGTGCGTTCATGATCGCTCGCGAGAGGAGTCAGCAGGGGCGTTTGGAGGAAGTTCAAATTGGATGCCGTTTTTCTACAGAGGCGGATCAAGCCAAACGCAGCAGCAGTTGGATAACCGTTTTCACATGCACAGCTGGCAAAGTCTTGGAAGTGCAGTTTATCAACTGTTTGGTAGTTTCCTTTGTGTGTGTGCTAGGCGAAATATATATGCGTGCTTGTGCTTGGTTGTGATCAACACTTTGTGAATGAAAATTGCTCTATCGACGCATTGACGCGAGGAGCTATTCTGCACACGCACCGATCAATCGTTATCGCTTCCGCAAATGAGTTTGGGAACGTTCTAGTGCACACGACTGCATTTACACATAGCGTGTCCCTCGACAAACACGGACCCTTGGTTAGGGAGGGGCTGGCTTCGCCAGGCACCCGAGGACCCTTGGAGGTGACCCCGTGGGGACTAACTACTGTGTATTAAAGGTGTGCTTAGAACCTCTGGATCCCAAATAGTGGTCAACAAAATCCACCTGCTTCTGCCCCTTCTCACTATGCGATGACTTTTCAAAAGTTCCCCCTCCCTCCTGGCCCCCCCACTCCATTGTTCTCCCCTCTTCCCCTCCTCCTCTCCCCCTCCCTCCACCTCCTCCATCCACCCATCCCTCCATCCCTCCCTACGCTTCCTCCTTCCACCCCCCTCAGACCCTACACCTGGCGCGGCTACAGCCGAAGCAGGAGGCTGACGTCATCACAGCAGTAGCCTCCGCCGTCTCCTCCTTGCCACCGTCCCACCTGCTGCTGGCACTGCAGCGGCTGCTGCACCCCGTGCTTGCAGCCCTGCATACATTCTCGGTAGGTGATTCGCTTGCTGTGCCGTCTGAGTCGAAGGTAGACCCCAGCAGAACAGGGCTTTAAGCACCGAACAGGGCTTCAAGCACCGAACAGGGCTTTAAGCACCGAACAGGGCTTCAAGCACCGAACAGGGCTTTAAGCACCGAAGGGGCTTTAAGCACGAAAGGGGCTTTAAGCACCGAACAGAGAGACACAACTCCACAAATGAGCTATGTTCACATGTCTAAAAGGGTCTCTCAGTACACCCACCAGCCATCTTCTTATTGTTTACTTTTTAATGATTTTTCTGTTCTTTTTGCTTCTTTTCTTTTCTTTTCGTTCTTTTACGATCTCATTCTCCCTGCGTTAACCCCCCACACACCCCCCCCCCCCCGCCGTTGCAACAACCGACCAACAAGAGCTGCTGTGAGGCTGCTGCCTCCCTTTAGCGAACTCTCAAAAGTGCTTCCCCTCCATCTGCATCGTGTAACCATCCCATTCTCCCTCCCTGCTTTCATCCCCCACACAAACCCCCCGTAGCAACAACCGACCAACAAGAGCTGCTGTGAGGCTGCTGCTTCCTTGACCAGGTGAAGCATCTCAACTCCACCCAACAATGGGAGGCGATGCGAAGCTGCAGAGTCGTGGTTTTTGTTCCTGTTCACCTTCTGTTGCACCTTCTGTTCGGTTTCGGCTCCTGTTTTGCCTCTTCCATCAACACCACACACTCATTGTTCCAGACACTCCGCAAGCTTTTTTTCCCCCCCTCCAGGCAGGCTCACCATTCTGTTGGAGCACATTCACCTATCATCACTCAAGGCTCACTCCAAAACACCATACACTCTTTTCATTCTTCCCGGAATTTCTCCGCCCAGGCTCACCATTCTCTTGGAGCATACCCACCTACCATCACCCGAGGTTCAGAGGCAGGACCCTCACCTGCCACAGTACCTGCAGCAGCTGCCCCCCTCGCTACAGTCACACCAAATGCAATCACCAGATCTGCAATCGCTACAATCAGGGGAGACACGTGGGGGAATCCAATCTTTCCTGCTGTCTGCGTGCTGGCCGCACCTGCAATTCCTCCTCGCCCTCCCCTCCTCCTCCTTCTCCTCCTCATCTTCCTCTGCACTCGACCGTGATGCCCTCACCACGGCGGTGGCTGCTGCTGCCCGCTGCCTTGCTCCACTCGCCATGCTCTCAGGTGATCTCTCGCCCCTTTTATCACCCACCAGCTCCAACCTTCCTCTGCTGCATCCACCCCGGCCTCGCCTCTCTTGAAGCCACGTTCTATCCCCACCACTGCCGTGGCTGCTACTGCCCGCAGCCTAGCCCCACTCCCCTCGTTATTAAGTGATTTCGCCCCTCTTCTTTCACCCACCAGCTCCAACCTTCCTCCACCGGCATCCACCCCGGCCTCGCCTCTCTCGAATCCCCTGCATGTTCCGTGCCATGTCTCGCCAATCTACCACCTCTGCACCTTCCTCCCTTGTTCAAACCGTGATTAACTCCTTCCCTTCCCCACTACATCCCATCCCACCAGGCCCATCCTTCCTCCCCTGCACCGACTCAGCCCTCTCCTCACTCCAATCCGCCTTCTCTGCATCCGGCCCACCACCCGCCCCCCTCTCCCTCTCCGCCTGCCCGCCCATCCTCCGAGCCTCCGAGACCCTCCTCTCCTTGCAACCGCAACCGCCCGCCACCGCGGATCAGCTCCAGCTCAGCACGGCCCGTGCCACGTCAGCGCTGATGTGCTTCGTGTCAGCGCCTGCCAGCGTGGCCCTCAAAGCCCCCAAAGGCGCAGAGCAGCACCCGGAGCTGCACTTTGCAACGTTTCTGCTCGGCCTCGTGCCCCCTGCTCACCTGGTGAGTCGCTCGCGCCCACGCCCACTCCCCTCCCACTCACACGCTCTCCGGCACGCACCTGCGCCTCTCCACTCAAGGGCCCCAAGGGCGCAGAGCAGCACCCGGAGCTCACGGAAGCGTTGCTGCACTTTGCAACGTTTCTGCTCGGCCTTGTTCCACCAGCTCACCTGGTGAGACATTTCCCACGCCCACCCACTCCCTACCACGCTCTCCCTCCCTCTCTTGCACACACCGTCTCCACTCCTCCCAAGGGTGCGGAATGTCTGCTGCAATTTGCAGCGATTCTGATCGACTTCGTGCCTCCTTCTCACCTGGTGAACCACTCCCTTCCCTTCCCTTACCTCCCTCCTCTGCACGCACCGTCTGTTATCGCCGGTGTGCACTGACTCCTCTGTCTCTTATCCAGCATCCTCTGTCTTCTCTCCTCTGAACGTCCCCAAGCGGACCTTCCCTCCCTCCTCTGCGGAGAGAGCAACTTCCAGGCCTCCCAGACCTTCCATGCCTCCCAGGCCTCCCAGGCCTCCCAGACCTTCCAGAGCCGCCGGATCCCCCGGAGCTCCTTGTGAATCTCTCTCACTGCTATCTGCTCCTTCCTCTTCTCTCCCATCTCCTTTCCCTGCAAGTGCCAGCATGAAGCTGCTGCCCTTTTTATCTATCACTAGAATCCCTTCCTCTCCTATCCTCCCGTCAAACCCTTCCCTCCTCCAGGCTTCAGACCCCTCTTCACCCGTGCTCCCACCGCTCTCTCACCTCCTGCAAGTCGCAGCACGTGGCTGCTGCTTGCTACCCCCTTCCATCTCCCACTCCAATCCGCTCTGCTCCTCCCCTCCCGTCCCTTCCCCTACCTGCAGGCGTCAGGCCCCTCTTCACCCGTGCTCCCACCACTCTCCTACCTCCTGCAAATATCAGCACGGGGTTGCACTGCAGCACACAGGGGGGTATCCGCCTCCTCTTTCGCCTTCATCTCAGGTGGGTCACTGCAGGCTCCTGATTTCTGATCCGACTCAAGCGGAGGGACGGCAGCAACATGCTCCTGTCCCCCGCTCGCCCATGCTGCTGCCGTCCCTCCACTTGCTGTCCATATTCACCTCTTGCAAGGGGTTTCTGGACAGCAGCACACTGGGGGGTGTTTGCGTCCTCCTTCGCCTTCCTAGCAGGTCAGCCACACGCCTCTCTTGCTCCCCGACAGGAGCAGCGCAAGGGGGTCTCCTCCTCCTCCATTGAACCTCCTCTTGCGGCGGTTGTAGGGGGTGCTCAAAGCGGTGCTGTAAGGGAGTTTTTGAGACACATTGTGACATCCCCTCATTGTCACAATCACTGTTGTGCTCACCTCCCCCTCCAATCACTACCACCCTGCCTCCTGTCTGCACCAGCCCTGATGACAGCAGGGACACAGCAGGCCAACGTTCTCTCGTTACAGTCACACTCGCAGCCACAGGCACGGCAGGGGGTGCCTCCCCTGGTGCAGCTGTGCACGGCACATGGCGCTCTGCTCTCCCACACGCTCGTTGCTGCCCTGCTGGGGCCTAGCGCTGTTTCACGGGTACGTGTGTGTGCTATGGCACTGGCATGTGGCGTGCAACAACTTCAGCTAAGCTCAAGCGCTATTTTACAGATAAGTGCGTACTGCCACTGCCGCTGCCACCGCCACTGCCACTGCCGCTGCCACCGCCAGCTAACTTCTTGTTCTCGTCCATCCCTGGAATGCTTTTCCTCTCATTTTTGAGCCATTATTCCTCAATCAGTTGTGAAGCCCTCCCTTCTTCCTTCCCTCCTATCCACTCCGTGCTCCCCCCATCAGGTGCACAAGTGTGTGAGCATGCTGCAGCAGCTCTTTCACGTGTGCTGCTGTGCAGCTCGAGCTTCCCTTCATGCACAGGGAAGCACGCCTGGGTCAGCAGAAGCTGAAGCTGCAGCAGCGGCAGCGGCGGCAGTGCAGGCAGCATTGCCACCAATGCACCAATGGCTTGTGGCAGGGGTGGGTGGCTGGGTGGTTAGTGGTGGATGGGATGGGGGGTTAAGAGGATGGGGTCGTGTCGTGTCGTGGCAAGTGTGCTTCAATCAAGTCCCGCAGCACCAGTGCAGGCAGCATTGCCACCAATGCACCAATGGCTTCTGGCAGCGGTGGGTGGCTGGGTGGCTGGGTGGCTGGTTCTGGAGTTGGGGTCGTGTTGTGTCAAGACACCCCTTTGATTGTCCCGTTCAATCATCTTGCAGACCGAGTCACCTTTAGCAACATTTCTTTCCTTCTTTCCTCAATCTCCCACCCCGTTCATCCCACACCTCGTTTTCCTTCCATGCCCATTCCACATCCCCCACACCTGTCACTGTCTTAGCTCTCCTTTCCATGAACTGGCTTCCTTAGAGCAGGAGAGGCAGAGGCAATCCCTCCTTGCGGCTCACATCCTTAATCCCTCCTTTACATCCCTCCTTGGGCCACTCCGCACCTGTTCCCCCACACCAATCTTACATCCCCCTCGCCTCTCCCAGCTACCAGCCCTGCCGCCTGGCTTCCTGAGAGCACGAGAGGCGGAGGCGACCCTCCGTGCGTGGCTCACATTCTCAAACCCTCTTCCATTTCCCGCATTGCCCCGTGCCACGCCTCGCCTGATCCCACTGGCAATCTTCCAGCTCTCCTCCCTGCCGCCCGGCTTCTTGAGAGCAGGGGAGGCAGAATCGGTCCTCCCTGCGTGGCTCACTCAGCTTGCCTCTGCTCCTCCGCCTCTCACCGGTTCGCCATCTGAGGTTGAGTGGGGCAACACCCGCATGCTGAGGCGGCTGCTGCGGAGCTTTGCGGATTCGCACAGGCACACAGCTGTCGGCGCATAAAGGTTGGCATATAATGCTGTAAAGATCTGGTACATTAGTTTAGACGTCTCAAGCATTACGGCACCTTCCTTAAAGCAGGAGAGGCGGAGGCAGTCCTCCCTACGTGGCTCTCGCAGCTAGCCTGTCACTGGTTTGGCATCCGAGGTTGATTGGGCCAGCACCCGCATGCTCAAACGGCTGCTGGGGAGCTTTGCGGATTCGCACCGGCACACAACCGTTGGTGTGTAAGAGTTGGCGTAACTCGTCATAGCTCACTGTGTTGTGCGCAATCTTTATGCGGCGCTGGCATGTGAGCGAGTGGAGTGCTGGTAAGCAGCAATGCAGATGTGGGAAAGGTAAGTTGTGTGCTGCTTCAATGAGCGTCATGCAAGCACCACTAAGAGCACAGATTGTGCTAAAGGAGCTAGAAAACGAGAAAACACGAATGGTTACATGCTCAATAGTGATTTCAACCAGGACGCAACATGATCAGGCCAATGAGCCGGTAAAAGAGGTGTGTGAAGCTCCTGTTCAGTACTGCTTTGTTTTAGGTGTAGTATAAGGTTCTGGCACATGAGATACCTAATACACCTACCCATATTTGCGACTCAGAACGAATTATTCAAAAAAACGGTCGTGCTGCCGGGGCTGTTGGTCAGCCAAGTCGCAGCAAGCGTCAGATGCGGCACCTCTGTTACGTGCCGGTGACATCAGCCACTCACATGTGAAGGCGGAACTGTTGCACGAACCAGATCCAGGGTTCGTGCAATGCGTTCCCAGTTACGGGGCCACCAGCTGCGGCAGAATCACCACGTGGATTTATTTCCTCACCGAGCCGCTCCACATTCCTGGACCAAGGGCGCTCAAGGGGCGCAGCACCGAGCCGCAATGTTGGAGCGAGTCAAACACGGCACGCAGACATTTTGTTTCGATTCGACTCGTTGTTTGCGCCCCTCTTTCCAGCCCCAAGCGCCCCATCCGCACCACACATTCACCAATCGCCACGCGCACTACACCATCCATTCCATAGTTTTTTCGTCCAATGGAAAACTGTTCAGCCGTAGAGAATCCAAGGCATGCGTGCTTGCTGCGGCTGGATCCAAGAAGGTCGCTCGACTTCGGTTCACAGCGGTAGAACAAGTTTGCTAGTAGTTTTGACGGATTGGGTAAGGTTCCTGCCAAACTCTTCCTCGCTCTACCATATACTCATCATCCCACCCAAGCCCTTTCCAAGTTCCAACTTGTTTTGTTACATTGAAGCCTTCGATTGGAGCACGCTCCCCCCACTGCAAGTTGCTGTGGTAGCTGGTTCAGGAAGTCACTGTCCTTCACCTTTATCCACCTGTGCTGGAGCAGAGCAGCTCGATTCGCGCTTGCCTTCACAGCACAGTGTACAAGTCGCCGCGGCATAGTTGGTCGAAGGCGGTCAAGGGACATAGCTCGACGAAGCGATCGAGCTCTGGTCAAAGCTGTGAGGTGTCATGAGGTCCATACAATTCCTTATCACTCGTTCCAGGGTTCAACCAGGCGAGGTCCATTGTAATAGACGCCAGCGCGCACAGCATCTACAATAGTTTCTTTTCCATTATATTTTTTCGTCTCTTAAACCCACTGTAGTCGACTTGTAGGGTCTAGCCAACGCAGCGTGTCATAATCAACTGATGGAACGTCAGTCGCTTCGCAGCCGCCACCGGCTGTGTCTCCTCCATTCCCTCGATTCATTCTCCTGATACTGCCTTTGCTCTAGTTCGTCCCCAGTATAGTCTTAGCAGTGCGCATTCTATCGTCTGCACCCTTGCCGTTTTGCAAAATAAAATAAAAATAGAGATCTCAGCAGCGGTATTTTAGACCCTGTCAACGCAGCCCGAGGGGTGAAAATGGGGGCGGCCGCGTCGACAGAGCTGGCAGAGGCTATCGGCGCCGCGCCGGGAGGAATGGGCGCTTCGCATGCCTTGAGGAAGGGCGGAAATGCGCGTGCTTCCGCGAAAGTGCAGCCGGTGTGGGACGAGGGGGAGGACGAGGCGATAGAGCGGAAAGCGCGGCAGCTGGAACAACTCAAGGACCGCGTGAACGCAGGTGAGGGCACGTGAAGGCTGGTGAAGGGACGCAGGTGAGGGGGCGCAGGTGAGGGGGCACAGTACGCTGCGGTGACATGCGCCACCGAACGGTGTTAGAGGTGAGGGGACGCAGGCACGGCGCGTGGACGCAGGTACGGCGCGCTGAGGTGCACCATTCGGTAGGAAGCAGTAACGCGACGCAGATAAGGCTCCGAGGATTGGCCGCGGATAAAGCGCCGCCAGAAGGGCCCCTTGGCGTGCACCTCCGAACGGAGGTACGAATGAGCTCCGTTCGGACCCAGCTCAAGGAATGAGTAGGCGCAGGTACGACGCGTTGATGTGCGCTGTAATTGCTGCAGCTGGAACACCTGGCACCTATTCCGAGTACCAACGAAAGCTGATCACTTTTGCCGGACCCCGTCTCACCAGTGCATCGCTGAAGCATCATGAGAATTGCGACTCCCGATTAGCCCCTTACGACGTTTGCATCTTGTAGCGAGGGGAGCTTTTTCTCGAGTTAGAGAAAGAGGTCACACCACTCTCTCCCTCTTCCTTTCCCGTTTGGTTTCCCTCCTCCCTCCCCACCCACAACTACCCCCTCCTCCACCTTTCCCCACCATCTCTCTTCCTTCCCCCCCCCTTAACCCCACCCCTCCCCCACTTGTTTTCTGCCCCTTCCTGCGGCCAGCCATCGCGTCTGGTAGTCGTGTCAAGCAGCTATTGGAGGACGAGGTGCGGCGCGATATGGGGCTGTCGGCGATTCGTCTGCGGTTCACCGCGAACGGCGCGCTGGAGCATTGCAGCTTGTTCTCGGAGCCCGGCGGCCGGCACGGCTGCAACCAGGACTCCATGATCGCGTGGGAGGTGCGCCGCCAATACCTAATACATTTGTTACCGCATTATATGATATGTTAGTGAAATCTGTACCCGACATAAGCATAGTGCGGACACGTAGAAGTTATCTCACACCTCCCGAAACGTCACCCCTCCTTCCACCCCCCTCCCTCCCCCTTTTTATCCCTCCACCTCTTCCTTCCGACTCCCCCTCTCTCTGGCCAACTCTCCGCGATATGTTCCCCTCTCTCCATTTCTGCTTCCCACCAGGATTTTAACGTCCCCGAAATCGCGGGTCGCGTGAAAGGCCGCATGCCTCCTGGCGCCGCGTCTGACGTCATCTTCTGCGCCGTATTCGACGGTCACGGTCCGAACGGCCACCTCGTCTCGCAGCGCGTGCGCGACTCGCTCCCGAGCCGCATCGCGTCGCTTCTCGCGCCGCCTCCGGTAGCCGTGTCGCCATACGGCCACCTCGACAAGAGCGCGCCGCCGATGGCGCCTGCAAGCGACCAGCTCTTGCAGCGGCTCGGAGTTAATGGAGGCAGCAGCAAGAGCAAAGGCGCTTCGGGCAAAGTCCACCCGCTGGGAGTAGCTCCGGGCTACGGCGGTGGCGGCGACGGCGGGAGCGGAGGGTTCGGGATGACGTTGCAGCGATCGCGATCCGCCAATTCGCTGGAAAATTCAGCGCCTCGGGGGTCCGTTTCCCCCTATCACTCATCCTCGTCGTCAGCATCCTCTGCGGCGGCAGCGGCGGCGGCGGCGGCGGCGGCGGCGGCCGAGGCGTCCAGAGAGGCGTCGAAGGCGCAGGTGGAGCGCGCGTTTCGGCGCGCGTTTCTGGAGATGGATGACGAGCTGCGCAGCCACCCGCACGTGGACGGCCACGTCAGCGGCAGCACCGCCGTCGTCGCTGCGCTGCTGGTGAGTTTCCTGCCTTTCACGATTTGGTTGCGTGCAAAAACGGCAGCGCCTGTGTCGCCACTGTCCGCTACGTGGTCGCTTCTCAGTCCTGGACGGGATGCCCTCGTTATCTCTCAAAAATTATGTCAAGTGTGAAAAAATTGGACGGGGCGCCTCTTTGGTTTACCCTGCACTATCCGCCCGACCGGCACGCCTCTCCCTACTCGCCGCTCGTCCGCCTGCCCCCCCCTCGTGTTCGCCTGATAATCAGGGCCGTCGATTGGTGGTGGCGAGCATTGGCGATTCGCGCGCGGTGTTGGCGTATCGTTGCAAGGCGGGCCACGCAGCTCCCGGGACCGCGCCCGCAATCAACGGCATGCAGTGCAAACCGCTCACCAACGACCACAAGTGCAGCGTCGCCTGTGAGTGGAGGGGGATGGGAACTCCATGGGGAGAGAGACACGAGCGAGGAGAGAGGGCGAGGGTTGGAATATTGGGCAAATGAGGGTAAAGGGCGAATGGAAGTATCGGCAGGTTTGGTTGTGGCCACCTTGCGGGCATTGGCTTCAAGGGAGATTCTGTCGAAGGCAATGTGGTGTTGGTGCAGTCCCTTGGGATCGTCGCTGCGCGCTTCAGAATTTGATTTCCGTATGCTGGGAACAATTTCACGTGGTTGAATTTGTGACCCTTTTTCACTCCCCCTGGCGAATGAATGGCAGCCGAGCGAAAGCGGATTGAGCAAGCGGGAGGTCGGGTTCAGGCTTCGGAACATGAGCCGTGGACGCCGCGAATCTGGTTACCGCGTGAGCGAAGCCCTGGCTTGGTGCCCTCGCGAGCGTTCGGCGACTTCGTGGTGAAGGATTACGGGGTGATTGCCGAACCTGACATCCTGATTCGGCACCTCACTTCGGAAGACGAATTCATTATCCTCGCGTCAGACGGGGTGAGTCGTGTTACGGTTCTGGTTTAGCTTCGGCAACTGATTTTCACAGTACATGTTTGCCAGAGAATTTCATATTTGCTACTCTCCTACTTATGATTATCCACAACCCACAAACTTATTCCCTCCTCTTTGACTCTTCCTGCTTTATTCTTTGTTTGAGCATAATGCATACATTCTTCGCCCACCATCAGTGGGCATGCCTATTGATACAGCTACCTCCCCTGTTGTCCATTCCTCCGCTCTCTCTACCCCTCCAGCTCTGGGACGTCATGACCCCTCAGGAAGCCATGTCAGCAGTGCTTGCCGCCCCAACCCGTCAGACCGCCGCCCGGCATCTCATGGCTCATGCTCGCAGCCTCTGGGCGGCAAAGCACCAATCGGTCAGGCCCGACGATTGCACAGCAGTTGTCCTTTTCCTCCCAGAGTTCGCCCCCTCGGGCCTCCTCTCTGGCTCTACCTTGCCACACTCCGGGCCCCTTTCTTCCACCCCTTTCTCTGGCCCTCTCTCCTCCTCCACTCCGTATTCGGGTCCCTTGTCTTCCATCCCTCATTCTGCTCCTCTCTCTAGCTTCCATTCCTCTGGCCCCCGAGGTTACTCTCTGCTTCTGCAGCAGCAGCAGCAGCAGCAGCACTCCTCTTGGCAGCAGAATCCTAATCAGCAGCAGCAGCATAACCAGCAGCAGCAGGTGCAGCTGCCGCCTCGGCAGTTCCTCTCCCACCTGCCCATGCCTCTCCCGAACCTAACCTCCAGCGACATCAAGCCAGCCATTCCCATACCTGGCTCGCAGCGTCGGCACCCAGAGCAGCGAGGCCCGGGAGTAGCCTCAGCAGGATCAGGTTCGGAGAACAGCTGGGAGGGGGGAGCAGGAGACGGGGCAGGAGGAGCGGGAGGAGGGGGTGGAGGAGGGAGAAGGAAGAAGAGCAGCAGGAGGAAGTCAGGGCGGAGGGAGGCGGGGCCCATGTCACTCATGGGTGCGGTGGAGGAAGGAAACGAGGAAGCTTTTGATGATACGGCGAGCATAGCGAGTATAGGCACCGTGTGCACGGACGCATCGTTTGGTACGGTGATCTACTCGGAAGCAGATTATAAGCCGAGCGGAACAAGCCGAGTAGAAGGGGTGAGCAATCCTCCTGTGGTGCTCACGCCTCCTGTGTGTGAGGACGGGTTTTACCGCGATGACACGATTCGAGTGCCTGTGGAGAGGCAGGTGGAGAGGGGGACAGAGAGGCAGACAGAGAGCCGGGAGAAGGAGAACATGGGGAATGGAGATGGTGTGCGATCGGTGCTGGGAAACACGGGCCAGGGCGTGAGCAGCAGCAGCACCAGCGACAGTGTTAGTCCGAGCAATAGTGATAGCAAGGCAGTGAAGCAAGGTGGCAATGGGGAGGGCAGACGAAATGTTCTCGGGCTGTTTTACAATGGGGAATTCGCCTCTGCTTCTGCCTCCGCCTCTGCCTCTCTAAGTAGCTCCAAGGTGGTGCCACTGCCACCTGAAGGCCACACCAACAATGCCCCTGAAAACCCACCTGGGAAAGCACCTGGGAATCCACCTGTCACCATCTCCATCTGCTCTGCTGATGGTAAACTCCAGGCGCCTGCTGATGCCCGAGTCATGGCTCCACCCATGCGCTCTCGGAGTCTTACCGCCCTGTCGGGCTGCATCGGTGGGGGCATGGCTGGCACGGGCGGCACGGGCGGCATGAGTGCCTCCTTGAGGGAAGTTCTGGGGAGCGAGGCCAGCAGCAGCTGCACCAGTGGCGGTTGTGGCAGCGGTGGGATGGCATGTGGTGTTGGCAGTGGGAATGGGTGCATGAGTGCGAGGATGGTGGATCGCTATGAGAGTCTGGGCAGTGGTGCTGCTGAAGAAGCAGGGGACGGGGCAGAGGGCGGGGTGGGGAGTAAATGGGGCAGCACGTGGGAGAGCAAGTGGGAGAGCAGCAGTGCAGGGTGTGGAGCGGCTGTGCGGTATGCAGTGGCACGGATGGGTTTGGACACGGTGTGGCACAAGTGCTGGCGCACAGAGCCGTGATACTCATGGCCTGTCCTGTCCTGAACCCCCTCCTCTGCTTCTCCTTCCCTCTCTCCTTCCCTCTATCCTTCCCTCTCTTCTCTCTCTTGGGTATGAGGCCCACTTGCGGACTGGTAGGCACTTCAAAGTGCAACATATTTCGACTGAACTTTGTCTAATAAGCCAATGTACTTTCGCGGCCAGTATTATCTGCAATGTGCCGTATTACTTGGTTGGGCTAGAAATTGTTGAATGTGACGAGTCACAAGTGTGTGCAAGTAAGCTTTCCTTCCTTAGTATTGGTACCTAAATATAGCTGGGGCTATCTCCCTGCAGTAACTAAAATATAATAAAAATGTAACGTAAAAAATCTGGATAAGTAGGGTATGTTATTGGCCGTTGTCAGGTGTGCTGACGCGTCACATGAAGCTCTGAAAGATTTGGATTCGAAGTGATTATGATGTGGAATGATAAGATTTGTCGATAGCTATGTGTCAGATACCCATATGTCAAACATATATATTTGTATGTTCTAGGCTGTAGTGATGCATGCATTAGAGAGTATAGGTTGTTAGGGTTTGCTTTGCATTTGTACCCACCACCTTTCCTAATCAACCATTCCGTTTTGCGTACTTCTTGAGACCTTATTATCACATTGGGCCAACAGAGCTCGGCAAATGCCCGCTAAACCACTGCTCATTTAACTCAGCACTTTCTAAAAAAACAATGACTTTTATCCGTGTCAACCCGACTGACTGAAAAGGCCGCCTTCCGCACTCGCACCCTTCAGAATGACCAATATGCCAACCGCCTTCCAAATGGCAAAGAATGAACGAAGCTTTTCGCCCTCTTTTGAATCATTGCGGCAGGGCGTACCTGGACGACATCATAGTAACCACGGCCGCATTCAACACCTTGCCGACTTGGAAGCTGTGGGGCTGCCCAACTCGTATGCTTCTACTTTATTTGAGGTCTAAGTGTTGATTAGCGGTGCATTAAAACCAGGGTACACATTCAACGCGACTCCAGGCTAAATTTTGGGCGGCATGTTTGCGGGAACTGCTGATTGGTTGACGAGTAGCGAATAAATAGTTGAGAATGGGCGAGCATGGGGCTTTTCGTCCGTGAGAGATGAGGCTTGGCAGGGGAGAAATTGATAACACTTGGATCTAGAAATTGGGGATCAAGGGGAGGGCAACTGGGTTGGCGGAAAGGGGAAAGGGGGTGAGACGATATTGTGGGGGAAGGGGAAACAATTTCGGTGGGAGCGGAATAGGTATGGGGAGGGGGGAAACGAATTGGCGGAAGCACATTCGATGACTTCGGTATACATTTGCCAAATCTCGAGGGTTCAAATGTTCACCTGCTGAAGCGAACACTCCCCCCAGATATTCCTAAATAACTGAGTAACCCCGAGGTCAAAGGTTAACCTTTGACAGAAATCCAATTGAATGTGCACCCTGGTTTTAAGGTGAAACCAAATAGCTGATTTCCACCGTATGGAACCGTCCAGAGCCTCGAAGATTGAGCTCCACTGCAGCTGGAGAGCTCGGACAGCATGATCATAGCCCGCAACTTGTGTAGTTCGATTTGGATCAAATTGTCAGCCTCTCATTCTAATTTGATTTCTGGCCGTGTAATGGAGCTTTCGCCAGCCTTGTAGACCAAAGATGCGGTTGGTGTTGTCCGACATCGCGACATCCTTGTTTGCTGAGCATAGCAAGGCGAGGGTTGCTTTCAGGCAAGCAACATTTAGATCGTTCTCTGTTGCCCAAAACCAGGCACTCATGAGTTCCAAAGTTTTCATGCGACCCCCCCATTCTGTACCATTCGGAAACTGTACAGAATGGGCGAAGGCAGATCTGGGCACACTAATGTTTGTTCTTGGGCAGTTGGTTGTGCATTTATGGTGCAAGTACGGTGTGTGGTCCGCGCTTCTCTGACAGCCTCACCGATCGTCCATCGACGTTTGGGCTTCCTAATGGAGCTGAAACGGATTCCAATTCGCACTTGAGAGGTGCATATGCAGCCATGTCACCGAATCGCTCCTCAAGCTTCTAGCTTCTCCTCGGAGACGCTTGTTTCGGATCGCTTTCGACTGCATCCCTCATGCAACACGTCATTGCCTCATCCCTTGCCAGACTGTCAATGACATGGAATCGAATCGGTAACACGAGGGTGTGGTTGTAACACAGCTGCCACACCGCCCTTGGATTTGAATGCGTCAGATGCTGACATGGACAACGGTGTGAAAGAGAAGGATCAAGTTCGAGGCTGTGAGGAACCGAGGTGAAAGTGATGAATGGATAGGAAGTGACAGCGGGAGGAAGACTGTCGGTCGGAGTCAAATCAGGGGCTGGGGACCACTGGGGTGGTGATTTATCCCCTCTGGCAGGCAGTTGGTGGCGCGTGGTTTTGATTCTACGGGGGTGTGGAGGAAAAAGATTTGGTTTTAATGCGCGTGGGTACAGGGACCACAGAACTTGAATAACCGTTGAGATGTTTGGGTTGAGCGGAAAGAGGGGCAGAGGCAGAGGCGGGGAAGGGTGGAAGCAGGTGGCGGAAATGATGAAAATCGCCTGGCGGACGAGCTTCCGCAAGGGGGGTGAGCGGAGACGAGAGGGTTTGTCATGTGAGCAAGAGCAGCAGCAGGAGCAGGAGGAGCACGCGGAGCAGCCGAGCTAGCAAACCAGCAACGGATAAAATCACATGGCTTCACACATTACTGCATCAACAGAAACTCAAAAGCCAGCCTTTCACTAGCCAGCTCAACCAGAACTCCCTCGCCTTCCAGCGTCTGATCAGCGAGATAACCAGTCTACAGACTCCCTCAGGCGATTCGTAATACCTTAAGAGTTTTCAATAACAATGGATCACACAGGAACAGCAGCGGCGATCTCCTCGCCTTGGGACGCAGATATCGACAGCCAATGGGAACGTTATACGTCTCTGTACCCTTCCACTCGCGCTGAAAACCTCTACGCCGGCGGTAGCGGCGCGAGCGACGCTGACGACTACGATTCTGACTCGGACCGTTATCATACCTCGCGGTTCTCCCTAGACTCCAATTCATCGGACGGGAGTCGCGCCAGCAGCGGCGCGTCGTGCTGGGAAGCTGAGCTCGCGTGCGACCCGGTGTGGGTCGACGACGCTCGCTCGCGAATTCGCAACGCGGCTCTCGCCGTCGTCGAGACGCAGCAGGCCGTCGCAGCCGCCAACTGGATGAATCGCTCCTTGGAGGACTTTTCGCACGACTGCCCGGCGGAAGCAGATGAATTTTGCGGCTGCCCGGCGGCCGCGCAGCCGTGCCAGCACGACGAGCTCGCCGCCTCGTACCGCGCGAAATACGAGCCAGTGAAAGCTACCAAAGCGCCTGCACACCACGCAAAGAAGGGATTCTTTGGCAAGACGAGCAAGCAGAGCAGCGCCGATGAAGCTTCGGAGAAGGTTTCTGGATCCAGCAGCGTGGCAAAGGCGAAGAGCTCTCGCAAAGGCCTTGCTTCGTTCATCGCTGGATGGATGTAACGGTCAAAATTTAGCAGTTAATTACCTCCTAGGTAGCTATTTAGACGAGGAGGAACGGCGACAGGTTACGGACGCGCTGGGCGCGTCCCGTGTTTCTGCCTCTTTTCATCACACCGAAGGCGTGCTGCCATAGTGCCCGCACATTGCGGTTGCATCTATTGTATTCAAATAATGGTGAATCCCATTTTAAGAGTAATTTTGCTATCACACTGCCTTGGTTAAAAAATGGGAGAAGTTAGCTATTCATCACACATACATACCTTCTAAATATTCATCGATGCTCATTAAGCAGTCATACTTACAAGGGCTTCTGCCAGCTGCTATAGGAATGCATAAGACTTGTTTAAGGTAATATTTCTGCATGAACTACATCACAAAGAAGGCATTAGTTGAACGCGAACGTGGGCTGGACTCTGACCCATCAACAGAACATGGTGTGTCTGGGCAATAAACGCGCGTTGACCCATCAGCAGAACATGAAGGTGTGGTTGGGGGATTGCAGCATCCTGGTGCTTCTAGAAGATCCCACGATCCTTGCCAGCTGTCATCATTGGATACGACCATCCACCAAGTCACACGCATACACACCCCACAGTTGGAATATAGATAAGAGGATGAATGGGTGATGTTATGTCAATCATCCACAAGAGCTCACCCACCCATGAGGCTGCCTTGAAAAGGCAATAGAGGATAAGAGCAAGAGGGCAGCAGGAAACAGGAGCAAGTGGGCAGCAGGGAGCAGAGAACGGAAACAAGAGCACGTGTGAGTGCTCCAGGTCGTAAGAGTGTGAGGAAGTGTGTAAGTGTGCATGAGAGGGGGGGTGCAAAGCAGAGGCTGACCTCCAGGTTATCGAAGCGAGTGAAGATGGCAGAGCAGGAGGCATTGTCCACCCCTTCCAGCAGGTTGAGGATCTGAGTAAAGGGGGGTATAAGGAGAGACAAGACAGGAGTGAGGTGAGCAGGTTAGGGAAGGCAGGGGCAAGTCAGCGGCTTTAAGGGGCCTCTATCAGCTGCGTTGTCCGTACTTTCCAGCAGATTGAGGATCTGAGTAGAGGGGTTCAGGGAGAGACGAGAGGAGGCAGGGAGTTAGGGAACGCAGGGTGCAAGAGAGCGGAGCGGCGTTAAGGGGCCCCTAACAGCCGCGTTGTCTCCCCATTCCAGCAGGTTGAGGAACTGCGACGAGGGGTTCAGGGAGGCACGAAAAGGGGGTGGGGGATAGGGAAGGCAGGGGCAGGAGAGCGGAGCAGCCCTTATCAGCGTTGTTCCCCCCTTCGAGCAGGTTGAGGAACTGCGATGAGGGGTTTGGGGAGTGACAAGACACAAGGGGAAGGGGACAGGGGTGGTTTGAGAAGCCTTTATCAACCGCGTTGTCCCCCCTATTGAAGGGTTGAGGAACTGCGATGAGGGGTTTGGGGAGTGACAAGACACAAGGGGAAGGGGACAGGGGTGGTTTGAGAAGCCTTTATCAACCGCGTTGTCCCCCCTATTACAGGGTTGAGGAACTGCGATGAGGGGTTTGGGGAGTGACAAGACACAAGGGGAAGGGGACAGGGGTGGTTTGAGAAGCCTTTATCAACCGCGTTGTCCCCCCTATTAAAGGGTTGAGGAACTGCGATGAGGGGTTTGGGGAGTGACAAGACACAAGGGGAAGGGGACAGGGGTGGTTTGAGAAGCCTTTATCAACCGCGTTGTCCCCCCTATTAAAGGGTTGAGGAACTGCGATGAGGGGTAATGGGAAAGACGAGAGACGGACACGGGATGGGGGTTTAGGGGAGATATTGCAGATCACAGAAACTCCTGCAAAGCAGTCATAAACTCCCGGCTGCGGGAGGGTAAATAAGTCACACCGAGAAGCAGTGAAAAGCAAACCTCAGAGCAGGGTTTACGGTTCAAGGATAGCCCCTGCCCCTGCACCCTCTCTTCCCACACCTCCTCTCCTCCCTTCCCCTCCTCCCCCTTCCCTTCCCTCTCCTTCTCATCCCAACAAGCCAAACACACCCTCCACAGCATACAGCCTCCCTCTTCGCCCTCCCCCCCCCATTCCCTTTCCACTCCCTCCGCTCTTCCCCTCCCCCCCCCCCCCTTCTCATCCCCTCCACCACCCGCGCACCTCAGCATAGAAGTGTGGGTAGCACGGCAGCGAGTAGAAGATGACCTCCCCTTTCCCTTCCCTCCCCCCTTTATCTTACCTCCCGACTTCCCCCCTTCCCCCTGTCTCATCCCCTCCACCACCCGCGCACCTCAGCATAGAAGTGAGGGTAGCACGGCAGCGAGTAAAAGATCACCTCCCGGATGCCCCGGATCTGGTGGGCAGGGTAGGGCGATGGTGGAGGGGAGTGGGCAGGGTAGGGCGATGGTGGAGGGGAGTGGGTAGGGTAGGGCGATGGTGGAGGGGAGTGGGTAGGGTAGGGCGATGGTGGAGGGGAGTGGGTAGGGTAGGGCGATGGTGGAGGGGAGTGGGCAGGGTAGGGCGATGGCAGGGAGGGTGGTTGCAGGGAGACGGCAGGGCAGGAGAATGTGAGAAAACGAGCAAATTGTTTCAAGGACTAGTGGTAACACAACAGCCAGAAGTAACCCTAACAGCCAGCAGTAACCCTAACAGCCAGCAGTAACCCTAACCACCACCAGTAACACTAACCACCAGCAGTAACCCTAACAGCCAGCATAAACCCTTACAGGAAACGTGATGACAAGTGAGCTGGCACCTGGTAGTGGTGTCAGAAGAAGTGCAATCTCTCTTCAAGTAAAGAAAGCCATGAGACGCAGGAGTGTTACATACAAACTAGGGGAACAGTGAGGGAGGGATCGGGTCGGTACCTTGAGGACGCGGCATCGATCCTGAGTGGGGATCGATCCTGAGTGGGGATCGATCCTGAGTGGGGATCGATCCTGGCTTGTACAGTGAAATCGCGACATCACCAACAGGCTGGTATCCGGTTTCGCCCCACCTCGCAAGTGTACAGTAAATTGGTGCCCATAATGGTGGCACCTCTGGCTCGCACGATCGACGTGCCAGCACCCACACATTGATCGTGTAGTTGTGGAGATCGGGCAATTTTGCCCCATATATTTTCGATCCTGTCACCTGTGGCTCGGTGTGTCCAGGCGATTGCAAATCTGCAGTGTGGACACATCGGTGTGCCGATCGATGTGCCTAAACCGGTGTGAGGCCCCGATCCCCCCCCGATCCTGGCAATTTCCCTAGAGGTGCCGCGTCCTGAGAATTCTCAAAAGCAACACCAACACAGCGGTGACCATTTCGAGTTTTGAGTAACGAGCGGTGACTCCTTTGAACCAGGACTCGAGAGACGCGGCGAGCTACAAGTACCTAACAGAACCCGAAACCTGAAACCCTAAACCCAAAACCCGATCGGGACCCAAAACCCAAAACCCCTAGCAGAACCCGACACCTGAAACCCTAGCAGAACCCGAAATTCCTTCCAGTACCCGGTAGCGGTGGTAGAAGTGCGATCGCTCCGAGTACAGCATGATGCGCCGCCGGTTCTGAAAGAACCATGCCCTCGCCCGATGCACGTTGCGCTCGTCCGTGTACCTGCAGAGAGGGGAGGGGAACAAGGGGAGGGTAGGAAAGAGGAGGGGTAAGGGGGGGGAATGAAACAGCGCATGGCTCACATCATGGAAGAACCACGCTCTTGCCCGGTGCACGTTGCGCTCGTCTAGTTTTGAGGCACGTGTAAAAAGAGTAGTTTTGAGGCGCCTCAACATCTAGTTTTGAGGCGCCTCAAAACTTGGCTCACATCATGGAAGAACCACGCTCTTGCCCTCGCCTGGTCCACGTTGCGCTCGTCCGTGTACCTGGGGGGGAGGGGCGGGGGCGGGCGGAAGGCGAAGGGGGAAGGGGGGGAAGGGGAAGAGGGTGGGTGGGATCGGGAGGGGATTGAGCGGCAAGGCAGAGCTTAGTGCCTGGAAGAACCCTGCCCTCGCCCGATGCACATTGCGCTCGTCCGTGTACCTGGGGGTGAGGGGGGAGATGGGAAGAAGAGAGGTTTGAGGGCAGAAGAGGGGAAGGGGGGAGGGAGTGAGACATTATTTGTACAACCATTTTGTCAATACAAAGACCGCTTGAGAGGGGGGGGAAGGTGGATGTGGGAGGATGTGGGAGGATGTGGGAGAATGTGGGAGGAAGTGGAAGAGAAGCGGCAAAAACTTCTGGACGGAGACAGGGAAAGGGTGGATAGCAAAGTCGAGGAGAGAAGGAGTAGGAGAGGGAATAAGAGGAGCAGGGGCGAAAATTGCGGAATGAAGGAGGAGCCTCAAAAGAGGGGCGTGCTACTCACTCGGAGAGGAGGCAGAAGGAGAGATTCTCCTGCTTGAAGAAGTTTCGGAGGCGCACAAACTCAAAGTAGGACTGCGTGTATACCAGCACGCCCCCCTGGTGTGTGCATTGTGGGGGGGGGAGAGTGGGGGAGAGAATAGCGGAAGAGTGGAGGGAAAGGAGAGATTCTCCTGCTTGAAGAAGTTTTGGAGGCGCACAAACTCAAAGTAGGACTGCGTGTATACCAGCACGCCCCCCTGTTGAAGAGTGAGCGGGAGAATGGGGGAAGGAGTGGGCGAGAGAGTGACGGAAAGAGTAGGGGGAATGATTGGAATGGATCATTGAGAGATGAAACAAGGAAGGTGAGAACAATTAATATATGTATATGTATGTATATATATGTATATATGTATATATATGTATATATATGTATATATAATATACATATAAAACAATACATTTATTAATTTGTATCCGTTTTCTCATCGCAACACACGAGGCATACCGTGAACATGGACCGACGCCCCTGACTGTGTTGGGATGATAAATAATCAAACAAAATTTAATAGGAAGGCGGCCGTCACCTGGACGGAGTCGCGGAGGCAAGGGAAGATGGTGGAGACGAAGAAGAACTGAAAGCGCGCCTCTGCTGCTGCAGTGCAGCTGCCTCTTACGAAAATAAAGTAAGAGAAAAGAAAAGAAATACAAACTAAAGGCACAGGGGGCTTACCTGGACGGAGTCGCGGAGGCGTGGGAAGATGGTGGAGACGAAGAAGAACTGAAACGACTTTTGAGGCGCCTCAAAAGACGAAGAAGAACTGAAAGAGCGCCTCTGCTGCTGCTGCGACTGCGGTGCCTACCAGGAGCGCCCTGTGCCGTTAAGAACAGAGGGGAGCCTCACCTAAGTGGACCCTTTGAGTTGACTTAACAGCTGCCTCTGCTTTTTTTGGAGCACACAGGAGGAGGGCTCACCTGGACTGAGTCTCGAAGACGGGGGAAGATGGTGGAGACAAAGAACTGGAAGCGCGCCTCTGCTGCTGCTGCAGCTGTGATGGCGCTACCTCTCAAAGACACATATATGACAATGACGCATGGCACACGGGGGAACCTACCTGAACGGAGTCGCGGAGGCGCGGGAAGATGGTGGAGACGAAGAACTGGAAGCGCGCCTCTGCTGCTGCTGTGATGGCGCTGCAGTCAATGCGGTCAAACACCTGCTGCACCTGCGGTACCACCAGGGCCAGCACTCCTGCGTACTCGGATCGAAGCTTCACCTGTTGGGGGCGAGTAGGGGCAAGGAGATGTGATAAGAATAGTAGGGTCAATGCAGTCAACGCGGTCAAACACCTGCTGCACCTGCGGGACCACCAGGGTCAGCACTCCTGCGTACTCTGACCGAAGCTTCACCTGTTTGTGGGAGGGGAGCGGGAGTGGGGGAGTGACTATGTGATGAAAGTGCAGTCAACGCAGTCAATGCGGTCAAACACCTGCTGCACCTGCGGGACCACCAGGGTCAGCACTCCTGCGTACTCTGACCGAAGCTTCACCTGTTTGTGGGAGGGGAGCGGGAGTGGGGGAGTGACTATGTGATGAAAGTGCAGTCAACGCAGTCAATGCGGTCAAACACCTGCTGCACCTGTGTTAAAAAAACACTGTATTATGGAAACACTGTGTTGGACATGCAGAAGTAAGAGTAAGAGTGCGTGATAGGTACAAAATGCAGCAGTATAGCTTCGAATCCTGTTGCACTGCAAACTGCTTGCATACCTTGCCTGAGAAGTTGCAGCAGGATCGGTGAAACAGAGCGTTGATGGCTGGATGACGGAGGGGAGGGAGGAGCGGAGAGGCGAGGAGAGGGGAGGAGAGGGGAGGAGAGGGGAGGAGAGGGGAGGAGAGGGGAGGAGAGGGGAGGAGAGGGGAGGATCGAAGAGGATGAGGTAGGAGAGGGGGGAGAGGACGGAGGAGAAACCTATCAACGGCACCCTCGATCCTCCACTCTGCTGGTTTGCCTTTGAGATTAAATAAAGATGTCATTATGTAAAAGAATTCAGAATGGGTCACTTCTGGGAATTGTCAAGAACGAGGAGCAACAGAAGGTAGTGCACACATGGAGGTGATAGGCAGCGGGCGAGCAAGAGGGAAGGAGTCTAGATTTGAGGCGCCTCGAAAGTAGGGTTTAGGGAGATACGCAGGGGGCGAGCAAGAGGGAGCGAGGCAGGCAGGCGCAAGGGCAGGGGAAGGGAAGGGGCGCCCCACAACGATCACAGAAGGAAGGGAGTGTTGAATGAAGCTCACAGGGGTGGGAGAAGGCGGAGAGAACAATGGACTGCCGGTAGTGCCCTGCCCACCCGTTCAGGTACCTGGGGGACAGGATGGCATGGGTCATGGGAAGATGGGCGATGGGGATAGGGGGGATAAGAAACTCTCGCACGCGGATCATGAGGTCAAGTTGCGTAAAGACCACTTCTCTTCCTACACCCTCCCCTCTCCCCCCTGTCGCAACCCCACCCCACTCCCCCCTTTCACTGCTCACCACTCGCGCACGCGCATGAAGTCAGTGCCGTGCTGCTGCACTGGCAGCTTGGTCAGCTGCGCAAAGTACCCCTTACTTCCCACCCCTTCCCCTCTCCCCCTTTCCTCTTAGCCAACCCCCCCTCACCCCACCGCTCACCACTCGCGCACGCGCATGAAGTCAGTGCCATGCTGCTTCACTGGCAGCTTGTTCAGCTGCGCAAACACCGCCTCCACGTGTGCCCAGTTCTGCACGCACCGATTGGGAAGGGCCGGGATTTGTAAGAGACGATCGACGGCACTAACCCATGCGAACCCTCCCCTTCCCAGGACCTAAGTTGCTGCCACGTATTATTGCAATGGCACCTAACTGGTGTCCACTTCCGCTCAAAAACTAACCCATGCGAACCCTCCCCTTCCCAAAACTCTAATGCAAAGCTGTATCAGTAGAGTATGGATTCCAAATTGTACGCTTATGATTGCACATGGGTTATGAGTATCAGAGAGAATGCGCCCATGAAAAACGGTTACCGGTACACTACAGTACAGTACAGTCCAGACGCAGCTGATGATCTCACTATTGCTTATCGGTAGAGTCTGAATGTGGTTGATACTCTGATAATTGCTCCAAAAATAGATTATGATGAGCTGAAGAGGGTTTAGGGTTTAGCATACCTGCATGAGGATGACGTCAGCTTGGTCCACAATGACAATCTGAGGTGGCGGGCGTGACACATGGCGTGCGAGTGGGATAAGATTTGAGAACACACGTGTGAGGTGGAAGGAGAGAGGGTTGTACGGAATGGGAATGGGGGAGGTGTGAGGATAGGGATGAGAGGAGCGGTGGTAATGTGGTAAAGTCATGGCAGAGAATGGAGTGGTGCATGGTGCATGCATGGTGCATGGTACATGGTGCATGGTGCATGGTGCATGGTGCATGGTGCATGGTGCATGATGCACGTCACAGCAGCTCGTTGCACGCCCCCATGCACCAGCACGCCAACACCACACATACGCTCGCACATCCAAACATGACACTCACATCAACTAGCATTGACCAGCACTAACCAGGATTGACCGACATTGACCGACATTTACCGACATTTACTGACGTGGACTTACATTGACTGACATTGACCGACATTGACCGACATTTACTGACATTGACCGACATTGACCGACATTTACTGACATTGACCGACATTGACCGACATTTACTGACATTGACCGACACTGACTGACACTGACTGACATTGACTGACATTGACTGACAATTGACCAACGTTGACCAGTGTTGACCAGCGTTGACCAGCGTTGACTGAGCACACGCACCTCAATGGAGGAGAGGAAGTCCATGTCCTTCTCACTGTCCTCCATAGGTGGCTTTTGAGTGCCGTTACGTTGTTGACCAGCGTTGACCAGCTTTGACCAGCGTTTTCAGAACGCACCTCAATGGAGGAGAGGAAGTCCATGTCCTTCTCACTGTCCTCCATAGCCTCGCCCAGCTTCTGCACGCAGGCAGGTGGGTGCAGGTGGGTGGTGAGAGGGGTGGGAGAGGTGAGTGAGAGAGGTAATCACAAGATGGGAGGAAGCGAGGGGCGAGAAGGGTGAGTGGGGGAGAAGTGAACGAGGCAAGCGAAAGAAAAAGTGATGGGCGAGAGGAAAGAAGAGTTAGGCTAGCACAGAAAGCCGACTGTGATCAAAGACGGCAAAAGGTGACTTTTGAGTCGACTCAACTCAAAAGCCACCTCAGCAAAAGTGATGGGCGAGAGGAAGGAAGGAAGAGTTAGGCTAGCACAGAAGGCCGACTCTGATCAAAGAAGGCAGGAGTGATTGCGGTGATCAATCAAGGGGAGGTGCCAACTGTTGTGGTAGAAAAGCAGTTGGGGGGCGAAGAGAAGAGAGGAGGAGAACGCACGGTGACGAGACCGATGGGTGAGGCAACAATGATGTCGGACTGGTAGAAGTCGGTGTAGAGCTTCACTGCCTTCCTGGGACGGGGGGAGGGGGATGGGCGGGGGATGGGCGGAGGGATGGGTGGGGGATGGGCGGAGGGATGGGTGGGGGATGGGCGAGGGATGGGGGGGGGGGGTGGAACAGAAGATACGATGGGGTACGATACGAGAGGCAACAACGATGATGTCGGACTGGTAGAAGTCGGTGTAGAGCTTCACTGCCTTCCTGGGGTGATGGGTGGGGGATGGGTGGGGGATGGGATGGGATGGGGGGAGGAGGTGATGTGACAGTGAAGGGGCGTGGGGCAAAGGGTGGTGTGTGCTGGATTGACACGAGGCAACCATGATAGAATTCGGACTGGTAGAAGTCGGTGTAGAGCTTCACTGCCTTCCTGAGATGGGTGGGAGCAGGTGATGGGATAGAGCAGGGATAGAGCAGGGAGCAGGTATGGGTGGGATGGGATGGGATGGGATGGGCTAGAATGGGCGAGGCAACGATGATGTCGGACTGGTAGAAGTCGGTGTAGAGCTTCACTGCCTTCCTGAGATGATTGGGGGATGGGTGGGGGATGGGTGGGGGACGGGTGCGGGACGGGTGGGGAAAGGATGGACAAGGAACAGATGGGTACGATGGGCGAGGCAGCGATGATGTCAGACTGGTGGAAGTCGGTGTAGAGCTTCACTGCCTTCCTGGGATGGGTAGGAGCAGGTGATGGGATAGAGTTACAAGAGCCAAGGGGCACAGGAACAGGTGACGGGGTGGGGTACGTCGGGCGAGGCAACGATGATGTCGGACTGGTAGAAGTCGGTGTAGAGCTTCACTGCCTTCCTGAGATGGAGGGGGGAGCAGGTGATGGCATGGTGGGATGGGTTGGTGTGTGTTAGATTCATTTGTGGAACTCCGTGGTGGCTGATGGATGGTAAACATCACCTCGTGTAGTGAGTCGAGTTTTGAGTCGACTCAAAACTCGACTCCGTGGTGGCTGATGGATGGTAAACATCACCTCTTGACTTGATCCACCAGCTTCATTCAACCCCTTCCACAGCACAACACAGCACCGCATAGCACAGCACATCTAACATCGCACCACCTCACTGCACCGCACAGCACCGCTCACTTGGTGAACTTGATGCCGAGGCGGAAGTGGTCGTCATTGTTGCCTGCAAACATCGCCCGGTGATCCACTGGCTTCAATCCCTTCCGCAGCACTGCTGCTGCCGCCTCTGCTGCTGCTGCTTCACCCTCGCCCCCACCCTCTCCCCTACTTCCTCCCCCTCCCTCCCCCCCTCCATCCTCCATTTCCTCTGCTTCCCATGACAACCCACGGCCCACCTGCTGCTGCTGCTTCCTCCTCTTCCTCTCCCTCGCCTTTCTCCTCTCCTCCTCGTCCTCCTCCTCACTCTCCTCCTCCTCGCTCTCCACCTCGCCAAACTCAGCAAGAAAGCGATCCAAATGCTCCACTGCCACCTGCAATCGGGAGGGGCATTGGTTGAAGGAAGAGCACTTGAGTTGAGATGCATCCTCCTCTTCCACTCCTGTGCTTTTCTCCTCTGCTCCTCCTCGCTCTCCTCCTCGCCAAACTCAGCGAGAAAGCGATCCAAATGCTCCACTGCTACCTGTAACAAGGGATGGGCATCGGAGGAAGAAAGAGCACCTGAGAAGGCGGGCATACGAGGCTTCTTGAGATGAGTCGAAAACTGACTTGGCATGGAATGGAAGCGATCCAAACGCTCCACTGCTACCTGTAAACGGGGGGGGGGAGGCGGGGGAAGGAAGAGAAGCATTGAGAAGGTGAGAAGGACGGAAGGCATATGATGATTCTATGGTAAGCTCCAAAGGGAACTCAGCAAGAAAGCGATCCAAATGCTCCACTGCTACCTGTAAGCGGAGAGGCGACGGAGAAAATAGGAGCTTTTGAGACGTCTGAAACGTGAGATTGACGGAGGTCATGCAAGGCAAGGACTGTTTGTGTCAGTTTTGGGGATTCTCAAGAGTTGGTCATGAAGTGAGTAGTCACATCTATACCATGATTGAAAAACAAGGCGAGAAATGTTTCACTGTTCCTGTTACCTGAAGCGACACCTTGGAGCGTGTGAAGCCCCTGACCCAGCAGGACAATGCAGCACTGACTAACCTTCGACTGGGGTGGCGTTCTCGCAGCAGGAGCTGCACCACGTTCTCGCAGCAGGAGCTGGACCACGTTCTCGCAGCAGGAGCTGCACCACGTTCAGCGCAGCATTGCGGTACGACAATAGGACGAGCCCCTTGGGCCTCGTAAAGCCCTGGTCCCTGGGAACGCTCTCCACCTCCACCAACTCCTTTCCTTAATCAAGTACAGAGCATGGTCCAAGCCACTGACCTTGGATTGCGGGGGCGTCACTCGCAGCAGGCGCTGCACCACATTCAGCGCTGCATTGCGGTACGGCAGTAGGACGAGCACTTTAGGGCGAGTGAAGCCCTGGTCCCTGGGGATGCACTCCACCTCCACCAACTCCTTCCCATCCACCTCCACCCCGCCTGGCCCCTTCCTTCCTCTCTTCCCTCCTTTTCCTCCCTTCTTGAAAAGCACACTTTCCATCCCTCCCTCCTCCATCTCCTCGCCCTTCTCCCCTCCCTCCCTCTCCCCCCCCCTCCTCACCCGGCTCGCCATTTCCCCCTTCCCCCTTCTCCTCCGCCTTACCCCCCCCCCCTCCTTTCCCCTCCCCCTGCTCCCCTGCTTCTAAGCTTTTAGCAGCTGGAGCTGCTGCATCACCCCCTTGACTCCTCCCCTTCTCCGCACCACCTTTACTCCTCTTCTTCCCTTTAGCCCCAGCGGCAGCATCAGCAGCGTCGGCAGCAGCGACAGCAGCAGCAGAGGCGCGGTTGAGCTTGTCGTTGTTCTTGGTGATGCGGTCCCGCGTGTGAAAGACGTGGTTCAGCTGGGGAGAGGAGGGAGAACAGAGGGGAAGGGAGATGGGTATAGTAATGGATTAAAGCACACACAGGCAGCAGCAGAGGCGCGGTTGGGCTTGTCGTTGTTCTTGGTGATGCGGTCCCGCGTGTGAAAGACGTGGTTCAGCTGGGGGGAGGAGAGGGGTGGGAGAGTGAGCGGGGAAGAGGACGGGATGAGAGGGGGATCATGAGGAGAGAATTGACTCAGAGGCTCGGTTGAGTTTGGCGCTCTTGGTGATGAGGACACGCGTGTGAACGAGGTGGTTTAGCTGGGGAGAGGAGAGGGGTGGGAGAGTGAGCGGGGAAGAGGACGGGATGAGAGGGGGATCATGAGGAGAGAATTGACACAGAGGCTCGGTTGAGTTTGTCGCTCTTGGTGATGAGGACACGCGTGTGAACGAGGTGGTTGAGTTGGGAAGAGCAGAGAGGAAGAGGGGGGTATTGGAAGGGGAAGTGAGACTCGGTTGAGACAGGAAGCAGCAGCAGAGGCTCGGTTGAGTTTGCCGCTCTTGGCGATGAGGACACGCGTGTGAATCAGGTGGGAAGAGGCGGGTTTTGAGTCGAATCAAAAATCGTCTCATCAGGCTTGTTTTGAGTCGACTCAAAACGAGGTGGGAAGAGGCAGGTTTTGAGTCGAATAAAAAATCGTCTCATCAGGCTCGGTTGAGTTTGCCGCTCTTGGCGATGAGGTCACGCGTGTGAAAGAGGTGGCTGAGCTGGGAAGAGGTGGGGGGAAGAAGAGGCGGGGGAGGGAGGAGGTGAGAGGACGGGCAGGAATGAAGTTAAAGACCGGACGTGAAAGCAGTTCAGCTATGTGTGTGTGTGTGTGTGTGTGTGTGTGAGTGAGTGAGTGCGTGTATGTGTGTGTCTGTGTGAGTGAGTGTGTGTGTGTGTGTGTGTGTATGTGGCTAAGGGACAGTTGAGAGAAGGTGCAAGCAGGTGAGTTAGCGCACAGTACCGCGTGCAGCAGGCCAGGGAGGCGTCTGTGAGGGCCTGTGCGTCCAGAAGCGAGGCAAACTTGGACTGAGCTTGCAGCAGAGTTCAACAGCAGGTGAGCACAGGCAAACAGGCAAGCAGGCAAGCAGGCAAGGGCGTAAGGGCGCGTACCGCGTGCAGCAGGTAGGCGTCTGTGAGGGCCTGTGCGTCCAGTGGCGAGCCGAACTTGGACTGAGCGGCGTGGTTGACAGGAAAGGGAAGTAGGAGCATGCAGCAGCACCGTTGAGAGCAGGTGCACACAGGCAAAAGGACGTACCGCGTGCAGCAGGTACGCGTCGGTGAGCGCCTGTGCGTCCAGAGGCGAGCCGAACTTGGACTGAGCGGCGTGGTTGACAGGAAAGGGAAGTAGGAGCATGCAGCAGCACCGTTGAGAGCAGGTGCACACAGGCAAAAGGACGTACCGCGTGCAGCAGGTACGCGTCGGTGAGCGCCTGTGCGTCCAGAGGCGAGCCGAACTTGGACTGAGCGGCGTGGTTGACAGGAAAGGGAAGTAGGAGCATGCAGCAGCACCGTTGAGAGCAGGTGCACACAGGCAAAAGGACGTACCGCGTGCAGCAGGTACGCGTCGGTGAGCGCCTGTGCGTCCAGAGGCGAGCCGAACTTGGACTGAGCGGCGTGGTTGACAGGAAAGGGAAGTAGGAGCATGCAGCAGCACCGTTGAGAGCAGGTGCACACAGGCAAAAGGACGTACCGCGTGCAGCAGGTACGCGTCGGTGAGCGCCTGTGCGTCCAGAGGCGAGCCGAACTTGGACTGAGCGGCGTGGTTGACAGGAAAGGGAAGTAGGAGCATGCAGCAGCACCGTTGAGAGCAGGTGCACACAGGCAAAAGGACGTACCGCGTGCAGCAGGTACGCGTCGGTGAGCGCCTGTGCGTCCAGAGGCGAGCCGAACTTGGACTGAGCGGCGTGGTTGACAGGAAAGGGAAGTAGGAGCATGCAGCAGCACCGTTGAGAGCAGGTGCACACAGGCAAAAGGACGTACCGCGTGCAGCAGGTACGCGTCGGTGAGCGCCTGTGCGTCCAGAGGCGAGCCGAACTTGGACTGAGCGGCGTGGTTGACAGGAAAGGGAAGTAGGAGCATGCAGCAGCACCGTTGAGAGCAGGTGCACACAGGCAAAAGGACGTACCGCGTGCAGCAGGTACGCGTCGGTGAGCGCCTGTGCGTCCAGAGGCGAGCCGAACTTGGACTGAGCGGCGTGGTTGACAGGAAAGGGAAGTAGGAGCATGCAGCAGCACCGTTGAGAGCAGGTGCACACAGGCAAAAGGACGTACCGCGTGCAGCAGGTACGCGTCGGTGAGCGCCTGTGCGTCCAGAGGCGAGCCGAACTTGGACTGAGCGGCGTGGTTGACAGGAAAGGGAAGTAGGAGCATGCAGCAGCACCGTTGAGAGCAGGTGCACACAGGCAAAAGGACGTACCGCGTGCAGCAGGTACGCGTCGGTGAGCGCCTGTGCGTCCAGAGGCGAGCCGAACTTGGACTGAGCGGCGTGGTTGACAGGAAAGGGAAGTAGGAGCATGCAGCAGCACCGTTGAGAGCAGGTGCACACAGGCAAAAGGACGTACCAACCAACCAAGCCACTACACCTCCTAGCAAGAGCAGCTCCTGTGAGCGCCTTGCAGCTCCCTGCACCAACCAAGCCACTACACCTCCTAGCAAGAGCAGCTCCTGTGGCGTGAGCATGTGATCCATGCGCTGGGCGAATGGGCTGAAGGGGAGTGGGAGAGAGGAACGAGAGAAACGGGAGGGGAAGCACACGAGAGGTCAAGGAGAATGGAGGTGTGGGATGGGCTGAGGAATGGCAGGGAAAGCAAACGGAGGTGTAAAGCAAGAGGGTGGGCGTGACACGAAGTGCGAACGTGGGGAATGTTGAACGCGAGAGGAATGGAACGCTGGGTTGTTAGGTTCTGCTTACTCCTGTCTGGCTGGAGCAGCAGCATGACCATCCCCACCTCCAGTTTCCTCCTCCTCCTCATCCACTCCCTCCTCCTCTTCACTTTCCTCTTGTTCCCCTTCCTCCTCATCACCATCACTACCATCATCTCCTCTTACTCCAGCAACAACAACAGGCCGTCCCACATCCTCTTCCTCATCCTCATCCGCATCCCCTTTTTCCCCGTCTGCTTCTGGATCTGACTCGGCCGCCTTGTTTTTCTCCTCCTCCTCCTCTTCACTCCCCTCCTCCCCTTCCTCCTCATCTTCTTCCTCCTCCTCCTCGCTCTCTATCCCCAATGCGTCCCTCTCCCTGCAATCAACCACACTCACCCCAAAACACACAAGGCCAGTCATGCAGAATCCCAGGTGCTTGCATGCATTGCATGAGTGCATGCACAAAACACATGTGAGAGCAATAAACACATGACATGACTGACGGCCACATTGACATCACAAGCATCCTACGCGCTGCTGCACGAGCCCTTGTTGTTGCAGGCGTTTTTTTCTGTTCGGGATTCCTTAGAATACGGTCACATTGAAATGACGAGCATCATACGCGCTGCTGCACGAGCCTCAAAAGCCACGCGTCGCACGCATCGCCCGCATCATAGTAATCTCTCCCTACCTCTGAGAGTAGACCTGTGAGAGCGCGCCACGTGTACTCTTTCCCAGAGACGTCAGCAGGGCAGAGTAAGCGTCAGGCCCGGCCACACTCAACCCTAGACCCGCACCCTCCTCCTCCGACTCTTCATTCCCCCCTTCTCCCAGCCCCCCTTCTGCGCGCTTCCCTCTTCTTCCTCCACGACGAGAATCCCCCCTTCCCCCCGCTCGCCTTCCGCCCCTCCCGCGCGTATCCCCCTTCCCCATCCCCCTCGCATCCCGTCCCCCCGCGGCGGAATGCCTTGCGCTTCCGCCTGCGCCCGCAACTTCCCCCCCTCGCCACCCCCTTCCCTCGCCTCTTCCCCTTCCTCGTCCTCCCCCTCGTCCTCTTCCCCTATGCCTGCCTACTGGCCCCATGCGAACTGTTCTTCCAACCGCCTCCTTCTGTTCTTCCTGGATTTCAAGTCAAATGCGACCTAGCATACGCCTTGCAGACGCAAATAATACGCAGTTTCGGTCCAATAGCTAAAAAAAAAGAGCCGTTAGATTCAGGCCCATAAGCTCGAGGTGACAGGTGAAGAACAAGGCTTATCGAAGCTAGGGTTCAGGGGGCAGGGTTTCTGTTCTTGTCCGCTGTACGAGCTGTTGAACCACTGCCGCATGACAGTCGGATTTTAGTACACCAGTTGCAGAAATGCTAACGTGGACGATAGAGCAGCACTGAAGCATGTAGGTTGGGAATGTGACTATAATTTTAGTAGTTTACTACAGCTCCTTGTCGAATTCGCACCAAATTTTGAACTGGAATTACTAACATTCTCAGGTGAAACGTATGCATAATAGTATTATTGAGAATAAGGCTCAAGCTCTTATATTCCATTAAATGAATTGGTTTGGTTAGCTACACCAGCCAGCCCGTTGCAAGGAAACTGCATTTTTTCTAAAAGCGGACGGATTCAGCTGGTCCACCATCTCTCCCTCGTCAAGCCCAGAGCTTGTGTGCCTGCTTGACGCAGATTGGCTGAAGTATCGGCAGTCCCGTTGCTGTGCGATGCCTTCGCGAACGGTGGTTCACGGCTCTCGCTGTGTAACATCCACAGTAACATGCAGCGGCGGCAGCAGCACCACTCAGGCAAATTGGCGCCAAAGAATCAGGGCGCCTCAGGAACGCGCGAATCAGAACCAGCAGCACACGCTTCGAGAGTGTCTCCCCCGAGGTTGCCTTATCCGTTCTTCCCGCCAAATCCCTCTGATTCGGCTCGACGCGGTTTCAACGGCTAGGAGTGCAGCTCAGGCTAGGGGTTGTGCACGTCAACCCCTTCCTGGAAGTCTCCAGCAGATCTCAATCTCAAGGGGCCTGCATAATAAAGTGAAAACTGATGTTAATCAGTCCAGAGCACTCCCAGAAGCCTCTCGTGGGACGTGGGGTGCTGCTCTGTCTCGAGATTTATGTGGTATACTTTCTAGCGTTATCTGATTCCTACCTAGCAGCTTCCGATCTGACGCTTTCTGGTTTCTTACCAAGCGAGGTGTCAACATATCGAGCTAGCTACAGCTCTCCTTGCATGGACCCGCATGCGGAAACGAGTGGAATAGAGGTCGAAACAGCTAAGTTGGAGTCCACGTCGTTAGCCGGAGCCAGGCATAGTAACCTCATCAGCAGGACCAAAGGAATTGGCAGATTTGGCATGCCTAGGACAGTGAGTCGTTTTGAATCACATGGCAACACCGTTCATGAATCGCGTCTTCCTGTTAGCTGCTCAAAGGCAGTCGGTGACGCATGCCTTCATAAGCTTAATGAGCCTGGTAGCTGCAGCTGTCTTAACTACTGTAGCAACAGCAGCAGCGGCGTTTCTCTAAAGAGCTTAAGACCTCTGCTGGAGCTTCTGATAAAGCAGAAAGAGGAAACGGCAGCATCTTCCGCTATAGTCACCACCAGAGGCATTGGACGATTCGGCAAACCTACTCAAGTGGCGTCCATGAAATCACACCGTACCAACAGACCCTTGTGCTTCAAACCGCCTCACCCCTCGGTGCATGCTGACTGCACAAAACGTCTCACTACTGACCGTTGCAGCAGCATTGTGTTGAAGAGCGTGAGACCGTTGCTTGAGAACCTGTCAAGACAGTCCCACTCCTCTCCTTCCGTCATGAGTTATGCTGCTAGTCAGGAGTCCAAAGAGGTGCAGAGTGGTGGATCAGGGGATGTGAAACGGGAAGGTATAGGTCGTTTCAGAGGGCAAGTTGCTGCGTTTGAGGTCACTGCTGCTGCATCTTCTCCCATCACACCGCCCGCTGTAAATCAAATGGTATCATCGCCTGCAGCGTCGGCAGCTGCAGCAGCAGTGCCAGATCCAAGTGCTACTGCTGCCATGCTTGAGTCGTCAGCTGCTGAATCTGAGCGTCTGCTGCTGCAGCCTCACGTCAAGGTGGCCAAGAACGACCGCAGCTGTCACAAGGAAGGTGTGTCTGCCAGCAATGACATCAACCGTGTCAGTAACCCTGGCGGCAACACTGGCAGTAACCCTGGCAGCAACCCTAGAAGCAACCCTGGCAGCAGTATTAGCAGCAGCAGCAGCTGCAGCAGCAAGGAACGGGTGCTCCTCCTAAGGACTATCTGTTCCATTGTGCAGGATTTGGTTCGGGAGAGGGCAGCTCCTGCCAATCGTGTGGCTGACAACCACAGGTCCGCCAGGCGTCGTCTGAAGGAAGCCCTGATGCAGCTGGCCTTGCAACGAGTGAAAGCCAGCCATTCTTGTGAGGCAAAGGGGACAGAGGTGGGGTGGTGTGGAGTGGGTCTGCAGGGGAGGGTAGCACAGGGATTGGGTTGCAGGCAGGTTGAGGACATGGTGGCAGATGGGAGGGATACAGCAGAGGCAGGAGAAAAGCAGCAGGAGGAAGGGAAGCAAATATGCAGTGAGAGGGGGGTGCTGCATTAGTAGTCAGTGATGCCAGGGATGGGAGAGTGGCAGGTGGACAGAGGGATTATTCAGTGGTGGATTTTCGAGTGCATGAGGAGCAAGCATCAGATGGTGAAGCAGCAGCGGGATTCAGGGAGAATCTTCATTTGGGTGTGGATCAAGCAGTTGAGGCAAAAATGGTGCAGTAGCAGCACCAGCTTAGGGATATTGTAGTTCTTGCAGCTATAGATACACTGCATTCTGGTGCCTAGGTAGCCATTTGTAAAGACCGTATTCTTTGCTACTTCAGCAAGGTTGCAGTGGCTGCATATGTTTGTCATGCCATCAGTTCTCAATAATAACCTACTGCTGCATGGGTTCCACACATCTATGCTATAGATGGTTCAGTATGGCACACTGTCTAGCTGGTGAGCCCTAAATTGATGGATGCCCTGCATTCCAGAACACCATCTTCAACAATAAACATGGGAGTCTGTCACACCATTTTTTAGACGTCGCAAGAATCATCTTCACCAATAAACATGGGAGTCGGGCTTCCACGGCTTGAAGTCATTCGCATGTCCAGCTGTCCAGTTCAGCCTCTCATCCCCGGGCTTTAAATACGTCGACGGCGGGTGAGGAAGCTTCCTCGCAAGCCCATTCAGCACCTGGTGAAACACATCCCCTTCTTGCGGCTGCGGGTGACCCAGCACCACCGCCTGCCTGATCGCATGCGACGCCAGCCGCTGCTGCATCGCCAGCACTCTCTTCGGCCCAATCCCAGCCAGAATCTCGTCCAGCTTCGGCACGTCTTTCTCCGGGACGAAAACGGCGATTTCCCGCCACGGGATGACGTCAGAGAAGGGGAGGACGATGTTGTCGGCGACAATGACGGGGATGCAGCCGAAGAAGACAGACTCGACGAGGCGCGGCGACCAGGGCGCCCAGCCGAGCGGGCAGAGGCAGAAGAGCGAGCTCTGCATGTCCTCGTAGTACGAGGCTGGGTGCTCTGCTGACATGTCGAATAGCGGGTTGCTCTTGAAGTTCTCCCACATGGATGCTCGCGCACCCCTGCAGGACGGGAGGCACGGGGAGAGAGGGGCCGGGAGGGGAGGGGAGCGGGGAGAAGGAGCAGGAGTGAGATGTGAGGGGTGCGAGGTGGGAGAGTGGGAGTGGGAAGGGGAATGGAGGGGCGACCAGGGCGCCCAGCCGAGCGGGCAGAGGCAGAAGAGCGAGCGCTGCATGTCCTCGTAGTAGGATGCCAGGTGCTCCGCTGACATGTCGAATAGCGGGTTGCTCTTGAAGTTCTCATACATGGATGCCCACGCACCCCTGCAGGAAAGGACGAGTGGATGGGGTGGGAGTGCAGGAGAGGAAAAGGTATGGGTGAGTGGGATGCGGTTATGACCACACACGCAGTAATGCTCCGCTGACATGTCGAATAGCGGGTTGCTCTTGAAGTTCTCCCACATGGATGCCCGCGCACCCCTGCAGGAGCGGGAGGTGGGGGAAGGGAGGAGGTGCTGGAAAAGGAAAGGAAGGTTTGGGATGTGGTGATGAGGTCACACACACAACCGTGCTCTGCTGACATGTCAGACAGCGGGTTGCTCTTGAATTTCTCCCACATGGATGCGCGTGCGTGCCTGCAGGAGAACAGATGCATAACGGGGAGGGGGGAGGAGTGGGGACCTATCAGGCTGTACGGCTTGGGGTAACACTCCGTACCTCCACAAGCTCATGGCACCAGAGAAGAGAGCATGACTCACCTGGCGTGCGCTCAGTCTCACCTGGCGTGCACTCAGTCTCACCTGGCGTGCACTCAGTCTAACCTGGCATGCACTCAGTCTCACCTGGCGCAAATTCGCCTCACCTGGCGTGATACCCGCCCTGCGGGTCATTGTTGCGGTCATAGAATAGTCCGCGGAAGTACACAAAGATGGAGCGGGGGGTGTCAGCAGCACACCTTACCTTCACACACCTAGGGCACTTCAGAGCACGGCTCACCTGGCGTAGTACCCGCCCTGCGGATCGTTGTTGCGGTCGTAGAACAGTCCGCAGAAGTACACAAAGATGGAGCATGGGGTGTCAGGGGGGATGCTGGAAAGAACACACCTTGCCTCCACAAGCTCACTCAGCGCACCACAGAGCACAGCCTCACCTGGCGTAGTACCCGCCCTGCGGGTCGTTGTTTTTATCATAAAACAGCCCCCTGAAGTAGACAAAGATGGAGCGCGGCGTATCGGGGGGGATGCGGCGGCGGTGCATGTGGCCCGTGGGGGCGAAGGGAGGCACCACGATGCTGCCAGGCTTGTGGCACACGTGGTGCGACTGCCCGAACGTCTGCACCAGGGTGGCTCGTTTCAATAGCGGCATGATGCCACGTGTGATGGCCTTCTCTTCCTGGAAATTGGGGGTTGGAATGTGAAGGGTGGGAGGGAAGGAGAGAGGGAGGGAGAGTGAGTGGCTTGTGGCACACGTGGTGCGACTGCCCAAACGTCTGCACCAGGGTGGCTCGCTTTAGCAGAGGCATGATGCCACGGGTGGCCTTTTCTTCCTGAGAATTGGGGGTTGGGAGGGAAGGAGAGAGGGTGGGAGGGAAGGAGAGAGGGAGGGAGAGTGAGTGGGTTGTGGCACACGTGGTGCGACTCCCTAAACGTCTGCACCAGGGTGGCTCGCGGCACACGTGATAAACCTTGTCCCTGTGCTGTATAAGCCCGCCTATCACGCTAGTAGAACTACGCGGTATGTGCTCTCCCCCTGCCCTCGTTCTCTGATCTCTGCTCTGCTTTCTGCTATTGCTCTGCTCTCTGCTCCCTGCTCCTTGATCCCTGATCCCTCTTCCCTTTTCCCTGTTCCCAGCTCTCTGCTCCCTGCTCCTTTCCCTGCTTCCTGCAAATTCGTTACAGTCACACGCACCTCGTAGTGAAAGCACGCGCCGAAATCGTGCGGCGTGATGAAGAAGTGATCCGCGCCGTCCGTTCGGTTCCAGTACGGCCACCTCTCCGACACCAGCGTGATCGCCGCGCGAATCATGCGCGGCGACCGGAACGGCAGCGGCAATCCCGAGGCCGTCAGGTCGCACGTGGGATACACAGGCATGTAGAACCAGTCCGCCTCGTCCGGGTTCGTAGTACGTACGGGGCTGTTCAAGATGTAACGGTGGAACAGCACCTCTAACGCGAACATGTGCGTCAGGCAGCGGGGTTGCTTCTTGATGTAATTGTAGTTGAAATCGCGCGGTAAATCGTAGACGTAGATCTTGAGTCGGCCCACGGGATTGCCGACCAGCTCCTCCTGTTGGTGCCGCTGCTGCGAACTCAAACTCGCGTCGCTGTCGCCGTCATTGCCGCCGACAGTGACGCTCTCCTCCTTTTCTGCAGGGTCAAGGGACGGGAGAAGAGTGTGGGGAACGAAGGAAGAAATTGTCAATTTCCCTCAGGAGCCTCAAAAGCTTACCCGGCATCAATCATACCTGAAATCCACTATCTAGTAAGCGTTAAAACTGCACTAACGCCGGCACAGGAAACACCTCGACAAACAACCCACCTCCTAAGCTATCCGCCGCGTCGCCGGCAGCCACGCCCACCACCATCTCCTTATCCTGCATCTTACGTCGGACCAAGCTGCCGCCCGCTACGGCGCTAGCTCCGGCAGACGACGAACCGCTAACCCCCGTCGACGCCACCCCTTGCAAGCCATCCGTCCGTTGCTGCAGTATTTGTTGTTGCTGCGACGAGCTGTCGGCGTAAGGTCCGACAACGGAATCGTCGAGTTTGGCTGGACCGGGTAAACTGGGAACTCTGACGTTCAGGTTGAGATTACGGTTGAGTGACGGGAGGACGATGACCAGCAGCAGCGCGAGCAGGAACCCCGGATCCGTCACGGCGCTCTGCGCGCTGCGGATTAACGAACTTAATCTCCGAATCGTGGCGGTGAGCTATAATCAGTGATCGGTAATCGGTGGTGTATTGATTGCGAAGCGCAATGAGAGGAAGAGGAGGAGGAGGGACGCGAATGATGATCCAGGAGGGTTGACTCGATGAGAAAATTGAAAACTGTTTTTGCTACACGTCCGTTGACGGTAGCTTTGCTGATATGCCGGAGAAGTATTCAGAGGGTATTCTCAGGAAAACCTGATACTCAAGTGGCACAGCGGAAGCCAGTAACGGTCAACTGTGACTGAAACGATGGCATGGAGCGTGCGCCAAACGGGATTTCGCCACAATTCACGGGGAGGCATCTGTCGTGACTCTTCATGCAGTCACCTGATCCGTGGCGCGCCCTGAACAAAGGCGAGCAGGCTTTCGATTGGCTGACTCATCCAGACGACCCCCTTCGTTGGCCCCACCGTCAGAATCATGGCATCCTTTTAACGAATTCTAGCGTTACTGTCACCCCTGACTTGCCTAGAAGATCCACACGTGTCACATTGAAGTCAAATCTGTTTGTTTCACTAATGTGTGTAGACAGGATAACTGCAGGTCGAACTAGGTGAGCAAGGCAGTAGCGCGTACGTACAACTCTCTCGAACTCTGTTCGTGGTTTGTTCGCGTGCTTTTCCGCCTTCGTGCCTGTTCGTGCCACTGTAGCTCCTCCGTCGCTCCCTCGCGCCTCCAAATGCACTTTCCGTGCGGCTGTTGGGAAATGTTTAAACCCTCTCTTCTCGCGCTCTCTTTCAGTTGTTTGAACTCTCGAGTCTGGACGTGAAAGCTCCGACGTAACCGCACCGCGCAACGAATAGTTTTGAGATTATGGACGGCAACGTTGACGCGGCGAAAATGGCTATACCCGCAGAGACAGATGCAGCGAAGGTAGGTAAGAGCGCTGCTGACGATTCGACTGCCGCGGCTACCGCTGCGCCCGTTAGTTCTGTCAAGGATACCCTAAAAGCAGACGATCAGTGTGCAAACGGTGGGGAAACGGGCAAAGAGGGGATGGCTGCTGGTGGGGGGGAAAATGCAGCGAAGGCGGAAGGAGCGAAGGTCGGGGCAACGGACGGCGGGGGCGCAAAAGCGGAAACGCCGCAAGCAAATGGCGATGCTGTCGTAATCGCGGATGCTGAAAAACCGGAACCGGAAAAGGCGGAAGTGACTAAACCAGAAGCGGCTAAGGCAGAAGTGAAGTCAGCGGCAAAGAAGGTGGACGCGGAAAAACCGGAAACTGAGAAAGAAAAGACAGAAGAAAAGGCGGAAAAGAAGGCGGATGAAAAGGCGGAAAAGAAGGCGGATGAAAAGGCGGAAGAGAAGGCGGAAGAGAAGGCGGAAGCAAAGGCGGAAGAAAAATCAGCGGATAAGGGGGACGCGGAAAAGGCGGAAACCGAGAAACCGGAAGCGGGGGATGCGAAAGCAGCCAAAGCGGAAGCGGGGAAGGCGGAAGTTGATAAGGCCAACACGGGGAAAGAGGAAGCGGAGAAGGCGGCGGAGAAGCCAGAAGCGGGGAAGGCGGAAGCGGGGAAGGCGGACTCGGAGATGACGGAAGCGGGGAAGGCGGAAGCGGGGAAAGCTGACGCGGAGATGGCGGAGGCGGAGGCGGCGGAAGCGGGGAAGGCGGAAGAGGGGAAGACGGAAGCGGCGAAGCCGGAAACGGCGAAGGCGGAAGCGGGGAAGGCGGGAGCGGGGAAAACGCGGAGGTCGAGGAGGTCTCTAGCCGCCGGTGGTGACGGTGGTGGCGCTGACGCTGAAACCACCAACTCGAAAAAGAGGAAAGCGGAAACCGTCGAAGAAGAGCATGCCGACGCGACGAAAGACGACGCGCCGCCGGTAAGCGAGGCGCCGCCGACTGGCGAGCTGCCGGAAGGCGAGGAGCCGACGTGTTTCTGCGACGCGGAGGAGGGGGAGAAGGGGCGGGAGGTGGACGAGGAGGGGGAGGCGGCAGAGGGGGAGAAAAAAGAAGGCAAAGCGGAAGCGGGGAAGGCGAAGGAGTCGGAGAAAGAGGGAGGAGACGCTGCGCAAGCTGGGGAGGCGGAGGCGGAGGGGAAGGGAAAAGGGGACGAGAAGGCGGAGGTGGAGGGGAAGGGGAAGAGTAAGCGGAAGCGGCTGGCGGAGGTGCGGACGGTGACGGCGGCGGCGAACGAGAACAAGGGGCTGCGCTACTGGACGTGCGCCAACTACCAGCCGCGCCCCTTCAAGCGCCCGCGCCACGCGCGCAAGGGCGCGCGCCCCGCGGCGGAGGAAGGGGACGATGCGGAGGGGAAGAAGGGCGCGCGATGCAATTTCTTCAGGTGAGAGACGATCGTTCCGTGAGTTGATGAGGTTGAGCTGTAGTGTGTGTGTGTGTCGAGTCTGGGTGCGAAGCGCGTGGTTAATGTGGACTTAGTTAAAAGTGGTCTGAGTATGAGTAAGAACGACATGTGGACTTCTTTTCTTTTATTTTCTTTTCTTTTCTTTTATTTTATTTTATTTCCTTTTCTTTTATTTTCTTTTATTTTGTATGCTGACAATGTAGAGCCCTTTATTTGTGTATCGCATGTGACAAAGGAGGACAAGGCGGCAGCGGCCAGGGAGACGCAGCGCAAGAGAGTGTCTATGTCTGAGCATTCTCAACACCTTTCTTGCTCTAGTGGCCCCATTCCCCCCTGGTTGCCTGCAGGTGGCTGGACACCCCGCGTGTGACCAAGGAGAAGGCGGCAGCGGCGAGGCAGAAGCGGCGCAAGAGAGGGCTCTTCCGAGAAAAAACAAACTCAACTCTAAAATTGCCCCCCACCCGCACCCCCTTCCCTCCCCCTCTCCCCCTCTATCCCCCCCCCCCCCCCCCCCTCCTCCCCCCCTGGTTGCCTGCAGGTGGCTGGACACCCCGCGTGTGACCAAGGAGGAGAAGGCTGCAGCGGCAAGGGAGAAGCGGCGCAAGAGAGAGCTGGCTCTGCTCGCATGAGCAGGAGAGCAGCACTTCTCCTGAGGGCGCACACCGTGACTCCTGACTATGGAGGCTGGGGAGAGCTGGTGGTGCTGGCATGCCAGGAAGAGAGGAGAGGAGATGAGATTTTGGAGAGGTGCCTCAAAGTGGAGGTGTGGCAGGAGGAAGTTGATGATGCACCGCGGTGGTGTGATGGGGAAGAATTGAGCGGCGGGGTGAGATGCAGTGACATGACATGACCCCAATGTGATGTAGACTGATATGGGGTTAGTGCTGGGTGTTAGGTGGGGTGTTGGGGCTGGGATTTCGGGCTAACTGGGTGGTAGGGCTAACAGGATTTGGTGGTGATTAGACCAGATGATATCTTTCTGGCAGTGTGGAGTGTGTGGGGGGAGGCGAGGTCGTTGGAGTTGGGGGAGGGAAGGAGAGAAGTATGGGAACAGGTGTAGAGGTGGGGATTACATGGTGTTGTTGGAGTGGTTTTCTTGTGTGTTGCCCTCTGTTAGCAGTTGTAGGCGGTACTATTAGGATGATTTTTTCTAGGAAATATGCACTACCTATGGTTATGGATGGTTCTATTGACCGCTTTAGCTACTTTACCTAATCTCGCACTGTCAAGAAGAAATTAAACAAGCCATACATGTCAAATGTTGAACATTGATATGATAGGCTATAGTGAGTTGCACTCTAGGGGGTACAGCTTCTAGGGTTGCTCATTTGTACCCCATTCGTTTCTATTCCAATCATTCCGTTGTTCGCTAACTTTGAGATGGTATCATGAGTAGGTGTCGATCCTCTCGCCTAGCCTAGCCTAGCTCGCGCCCTAGCGCCCTCCGCGCCCTTGCGCCCTAGCACACTCCGCGCCCTCCGCGCCCTCCGCGCCCTTGCGCCCTAGCACCCTCCGCGCCCTCCGCGCCTTAGCCACCGCGCCCTCCGCGCCATCTCCGCGCCTTAGCGCCCTCCTCCTCCGCGCGTTAGCGCCCTCCGCGCCCCTAGCCTGCGCCCCTAGCCCGTCGCCCAGGCCCACGCCCTAGCCCGTCGCCCAGGCGCCCGCCCTAGCCCGTCGCCCAGGCGCCCGCCCTAGCCCGTCGCCCAGGCGCCCGCCCTAGCCCGTCGCCCAGGCGCCCGCCCTAGCCCGTCGCCCAGGCGCCCGCCCTAGCCCGTCGCCCAGGCGCCCGCCCTAGCCCGTCGCCCAGGCGCCCACCCCAGCCCGTCGCCCAGGCGCCCGCCCCAGCCCGTCGCCCAGGCGCCCGCCCTAGCCCGTCGCCCAGGCGCCCGCCCTAGCCCGTCGCCCAGGCCTGCGCCCTAGCCCGTCGCCCAGGCGCCCGTCCTAGCCCGTCGCCCAGGCCTGCGCCCTAGCCCGTCGCCCAGGCGCCCGTCCTAGCCCGTCGCCCAGGCGCCCGTCCTAGCCCGTCGCCCAGGCGCCCTCCCTGGCTCGTCACCCCAGCCCCGCAGGCAGCGCGCCACGCGGGTAGCGCGCCCCGCGGGTAGCGCGCCCCGCAGGAGGCGCGCCCCGCGGGTAGCGCGCCCCGCAGGCAGCACACCCTGCAGGCAGCGCGCCCCGGGGTGCTTTAGTGCCAGAAAATAAATCAATAAATTAAACCCTAAAAAAAAAAAAAAAAAAAAAAAAAAAGGGGTTCACAGTGGGGGCCTGCGACTGTCGCCCGCGTTCCTGCTTGCCGGACGACCTGCACAGTTGCCTACATCCCGCAGCCGTCAGTACTGCAGCCCCTACTGTCGCACGTACTTTCCACTGCCAGTGGCTCTACTAGCGGCAGCCGACAGCCGCACTTACGGTCTCTAGCCCCGGCCGTTCCTACCTCCAGCCAGCCCTAGCTCGCCGCTTCTAGCTCCAGCCGTTCTCGCTCCAGCCGTTCTCGCTCCTCGCTCGTAGCTCAGTTTGCTCCGTGCTCCGGCCGTTCCTCGCCTAGTTTCACCTGGCGCTTCTAGCTCAGTTTGCTCCGTGCTCCAGCCGTTCCTCGCCTAGTTTCACCTGGCGCTCCTAGCTTAGTTCGCTCCGTGCTCCAGCAGTTACTCGCCTGGTTTCACCTGGCGCTCCTAGCTTAGTTCGCTCCGTGCTCCAGCAGTTACTCGCCTGGTTTCACCTTGCGCTCCTAGTTGTTCTCGTTTTTCACAGCAGCCTGTCGCTCCTGTCGCTCCTAGCCTGCCGCTCCTGCACCCCGCTAGCTTTTATCATGGAGTCCGCTAGGGTTCTCCAGCAGCAGGGACAGCAGCAGCGGCCTTTTCAGCAGTGGCTTCCGCAGCGGCAGGGGCGCCCTCAGCAGCTGTGGCGCCCTCAGCAGCCATGGGGGCCTGGTGGTTCAGGTCGCGTTGGCTGCAGCAGCGGCCCAGCCAGCTGGGGGGCTCGTCGCGGTGGCCGCGACGTCGGCCCCTGCCAGTACCGGATCCTGACCGGCCCTGGTGCTGGCACTACCTGCTGGCGTCCTGACCACTCTGCACAGCGCTGCTACAGCCGCCTCGTTGACCTTTACCGTGAGCGTTTTGGGCCTGAGTCGGCTCCCCCGATCTGGCCCGGTCTGTTTCGTAGTGGTTTCCCTGTGTTTGATATGTCTATGGATGCTGTTTATTCTGTCACGTACGGATCTCTTGGCTTACGTGTACCTAGCTTAGGACCTTTGCCTGTTGCTAGTGTCGGTACTTGTGCTTTTAGTGTAGGTGCTTGTGTAGTCACTAGCCCAGCCGTGACGACTGCTGTTGCGTCGCTCTCCTTCACGCTGGACTCCGGCGCGTCTCAGTGTTTCTTCCGCGACCACACCACAGTCACACCTCTTTCGGCTCCAGTCCCAGTTGCCCTGGCTGATCCTACTTCAGGACCAGCAGTTGCTCGTAGCTCGACCACCCTCCCGTGCCCGGCTGTCCCCTCTGGTTTCCTCACTGGTCTCTACATCCCCTCGTTCTCTCGGAACTTGGTGGGTGTTGGATACCTTCAGGACCGGGGGATCACAGTCACTTTTCCTGCGCACGGGAGGACTGCGATCTGTACGGACTCTTCCACCGGGGCAGTTCTTGCCACGTTCACCAGAGAGCCCCACTCAGGTCTCTTCGTCCTGCACACTCCGCCCCCGCAGGTAGCTGCGTCTGGTCAGGTTGCTTCGTCCCCCCCGGTAGCAGAGTCCGGTCAGGTGGCTGTGTCCAGTCCGGTCGCTGTGTCCAGTCCAGTCGCTGCGTCTTGCTCCTGTCGCTCTCTCGCCCACCGCACCGTCCTGTGGCACCACCGTCTTGGCCACCCGTCGATCCCTCGCCTTCGTGGCATGCTCAGTCAGGGACTAGTCACAGGTCTCCCACGCACCTTCCCGTCGCTCCCTCCCTCGCTTGCCCCTCCTTGCTCTCCGTGCGTCGCCGGTCGCTTACGTGCCACTCCCCACTCCTCCTCCCTTCGTCCGGCCACCGCTCCCTTCGAGACTCTCCACTTGGACGTCTGGGGCCCTGCCCCGACGCAGGGGTCTGGGAGGGAGCGCTACTTTCTGGTGGTCGTCGACGACTTCTCCAGGTACACCACAGTGTTTCCTCTTGCGAAGAAGTCCGAGGTGACTGCTACGCTGATCAGGTGGCTTCTAGCCACTGAGGGCACTCGTGGTCGTCGAGTCAGTTGTCTTCACTCCGACCGTGGGGGCGAGTTTCGCTCCGGCATTCTCGGCGGATTCTGCGGCGAACAGGGCATCACCCAGTCCTGGACGCTGCCAGAGTCCCCACAGCAGAATGGGGTTGCTGAGCGCCGCATAGGCTTGGTCATGGACATCGCCCGCACGTCCATGATTCATGCCCGTGCGCCCCATTTTCTGTGGCCTCACGCGGTTCGCTACGCCGCACACCAGCTGAACCTCCAGCCGCGTGTCTCGCGGCCCGAGGCTTCACCGACCAGTCTCTGGACTGGATCCCCTGGTGTTGGGTCGGCCTTTCGAGTCTGGGGCTGCCTTGCACTTGTTCGCGACAGCTCCGCGGACAAGCTCTCGGCACGCGCCGTCCCCTGTGTCTTCCTTGGTTTCCCAGTGGACTCTGCTGACTGGTCCTTTTACCACCCTCCCCTCCACCAGTTCCTAGATTCCCGTGACGTCCGGTTTGACGAGTCCGTGTCCTACTACACCCGGTACCCCTGTCGAGGTCTCCCGGTACCCCCTCCCCCTCTCTTCCTCGCACCCTCTCCTCCTCCTCCTGCTCCCGCTCCTCCGGTACCCCCGCCCCCCCCTGGTCCTGCCCCGTCTGGTGTGTCCCACGCTACCCCTCTCCCCTCGGTCGCGCGTCAGGTAGCGTCTCCCTCCCCGCAGTCCTCCTCACAGTCCCCTCAGCAGCCTTCGGCACTTCCGCGACAGGTTACTGTGGACTCGGTTGGTGTTGGAGCTGGAGGTGCAGCCGCTGGCGGTGCTCGGTCTGGGGGTGCTCGGTCGCGGGGTACTGGAGCTGGAGGTGCTGGCGCAGGTGACGCTAGCTCTGGGGGTGCTGGAGTTGGAGGTGCTGGCGCAGGTGGCGCTAGCTCTGGGGGTGCTGGAGCTGGAGGTGCCGGCACTGGAGGTGCTGGTTCTGGGGGTGCTGGAGTTGGGGGTGCTGGCACTAGCGGTGCTAGTTCTGGGGGTGCTGGAGTTGGAGGTCCTAGCACTGGCGGTACTGGTTCTGGGGGTGCTGAGTCTGAGGAGACTGACGCTGGAGACCCTGGTTCTGCGGAGTCCACCCCGCCCCCCCACCGCCACGACACGCGTCTCCAGGCTGCCCGTCGGCGTGAGCGTGAGGAGCAGGAGCGGTTGGAGAGGGAGCGGCAGGAGCTGCGGGTGCTGGACCTTCTGGAGCAGCAGCGGCAGCAGCAGCAGCAGCAGCAGCAGCAGCAGCAGCAGCAGCAGCAGCAGCAGCAGCAGCAGCAGCAGCCGCAGCCGCAGCCGCAGCCACAGCCGCAGCAGCAGCCGCAGCCGCAGCCGCAGCGGCCGCAGCCGCCACCGCAGCTTCCTCTAGAGCGGCGGTTGTTCCCGCCTGTGAGTGGCTTGCGGGCCCTTGGCCTTTCTTCCTCTCCTCCTGTCCGCTCCCAGTCTCCTCCTGTGTTTGTTCCTCCGTTGCCTCCTCCTGACGACCGTCCGGCGGTCTGGTCTTCTCCTCCTCCTCAGTCTCCTCCTCCCTCTGTCCGTCGCGACTTGATCACTCGTTGTCCTCCGCGTGCTCGTCACTCGTCCCCTGTTACTGACCTCCACACTGCCCTCCTTTGTTCGTCTCGTCGTCGTTCTCCTTCTCCTGT